CCTTTGAATGGTTTGATCCAAAATCATTTTTAATTATGTGTATCACGGTACAGTCTTGTTTGATATCGATTCAATTTTGGTTCAGTATGGAAAAAATCAATCGAGTTTAAGAAATACTATAAACGATTCGATATCATTACGGTCCAGTATATCATGCAAGTTCCATATTTTTGTTCACCCCAAATAATAATTGTATACAAGATTTCCAATTTAATTAGTCCAATCTAAGTGAAAATATTACACAGAAAGTAGAAAAGAATTTTTTCCATATAAAATATTGAATAGTTGACTTACAAAAGAAAAGAATTGATTCTTAAATGAAAAACGCAAAACCAAAAACATTTACTAGTATAAGGTCTTGTTCTTTTGGAAGAAATATTAAATTCCAAATTCTTTAACTCCTTCTCTTTTCTTTAAGCTTTTTCCAGTTTCTTCTAAATATTTCAAATTTCTTCTAACGACTTAAAATATATATCAAATTTAAAACATATCAATTCAAACATAACAAGGATAATTTTTTTTTTATCCAAAATTAGATTTTTCTTATATATTTATTTATGTAATCATTTAATTTAGTAACTTTTTCACACTCTAATTCTTCTAACATTTTCCAACTCCTTTCAGTTTCTTTCAACATCTAATTCTAAAATTCTAACCAAATAAACAGAACTTAAATACTTTATTAAAGTACTCCATTTTAACACAACATCTTCCTCAACAAGTGGATACCTTTTGAATTTTATCCATTCTCATCATCTAGTTATTGGCTACTACCCCCTTTATTTTGCAAAATAGAGTTTGACAAAATTTCGATTCAACAACAAATCCGGAAATCCCATACTATTTGGTAAATTTGTGATTTGATAATTGGAATAAAATAATTTGGTGAATAATTTGAAATTCAACCAAATGAAATGTGATTGTTTGAAAATGAAATAAAATACAACAAATTGCTTTTATATGACTCAATCAATTAAGCTTCTCTTTCTTGAGTTTCTCCAACTCTTTGACCATGTGAATAGTAAACGAGAAGTTTATTTGTGGACGTATGGAGTAATTAATTGTGCATAAAGTAAAGTTTCATGTTACCTATTTAAAAATGTTTTTCATTAAATAAATATTTGAAATAAAACTAATTATTTTTTTCCATTTGAAATAGTGTATTAAAAACATTGAGGACGCTGCCCCATCTAGTTCAATTCTTGTATCTGCCACAGTGGCGGCCTATGATACTAGCAAAATTTATCACGGATCGTTCTTTTTTATAGTTTGGTATCGCTACAAGATGAGCTCTATAACTATTCGGTACCATTCCATTTTGATACAGAACAGTATAATATCATACTCATGCTCAAAGCATGCCAAAAAATAAGCATACATTACTCAAAGAATACGTATTAAAATAAAAGTATAATTTTGCATAAAAAACACATATTTGTTAAAAAGTATTGATTTCAAATTTAAAAAGATCATAAACATAAAGAATAAAAGATAATAAGTCCAAAAAAAAAATTAGATTTCTATTTTCAATTCATACAATATCGAACAATTAATAACTCCAAAAAATAGTGATCGTAGTAGTAACAAATATAATAACAATGATAATAATGAAAAAATATTTAAAAAAAATATAATACGAAGTATTCCATATATAGTAAGATGAAGTAGACAAATAAATATTTGAGATACTCATACATAGCTTTAAATGGTTTAGTCTGTGATAATCATTTTTAAATATTTGTAACACGGATTCACGGTGCATTCTTGTTTGACATCAATTCGATTTCGGTTCGGGATGGAAAAAAATCGAACCAGTTTAAAAAATAATACTCCATCCGTTCTCAAAAAGTGTTCCTATTTTGATTAAATGTAAAAATAAGGAAGTGTTAAATTATAGTTGACTTCCATTTTACCCTTGATGTGATGAGTAAAAATAAGATGTGATGGATAGATTATTAGAGAAAAAGTATGATGTGATATGTAGGGTATGAAAAAGTAAGGGTAAAAGGGATTTTTTAATACTCCCTCCGTCCCAGATTATTTGCCACATTTGTATTCCCGAGACAAAATATCAAATTTTTTCAATTTATTTTATTTAGATATTGGTATAGAAATAAAAAATAAAAGTTACATATAAAAAAACTACATGAAAAGTTCTTCGAAATAAGAGGTGTCAAGAATATTTTATTTTATCAAATAACCAATGAAAACGTCGAAATAAACAAAAGTTCATGTGATTGCTGAAAAAGCAAATGTTGTGAATATTTAGGGACAGAGGGAGTAGAAAGTGGAAGTGTTTTGTTGAAAGTGGAAAAAATAAAAGAGGAAGTACTTTTGAGAACGAAGGGAGCATAAACATTTCGATACTATTACACTCTGGTATACTATGCTAGTTCAAAATTTTTGTCCACCCCAAATAATTTGTTTACCGGATTTCCAATGTAATTAGTCCAATCAAAGTGAAAATATTACAGAGAAAGTAGAGACGGTGCGCTCAATACTTCTCAACTTACGGAGTATTTTTATTTCAATATATTTTAATTCAGGTCATTAAATTTGTTCAATTTAGTAAACTTCAATTGAAAGAAAAGAATAGATTCTTAAACTCTTAAAAGCTTGACTTACAATATGAAAAACAATCGTGCTATGGGTACACCACTTTGTACCCCAGTGGTGTACCCCATATACCCCCACCCCTTGCATACCACTCACTCCCACCCAACCATCCTCTTGTCTGTCTGGTCTCTCTCTTTTTTCTCTTCCCTCTTCTGTCCTCACCCACCTTGTCTTTCCCCCTTTTTTTTTCTTTCATTTATCGCGGAACAATAATCTGAATTTAGTAGCAACCAGCAGCCAGCGATCCATCTCTCCTGTGACGTCGTGTAAGCTTGATCGAAAAAGGATACATGAAGCGTAATGAACCAAGTTGCGTTAATTGAAGAGCAATGACCCAAGGCGGATGCATTCCCAATTAATATTACAGATTCGAAGTTTATCTACTGGAGATTGTATGAAGTCCGCCGTCATCGCCTATCGCAGGTTAGTAATAATTTCTTATTGCACTAGCATTAAATGTTTGTGTTATTTTACAATTTAGCTATAAACAGGTATAAAGTGTTGGTTCATTGAAAAGACTTTAATTAATAGAATTTTTTATACCCCTAGATTTTTAAAGTATATGACCATTAAAGTGTTGGTTCATTGGCTGCCAATTATTTCAGAAACATTGTCCCGCATAAAAAAAGACATATGATTGTAATTTATTTGAAAACTATTGTTGGGAATTTATTTTTTGCTTTCGGTTTTGTTCTGCACCATCAATTAAGTATGTGCAATGAGGTAGGATGTAGGTTTCACCTACAAATAATGTCAGGTTGGGCATTTATTCTCTGCTTTCAGTTATGTTTGTTTTGCACTAGCAATTATGTCTGTGCAATGAGGTTGGATGTAAGTTTCACCTACAGATAATGTCAGGTTGAGCATTTATTCTTTGCTTTCAATTGTGTTTTACACTAGCAATTTATATCTGTGCAAAGAGGTAGGCTATAGGTTTCACCTACAAATAATGTAACTTTGGGCATTTATTCTCTGTTTTCAGTTTTGTTTTGCACCAGCAATTTATGTCTGTGCAAAGAGGTAGGATGTAGTTTTCACCTACAAATAGTGTCAGCTTCGACATTTATTCTCTGCTTTTAGTTTTGTTTTGCACCAGCAGTTTTAGTCTGTGCAAAGAAGTAGGATGTAGGTTTCACCTACAGATAATGTCAATATGATTAAAATTGTATTTTTTATATGCAGGCATTTTAGAGGGCAATGACAACTTGGATGTTGGAAGTTCTCTCATGAAGATTCGAGATGATCGCAACACAACAAAAAAAAGTGAACAACGTAAGGTGAACCAGAGCAATCAGAGAAACCCCAAAAAGCCATCGACAATCCTTTGTACAAACGTTGGTGACATAGGACGTGAAAAATGCCTACGAGGGAATGACCGGGAAAAGATGGTTTGTATGACCGCACTTACCCAAATCTTGATCTCAGGCTATGGTTGTGTATACGGTCTACTGGTCTTGTCATATAACTTGACCATTAATTGGAGCAATGCTACATTTCTTGTTTAGTTTTTATTATGCATTTGCTCACACACTTTTTGGTAAGTAATACTCTGTAATATTTTGTCTTCACCACTCATAAATGATGTAAATATACTTATTTCATGGGCAAGTAGAACACTATGTAAATAGTATTTCCTTATGTAACAGTTGTACACTTAGATTTAATAGTTGTTTCTCTTGAATACACCAACACTTAATATCTGTGTGCTACTGATTTTTTTCAATACACCAACATTTAATAGCCGTGTGTTACTGATTCTATTCAAAACTCCAACACTTAATGTCTCTGTGTTATTGTTTCTGTTCAATATATCAAGACTTAATGACAGTGTGGTACTCGTTCTGTTCAATAAACCAACACTTCATATCTGTGTGTTACTGATTCTGTTCAATACACCAACACTTATTGTCTGTGTGTTATTGTTTTTGTTAAATACACCAAGACTTAATATAAGTGTGCTACTGGTTATGTTCAATAAACCAACACTTAATATGTGTGTCCTACTTATTCTAGTGAATACACCAACACTTCATGTCTGTATGTTACTGATTCTGTTCAATACAACAACACTTAATGTCCGTGTGTTATTGTTTCTGTTCTATACACCAAGACTTAATGTCAATGTGGTACTGGTTATGTTCAAACATTTGACACGTAATAAAATTACACTTAAGCTTTAGAGGGTAGTAAACAATTTAAATTAAATGTGGAATGACCAAATTTCGGGGGAGAATCTGAAGCATTATTCTATCCAAACATCAAGAAATGAAGCGACATGTTTTATGTTCATGTCCAAAGCAGTCATAATTTTGTGTTAATCAAATGATATATGTTTTACATGCTCGAGTACATACTCATAGAGTGAATAATCATTACAAGGCTAAAAAAATGCCTTGCATATATTAGCATAGAGGGATAATCTGTCATAGTTGTGCGTTAATTAAAGAACATATATTGCACAAGCTTTAGGCCACTGTCATTCGAAAGATACGTGCCGCATATTGCCTACGGAAGTCGTCGACATAATCGTAGGTGCAGTCAGGAAGTAGTGGCGAACCAGCCAAGAGGTACTCCGCGAATGCAAGGATCGTAACACCACATACGTGCTGCATATTGCCTATGCAAGGATCATAACACCACATGCACGCAAACCTACATTCCAATTCAAATACAAGACAATGTAATAGCAAAATATTAAATCTCATAAATAGACTTATTATGTGCAGGTTGTACAAACAAAAATGTTTGTGGGTGAGCAAATAATAACGTAAGTGTAACATAGTTAAATGGGCAGAAAATGTAGGTGTGGAGCTGTTGTACAACATTGCCCAGACATTTAGTTAAATGAGTATACTTGAAATTATTTTAAAAATGATTTAGGCCATCACTGCAATTTTGGGTACTCATTGAAGGAGATGAATGTACACAGCAAGACTAAACTGAGAAAGCAAAAATCAAAGTTCACAAAATATATTAACATAGGCAGTATGTGTTAGTGTACAGAGTAAAAATACTATTGCCCGGGCATTTGTGAAAATCACACCAAACTTAAGGGAAAATTACCACAGCTTTGCAATTAGGGTTTCATGAACATGTATTTGGGAATTTAAGATTCACTAATCTAAAAAATTGTTGCAAAAAAAGGTGCAATTGGAAAAGGAGGAGCAATTACCTTAAAGGTGGACCACCGGCGTCAGAGATGAGGGCTGTGAAGACGACAGAGAGGAGGGCTGTGAAGATGGTGCTGCCAATGAAATGTTTCAGAGATGACAACGGCGAGGACTCAGAGAAGTATGTGGTGTCAATCGGCAGCGACACAAAAGGCGAGGAGGACATTCAAACCGGCAAGAAAAAGGTAACGGAGGAGAGAGAGTAAGATTGTGAAGCAGAGTGAATTAGGTGGGGGGGGTTACTTGCATGTGTGGGGTGGGGGAGGTCTTTTATATTGGGGTACAAATTGGGGTAAGTTTGGGGTGTAAGTAGCATTATCCTATGAAAAAACGCAAAACCGAAAACTTTTACTTGTATAAGAGTATCTCCAAGCTTGTTTACTATATTGGCTTGCTATTTTTATATTTTAACAAGTGAATAGTGATAAAGTAAGTGATATTTTATTTCATTCTCCAACCTTGACTTGCTAATTCATTCTACAAGTCTTGGTTTTCTATAATTTGGAGAGCTTGTTATATTTAGCAAGTCAGAGTCATTTTTCGACAACTTTGCTAAAATTTAACACACCCATTAGAGAAGAGAAAAATAAGTTGACTTGCTATATTATGGTTTTTAACAAGCTAAAGTATGATGATTGGAGATGCTCTAAGGTCTTGTTCTTTTGGAAGAAAGATTAACTTCCAAATTCTTTAACTCCTTCCCTTTCTTCAAACTTCCTCCAATTTCTTTTAACTCTTTCAAATTTCTTCTAATCTTAAAAAATATTTATATATGATTAATATAGAATAACATCATATATCAAATTTATAACATATCATTTCAAACATACGAAGGATTTTTTTTAAATCCAAAATTAGAATCTTCTTATATATTTATTTAGGTAATTATTTAATTTAGTAACTTTTACACACTCTAATTCATTTAACATTTTGCAACTCCTTTCAATTTCTTTTAATATCGAATTCTAAAATTCCAACCGAATAAACAAAACTTAAATAGCTTTATTAAAGTACTCCATTTTAACACATCTTCCTCAACAAGTGGGTACCTTTTGAATTTTATCCTTTCTCATCATCTAATTATTGGCTACTACTCCCTTTATTTTGCAATAGAGTTTGATAAAATTTCGATTCAACAACAAATCCCATACTATTTGGTAAATTTGTGATTTGATAATTGGAATAAAATAATTTGGTGAATAATTTGAAATTCAACCAAATGAAATGTGATTGTTTAAAAATGAAATAAAATACAACAAATTGCTTTTACATGACTCAATCAATTAAGCCTCTGTTTCCTGAGTTTCTCCAACTCCTTGACCATTTCCCAATGCTCCATGGACAAGCAGCTTTCACCAAAACTTATTGATTCCAAACGTCCCATTGTCAACAATCTGGCATCACACACACAGACAAGTTTCATTGTTGTGAACAAAATAAAACGAATTTTTCAAGTAAAAGTATAGTCTCCGTGCAGCGACTGACCTACTGAATTCTTGGCTGCCCAGGCTCCGGTCAGCTTGCCTTGCAGAAACCAGGTCATCTTCCAGCACCTGCAATATAATAACATTAAAGAAACAGTCATTACTTTTATCGGCATACTATGAAGCTGCTAAGAGTATGTTCGTAAGTGTTGTTTGATTTTGGAGAGGTTTTGAGGAGGTGGGAGAGGGGTTATTTTTCACTCTAGTTATCAAGTATTGTTTGTGGTATAATAAATAAAGAGAATGTCAAGAACATTGTTTTTATACAAACTCATCTTTTTATATATTTTGTTTAGACGAAAAAAAGGAATTTAAAGAGAAATATTACCTTTTGCATTTCTGGGGTGATTTTATGTGACAAGGATCTCATTGTTCCCAAATACCAACGCCAAACATTGAGTGTGCTTGCTTCAACATCTACGTGGGGATTTACTGAGCACGGACAGAAAGGCAAAACTACATCAGCAGGCAGTATGTTCGACTTTCCCTCCGAAAGAATTAGCAATTGGATGTCTGCGGGCATCTCCATTTTGTAAAAGGTGAAATCATATGCCACCTGCAGAGAGAAAGGGTTAGCAGAATGAATCATTTAGAGGGTATGTTTGAATCCCAAAAAACACCGGGGAAAATAAAAAGGAGTGCTCTGGAATGTTACTCTCATGTGCTTTGTTTTACCACAGAATACTCGAAAAAGGGAAAAATAATTTTCTTTATACAAAAGAAATAGATAAATAAACTGAGCATGAGCAAATATCAAAGATAGATTAGTGGATTTGAACAAACGTTTTTTAAATTTCTCTTGAATTCAATTTCCTTCCATTTTAACCTATACTTTCTTTTCCTTTTGTTTTCCGAGTTTATGCAGACCCTTAATAAATGGTGAAGCAGGATCTAGTAAGAAATACAACAAAAAAATTAGACCAAAAAAAAAACATGTGAACCTTTTGCATATCGAGCAAGTTCTTCAGCAGCTGGGTATTCTCAACCCCCGTTGAGTTAAGGTTTCCAGCTTGAAGTTGTGTCTCATCAATTGTCAAATGAGTTCCATCAGCAAATTGCAGAACTCCAGTAATCAATCTGCAAAATTGAGCCAAAAACTAACACCTTCCTGGGGTTCAATTTAATGAAGCTATCAATAGCCACATGGCTTCCAGATCTTAAAATGAAAAATACCTATTTGTTTGATAATCTTTCCTAGGTGCAAGAAGAGCCGTGTTAAGATAATCTATAGTGAGAGGTATAGACTGAGAGTATGGTATGAGATTCTCTATGGCAAGGTTGAGTCTGTGACCAAACACAGATGTAGTTTCCTTGCTAAAACATGTGAGATTCAACGAAAGCTTTCCTACTGCCATTGAATCTGCTCTACTATTAACCTGCATTATAAAAGGAGTTTAATTTTGGCTGAATTCTAGCTGATATTGATGAACTATGAAAAAAACAAAATATATTTTATTGATAAATGAAGAAACAAAGTATGAAAAATGGGTAAATTGATCCACTTAGGCCACTTACAAACATGAAGTGCCTCCATTGATACTTTTTTCGTTATTAAAAGAAAGTGATTATACTGATAAGCTGAATATTGTGAATGCTAAACAACAACTAAAGCTCAAAGTGAGAAACAAGATGAAAATTTCTCATCAAAATATAATAGTGAATGTGAATCCTACCCGAGACAAAAGATGTAGAAGCATGAATTCAGCTGCAACTCTATCATTTCCAAGGATGGAAGTAAGATACCCCAGCAGAGCTTCTCTTATCCCTCTAAGCATTTGAGAATTTACCTGTGCCATTAAAAAAATTTTAAAAGAAATGTTGATACTTTATATTGGCAATGAAAAGGATGTTGTTTTCAAGAGAAAAATTTAAATGTTGGATATCATGATATCAAACCAAACAACTCCAAGAAACAGTGATAAGAGATTTGTGATAGAACTACCTCAGGCGTGAAGAAATTTGAAAGAAAATCTTGAACCCCCAATTTCTGGTAAACAAAGCAATGTAGTCTAGGAACCTGCAAGATGTATAGAATTGCTTGAAACATAGCTCTTGCAAGAATTTACAAACGGCTGAAAAAATGTCCAAGAACAATCTTGTTCTTGCTTGCACTCTTTCCTTTAAGGTTTAGACTTCAAGTTTAAAAGCGTAAATGGCACCATATCCGGCTTTCTTTTTTATAATGATCAATTTCTCAAGTATATATAGATTATGTAACTTTCATAGTCTCTCCTTCCAATACCAGCCACATTAACTTTTCAAGCAGAACGGAAGGAATGTCCATAGAACATTTATTCAATCATTGTAAGGTTACACTAAAACATGCACACAAGTTCAACAACAACCCAGTTAGATGAAACGAGAAAATTGTATGGGGAGGGTGTGTGTACCCAAACCTTGCCCCTACTCAAAAATAAGAGATTGTTTCCAAGAGACGGAGCTCATGTAACGCAGATAACACAAGAACACAAAGCACACATAAAGCATGGAGCACACCGAGCATGCACACAAGTTCAATACATCAGAAAATAGGAAACCTGTGCAAGTCATAATTTGAAATTTTTCTAACTAAATTAACATGAGATAAATATTCAGCAGCAGCATAAGCTAAAATAATCTCTCTATCAAGGAAACATAGGAATATATAATGTAATAAATGATCAAACAATACCTTCCTAGGTGGCAATTCAAACAATTCGTCCTCACACAAACTGCTTTCAACACTGCTATCTTCCTTTTCATTAGGAGAATCTGGATCATAAGTGAGGACGCCAATGAACTCAAAAACATCATTCAACTTTAAATCAGACTCAGGTGAGTCATATATCTGCATAATTGAATAATCATACACATAATGATGATAAAAAAACGTACTTATAGTTAGTTGTAGCAAAAAAAACTACAAAAAAACAGAACTCGCCTTCACTAGGCATGGACATGTTGTTTCACAATCCACAGCTGTATTCATTGTAGTGCAGATAGCTTTGTCTAGGGACTCTCCAGAATCTGTGGATGTGGAAGCATTTCCATCCTCTCTCTTGTAAAGAAATCAAACACAAACTTAGTTTTTCAAATCTTGGAAATTAACACCAAAGAAGAGCATTTTTTCTTACCATCTTTTTGGCAGATGGGGAACTATGCAACTCATCTATGGCCTGTTACCAAAACACCATTGTTAAATTACTGATAGTGAGAAATATGTCATCACAAGGCAGATAGAAGGGAATATATCAAAAAAAAACCGCACTATATCTTTTTTAAACATAAAGCAGTGCTGATGTCCAATTACATTAAATTTTGGGGGCAGAACATTTTATTCAGAACAATAGTAATATGGCAAAAAACAAACAAGTTAAAGCTTGACTTACTTCCATATTCACATCGTTCATTATTGCATCATCCTCTCTCTGACGTTTCTCCCTTTGTAAATATGTACAAGCATGATTTTTCATTGGACCCAATACAACTTCTGATGGCTCAGTCCAGCTATTCTGCCCCGGTACCTGAACAAAAATGAGAAATGAGTTCAGTTGGTCAGTTAGTGGCCAAGAATAAGAGTCCTCAATGTAAAATAACTTATGTGTGTTAATATTGTCATTGGAAATGGTGAAGAAAAAAACATAGAAGAACTCACAGGAACACAGTAAAGCAGGCGGCGCTCCCAGACTCTCATCTCAGGTGAATCTCCCATTGGGTATTGAGAAATATCAGCAAATTTATTGGTCCTCCATGTTTCCCCGTCCTTTTTAAGTAAGGAGAGAAATCACACTGTCAGTACTAATCCATCATTATTATCTATACACTATACAGACTAGAGAGTGAAGAGAAAAAGCATTCAAAGGCAAAAAAGAATGGAGTACTTTATAGACTCCAGCATAAAATTCATTGCCAAGCATGTCTTGAATCATTCCCCGGAATCGAACAAGAGTGTTGGGTTGGAGACTTTTGATTGTCCTGGGATTAAGCACAGGTACCTATTCCACCAAATGACAATTGCAATTTGAAACTTAAGCACACGTACCTATTCCTGCTACATTATTTGGTATGAAAATTAAGTAAATTCCAAGATATGAACACTGCACGCACCACTCTCGATCAGAGACCATAATTAGATATTATGGGTAACTCAAAATAACCCATTTTGTAAAAAAAAAAAAACATAAACATAAATAAGAGTCTTGACTTTTGGATAGGGAATTAATATTTCTGAGTGAAATCGTTCGATATTTATGCTAGTTTATCATCTACCATTGAGAATTCGTACAAAACAGCATTTTTCTTATTTGGATATTCATTTGCTCGTGAGGTGAGACAAGAGACAATACGATGATGTAAGATGATTTTACTGCTTCTGGATATGTAAACGATGAAACAAACCTGTGAAAGACCGCCATCGTCAAATAGGAACTGCCGGAAAAGTTCAGTGGCCCCCCAATCCCTGCCGTCGAATGTAGCCGGATCAGAACCAGAAGCCACGGCCTTGTCGAACGTCAATCTGACGGCCCCTAGCGGATTTGCAAGACAATCGTACGGTCTCCCCACCATCGTCTCTTTCACTGTCACTAGGGTTTCTTAGAAATGCTTTTTGCGGCTTCCGCGCTAATCTGCCGATATGTACCTTCTCTTTCCCGCCGGGTGGAGACCCGGTCTTCCCGCCAAATTTTGGCTAAATGGGCCGTCTGGACGGTTGCATTTGTTGGGCCTCAATGCGGGAAAATGTTAAAATTTGAGGGAAAAAAATGTGTAGGTGTGTTTGAAAGCATCAATTAAAATATAAGTGTGAATGGAGTATTCGTTTGAATGTATAGAAAATAAGCGTCGCAAGCACACTTAAATCACCATGTACAGTGTTTTCGCACATCAGGTAAATATTGAAGTATAAATTTTTTATTATATTTAATTTGTAAAATACTTTTAAAATATAAATTTATCTAATTAATCTACCATATAATTTTTATTTAATTATAATTATAGGTTGATCTTAATGGATTATCAAAAATCTCAACGCAATGACGCAAAAAGAGTTAAGGCCTCCGCCTCTACTGGGATTCAAATATGGGTGAACTTTCTCGTAAATCTTGGTGGGTGGGCTTTTATCACTCAAGTCAGACGAGCAATACTTCTTTATTTTGTTTTTTCCTTCTCTGATTTGAATTTTCCACTTGTCTCTATCTTAACAACTTCATTCACAACAGTCAAAGAAAACAGTGAATTTCCTTTTCTACTTATTTCTTACACATTTTTCAAAAAAACAAAAAATTAAATAAATAACTCTTGACTTTACAAAATCAAGAAAATACAAAATTAAATGTTGATTAGTCGAAATGAATAATTAAGTTCAAAAAAAAGAAATGAATAATTAACACGCACTCCGTATTGAATGGAATGAAAAATATGTTGAACTATAAAAATGATTTTTGAACACAGAATTAATAGTCTTTAGTCAGTGGTCAACAAACACGTAAGTCATGAGTGCTGTCCTAAGTGAACACTAAATTGGTCCCCTCAAGCCCTAACGCGTAAATATGGGCGGATACGTGTGATTTGTTATTAAATGTTAGGGGTATACCAAAAATGTACCTCAAACATCTCTCATCCCCTCCATCACCACACAAAAAAGGCAAGAAAAATTCAAAAAACAAAATAAAATGAATGGTAAATAGGGGGTGGTGTACATTTGGGGTACACCAAAGGTGTACCCCTAGCATATCCTTTTTTTAATGTTGAGCTTTTCTATTTTATCTAAGTTAGTTTTATCATCATTTCAATACAGGGTTATTCTTGCGTGTTGTTAAGGTTTACGTGTGAAATGTGAATTTTCTTATACTTTTTATGGTTTGAGAATTGGATCTTTTCATTTTCTTTATGCCAAAAGATTTATTCTTTTACGATATAAATACAATCAGGTCAATAAAACGAGCATGTACTTTAGAATCACATAAGAATTTGTCTTTAAAATAAAATTTATATTATTACCATATACAAATATAAAAGGGTAAATGATTGAGTAGGAGTCTTTAGTTTTTAGGCTTTCAAGATCATAAACTTGTCTTTTTTTTTTGAAGCATATACGTACTATCACATAGTTTCACATAATCAAACAAATTTTTTCATATTTTCATACGAATAACTATTTAATAGATTCTATATTAATTTACTTATATCAAAGGGAAATTCATGCATTTTTAATGAAATTCGTGGATCTTAATTATAGTGCCCTACTATATTTTGAGAGTAATAGAGTCACACAAAAATTTTAAAAATTAAAATTATGTGAAAGAATGTAAAGCAAAAAAATGTCTAAACATCATACGATATAAAAAAAATATTAATTGTATGAATAAAAAATTAAAACATTTTTAGAAGAAAAGTAGAGCCTTGTTTGGAAAAGCGTACGTTAACATTTTAAATAAAAATTTAATAGTATAGATTAACTTTGAAAATGTTAATGTTAGTAATCAATACTGTTATATACTCCCTCCGTCCGGAAATATTCTTCTCATTTTCCTTTTTGGTCCGTCCGGAAATAATCTTCTCATTTCCTTCTTTAGTATGCTTTTTAAGACTAAATATCAATAATACCCTTCTATTTTATCACAAATCTACTTTTTAAATACTTTTTTAATAATAAAAGGGGATTTAAAAGTTTATAGTATGTGCATTTTTGAAATTTTTGCATTTTTTACTATTCCTTAATAAGCGTGTCAAGTCAACAAAGAAAGAACATTTTCGAACGGAGGGAGTAATATTTTTATAAAAACTGACCATAACGAGTAACCACTAACGTTTTACAAACAAGTATGAAGTCTAAAAGTGCACTATATTGAAATTCGAATCGAACTGGCCGATTCGATCATTCAAACCGTGACTTGAATGCATTTCTCTATACTAGACTCGTACCCGTGCGTTGCACAGCCTAATTATAAACTATAAACTTAGGAAAAGCATTAATGAAAGAAAATGATAAAAATAAATTACAATAATAACATATATTCAAATAATAAAGACACGAACAGCTCGTAGCATAAGCATTTAAGTGGTTCAATAATTGTCAATCTCGGCAAGCGTATTCCACATACTCTTAAGTGTTTTGAGACATTTTTTAAAAGTGGGGTATAGTAGTGTATATAATTCGACAATCAATTTAATCATTAAGTACCTTGATTTAATGAATCTATTCCTTTAATATAATTTGACATAAAGTATGCATAGAGCAACACACTAACTTTATAATGCACGCGGTTTCATAGCAATACAATACCCATTTATTTATTTTGATTTGACATAAAGTTTGCATCGAGCCATGATTACTACGCGCACGGTTCCATATCAACACGCTACACATTTATTTATTTTGATTTTACATAAAGTATGCATGGAGTCACATACCAACTTTACTACTCACGCGGTTCCATATCAATACACTACACATTTATTTATTTTGATTTTGACATAAAGTTTACATCGAGCCACGTACCAATATTATTACGCACGCGGTTCCATATTAATACACTACCCATTTATTTATTTTGATTTGACATAAAGTTTGGAAAATGAAATTATTATTAATAATAATTTGACCCCACCCACCCCATTTCGTTTCTTTAATTGTGTTTAACCCTTTCTTCGTTTAACTTGTTTTCTTCTAATCTTCATCTCCGTCTCCTTCTCACCCAGTAGTCTTTTTCTCCTTCTCCATCTTTTTCTCCTTCTCTATCTTTTTTCTTTCTTTTCCCCCCTCCAATTTCGTCTCATTTTTCTCCTTTAAATTTCTTCTCCTTCCTAAATCAGTGTTAGGATTATTGTTAATTTCTCAATTATTTTATCTTCTTCTCTTCTCCTTTAGAACAAAGATTTCATTTCTTCTATTGCCAAAAATTGTTGATTCAATTTTTTTATTTTCAGGTTTTCTAGCTAGATTCAATAGCTTCTCACCAAACAACAAAAGGTCAATCTTGATTTCGTTTACTTGTACGTTCTCTCCCAACACTTTCAATCCTTTTTTCAAGACCCATTTCGTTTAACTTTTAGGCATATTTAAGAAAAATAAAAAATAGAATTGATTTTTCAAAATCGACATTACTTTTTAAGAGTAGTAATGATGAATGAAAAGATAAGGTGAAAAAGAATGACTTATTTTAAGGGTAGTTTAGGTATTTTATTTTTAATAGTTTACGAAAACAACTAACAGGCAATTTATTTTGAGACGGAGAAAAAAGGCAAACATGCAATTTAAAATGGGACGGAGGGAGTATTATAGAGTCCATATATTATCATTTATCTTAAACTCAACAAATATGCCCTTAATCAACCACTATATGAAATCGAACACAAAGCTTTTTATATAATCACAATCAAACATAAACCTAGTAATAATCTGAGCAATTACCTCCCCCATTGCGGGTACAAACGGAAATAGGGGCGACCGGGCCACCGACAAATGATATTTCAATATAGGCTACGAAGGGAAGTTGGGAGCTTATTGTTTTTCAATAACGTATGTGCGATAAAGAATCAATCATAAACTCCTTTTTCTTGTAACTCTCTTCAGATAAACAACCTACTTCACCCAATTCAATGACCCATTTACACATATTGTTAAAAATTTGCACCCTTGTTTGAGCCCTCTCACTTCCTTCAACTGTCAAGTGTCTATTTTTGGCATCTTTAGTCCACATCTTCAATATATATTGCAATGGTATGCTTGATAGACCACACATTTGAAGAACAACCATTGCATGTCTGCATAGGAACCCTTTGTATTCAAATAGGAGGCAAGAACAGGAAACCTCTTATTTTGCCTCATTCCATGTCACACTAAAACTGTCATCATTTTCACAGTCATCAACTCTGAACATTATGTTTTCCCCATTTACACCTCTCCTGGGGTGGCATCCAACAACCCCCAGAACCTCAACCTGAAATTTCTTGAATATTGCGTGGGTATAAATTGTTGACATTTGGTTCTCCCATGGTGAAGGAGATTTCAATGCAGGTTGTTTGTGCAATGTATCAAAATTTGCTATGGCTTCCTCTTCATACCTATTCTGCAAAATGATTCCATACTGTTTCAAAAGCTCATTAAGAGTAATCTTCTTGTGGATGTATTTGTCAAAGAAAGAGACAGGACTTTCAGATCGTTGACTCATAGATATTCCAGCCAAAAAGGCGCCAATTGTTACGTTCTTCATACAACAAACGAATCCAGAATTTTTGAATATCCAAGTTATAAAAATCTTGATTTAAAAGCATAATATTAAAAAACTATTCCAAAATCACTTACAATAAAAAAATTCGCAAGAAAAGAATAATACCTATGTGATTGGATCCGGGAGTGGAGTTCCTGAGTTCTAAATTCAACCATGGCCTTTTTATATGTATTGCTTATTTCAAAGTTTGGCAATCCATTCATCTCGTAAAATTATAGAAAGACTGCTCCCCGACATACTAACCCTGCAATAAAAAACATTATATGAAAACTCTATATAAAAAGAATTATATGCCTAATATAATAGGAGGTAAAAAATATATGCATTCCATTTTTGAAAATAGAGATGCAGCATAAAATAGCAAGATTTATCTATGTACTTCAAAATTTGGATTGAAGTATATAGATATACTAACACTGTCCAACATAACTAAATGCCTAAATCAATGACAGTAACATTGATGTGTACATCATCTACCGGAAATCATATTCAAATTTCAATCTAATTGCATACTATCTTCTAAATAATGTGTTCTATTACTTGAGAAAAAAAGAATCAGTAACGTTAAGAAATATACAGCATGTTACTTCGGCCAAAATGTTTAATTAACCCCATTATTAAAACTGTGTTCTATTCAAATGATGGCCTCATGGGACAATTCTATCTCATACCAAACACTATGTAGTATTTAAAAGCGAATAGTACTTTATAGTACATTTCAGCAACATTATATTCAATATATGAATATATAGAATCAACAACCAACCTCTTGATAAGGATTAAACTAAAAAAAATCCATTCCCAATTATAGCATGAGGGTTGCCCATGTTCTTTTGAAAAAGAAAATCAATTAAAAAAGTAATATTCTTAATTCGAGAGCTAATACTCATTCTAGGATACTTTTTTACATCATTTATAAAATATGCTCAATTAAAGCTGTAGGACATTATTAAAATGGGGTTTCATAAACCTTATAAGTAGAGATTTTAGGATTTTAAAAATCAAAATACCAAAAAACTAAAAAATAATATTTTCTGATGAATTTCAAGGCAGCTTTGTAGATATACATATTTTAAGATTTTGTAAATCAAAACAGCAAAAAACTAAATAACTAAAATAAAATTAAATAAAAAAATAATTAGCCTGGCGTTGAAAATTAGCCCTATGCAGCCGATTCTTCTTGTAGAAAGAATAACAGGAGAACTAAAATTAGCCCTATGCAGCCGTTTTTTGTGATTACTCAAATCTGAAGGTTAAAACAGAGGGATTGGTTAAATACTTGGATAAAGAGATGCCAAAAAAGCTGGACAGATACGAATAAATATTTTAAAAAGATAAAATAGAAAAGGAAGATAAGGTGTTACCTATGTTTTGAATCTGTTTCCTCGGTGTTGCGCTGGTTTCCTCCATGGGCGAGGCTAAGCTTAAGACCAAGCTGCAATTTCCGATCGATGCCCCTCCTTTCCCCGTTGTCCATGACCACAGGATGAGACATGCTTAAAACCCTAGATGCTTTGCCCTTTGACGTCAGAGAAACAGAGCTTGTTTGATTTTTTTCACAAATCTAGAAATATGAAGAAGAGGCACGGCGAAAAGCCCAAGAAAAGCTGCGACCCACTTTGCTTCTCTAATACGCTGTCCAAATCCGATTACTATAGCTTATCAAATGGGCGGGAACACTGTTCCTAAAGTCCTCCTACCATTGTATATAGAAAGATAATCATGACCGCCCGATTTATCGAACTGGGTGACAGGGATTGTGATTCGCAAGTTTAAATGAGAGTTGTTTTTTTATTTAGAATAAAATTTCCCTCCTAGAAAGCTCTAACCAATCATACTAAAGAGATGACATGAAAAAGAGGACATGCACTACTTTACACATTAAATAATTATTCCTTGCCGGTCTCCCTTTTAGATGGACCTAATAAATGAGCCTATGTGCATTTGAAAATTAAACTTCCAATTATTTAAATTTAAAAAAACAATTACATTTTTGCAATGTATTTACTTTATAAACTTTCAAAATAATTTAATGCAAAGAAGTAACGAGTAATATTTAACTTATTTTCATCTGAAAATGAATGTGAATAATTTATACTCCCTCCGTCTCAGAGTATTTGTCCACTTTCATTTTTACACACCATCCAATGCACTTTTTTAATCCATTTTATCTTGTAATTTGTATATTAAAAAATTATAAAAATTATATATTAATAATCTATATGTTAAGACAAATCAAACAAGATCACACAAAACTATATTTAGGCTTACACATTGAGAGAATTTGATGAGTCAAAGTGCTTAGATGAACAGTTCCAAAAGTTAAAAATGAACGAATATAACAGGATGGAGGTAGTATTTAAAAATTATTGTCATCTTTAAGGTGCGTCGAAAAAATAAATACAGATTAAAATACTTGTACTCCGTATTAATTATAAAAATACCTACCAATAATATAAGTATAAATTTTCTATGGTAATTATATTTGACCTAATTGTTGACCCATATTGACCAACTATTCGCTATTCCTTATTCCTGCTCGCTTTGCTCGTTTGCGTCGATGTCCGGTCTGGTCAAACAAATAAGAGCTGACTTTTTCCAAATAAAACCGCCAGGCAAGAAGCACCGCCACCCACCCACCCACGGCCCACCACCGGTTTCTTGTTCCACACGGCGTCAATAGAGACTCGATCCACATTAACTCATCCCCACTCTACGGGTTAGTCCATATATATATAAACAGACAAACTCCGTTCCCACACCAAATCTCACTCTATCATTCCGATCTCCGGCCATGACGACCAAATTCCTCGCAATAATCTCTCTTTTAGCCCTCGCAATTTTACTACGCGGCGCCCAGCCGTCGTCTGCCTGCCGGCCGCTCCGCCACGTCGCCGTCGCCGCCTCCGCGGCCAAGATCGGATCTTCGCCGTCGGATCCCTCGCTCCCCCCGACGAATAAGGACGGAGAGGCAATTACGGGCGGCGGGATGATTAGCTCGGAAGCCGCCGCGAGCGCGTTGAGAAGGAAGCGCGTGATTTCGCTGCTGCACATGTTGCCGAAAGGACAAGTGACTCCGTCCGGACCAGGTGGCAAAGAACATGACGTCAGTAATTAATTAGCGAATAAGCTTGATTAATTAAGATTATTGTTGAATTGATATTGTGTGTGCACAAAAGATACGCACAAGTATATACTATATATATACGATATTCTTTCGTTCGTTAATCATTCTAATTACTGCTGTCTTAATTCAGCATTTATTCTTTAATTTGTTGTTATTGTTCATGGATCTACTATATACGGAGTACAAGCCTTTTGCATGCCTTAATTATTAATTAGAACGAAGGCTTACATATTTTTTGTTCACAATAATTAAGGATTGATTTTAATTATGTGTTAGTTGAACTTTTGGCACATTACATGTTGTATTGTAACCAATAAGTTACTACTAAGGGGCATATCATTGGCCCCAATTACTTTATTAAAGTTGCGTCACTCTAATTTCTTCAAAATTATCATTGTCTATTTTATGGAGAAATTACGTGTATAATACTAAAACAATGTCCCTTTCTTTTAATAGCACTAGTGTTAGGAAGCCACATGTTTTATTGACGCATGGCCATTAGGGTGAGGAAAAGACTATAATGACCTTCACTCTTATTTTTGTAGATCTGTACAACCGTACATTTTCCATTGTGAGTAATAACAGGCCCCATGAAACATGTGGACAGTGTGTGAGTTAATGGACCTAAGAAAGTGTGTATGAATGAGCAAAGTAAAGGGTTGTGTGTACATTAATATAAAATTCAAGAGTAATCACAGTCCCCCTCTGATGGAGAGTGTGTGGGCTGTGGGGTATGTGTTGGGGACAGTGTGTGGGACTGTGGGTATGCCAAAGTCAGGGTCAGTGAGTCAAGCACATAATTGGATACAGTTTAGACACTTTAAGGATTCCTAAAAATTAGGGATAATTAAGGATTTGTTTTCCAAAAATAAATGAAAATTAGAAGGAATGATTTTTAGTGGGCTTAGGTTACGAAAGGGTAGGCTAGGTCGGTAGTACAGATGAAAATTAGTGCTAGTGAGAGAAAAAATTAGTAGTGGTATTATTTAGGTAAAACAACTATGATTTGGTGCCCCTTGGGTAAATTTCACCAATTTTATTCAATCTTATGATTTATGAATAGTTATGCTAAGAGTAGAATCCTAAGATGACGTTCTGTGTATCCACTACCCACACAGGCAAGGCCGTATCCCGCATAGCTAGGGCCGGCCGGCCGGGGAATACGGCTGTCTCCTATAAAACTTTTTACGAAAAAAAAGTTAAATTAGACGAACATATTGGGACAAATGGAGTAATAATGAATTATATCCGAGACCCAAGTTGGACAATAGTTTTCATATTTACTCTTCTTAGGGATATTTATGAATTTGTGTCCAATGTTCGTGATGTCTGAAACTAAATGATGTCAAAAATTCAAAATGATATCTAGTTTTAAAACAAATGACATAGTTATTACTCCCTCCGTCCGGATTTTAAGTTCTCACTCTACTCTTTTTTCCGTCCGGAAATAAAGTTCCCAGTATACGTTTTCTAACCCACTTTTCCTAAACTACCCCTCTCATTAAATCGCCCTTCTCACCCAATCTTCCTACCCGCATTCATTATACCCTCCTGCTTTAACTCGCACCTCCTCTCCTTCCCAGAACCATTCCGCCCAATTCTTTCTCCGAACCCTAGATCTCTCTGGCCGTTCAAACCGTTCCAGAATCTGGCCTCTCTGGCTGTCAATTTCATCAACAGCGCGCTGAGATCCAGAGACTCCGCTCGGAGGGATGATGAGGAAGAAATCCGAGTCCGGAGGAACTATCCGCGGCAGAGCAGGGCGCGTTTGCGGCGGCGCTGGCGAGCGACAAAGCTGCGACGGTGCTGGAATTCTACTCCCGCAAGTGCCAACTCTGCAATTCCCTGTCCAAATTCGTGGCCGAAGTCCAGAAACGGAACGCCGATTGGCTCAACATCGCATTCGCCGACGCCGAGGACGACCGGTGGTTGCCTGAGGTACGCGCATTTCCTCATTCCCAGCTTTTTTTTGTCTTGCTGTGTTATTAAAACTCTGAATCCTCCTCCTCCTCCTCATCCGCCATAGCTTTAGCATTATGACATAAAGTATGTTCCATGCTTTGTGGTGGTGGACAAGGAAGGGAGGGCGCTGGCAAAAACAGGGGTTCCGTACAGCAGACTCCATGTCGTTGCAGGTGTTTCTTATCTCCTTAGTAAGGGCATTCTAGTCATTTTATAGGCTTAGTCAACACTCACTAAAAATTACCAAAAGTCAAACTGGGAACATATAAACCGGACGGAGGGAGTATTTTGATTTTTTTTAAATATTTTTTACAAAGTATTTATTTAGGGGATGCAATTGAAGGGGGTGGAAAGTGGGTTTGGAGTGGGGCGGGGTGGGAGGGGTACACTTTACCAAGAGATTAGAAGGGTAGGAACTGCCAATTTCATGAACGGGCCATCGTACGGTCATCGGGTCATCATCCCATGACATTGCTTAGCAATGTCATTTGAACCGCCCCTTATTATTATTATGATTATAATTATTAATACTATTGTTTTTATAACTATTAATATTTTATTATTGCTATTATTATTACTATTGTTATTATTATTTGTATTATGATTATAATTATAATTACTATTGTTATTATTATTATTATTATTATAACTATTATTATATTATTATAGTCATTATTATTACTATTATTATCACTTTTATTTTTATGACTATTATTACTATTATTATTAGTATTTCTATTATTGCTATTACTATTATTACAACTGTAATAATAATAATTTTAATTTTAAATTAAATTGAATTTATATTAGATCAGATCGGAACTTCAAAAAATCAGATCAAATCAGACAAAAGGAACGCATTCCTAATCTAATGTTAAGATATTTAATTTGGCTGGCCAGTTTTAGAAGAATATATGCAATGGAAGGACTTGTTTGAAATAGCATTACAGATTAGCGTCAGTATTTTGGATAAAATTTTAACAGTGTAAATTACTATAAAAATATTAATGCAAAACGTTACGTATAGATAACATTTTCAAAAGACTAAAACTAATGTCTAACAGTATTTCAAGTCACCAAATGGAGTACGTGGTCAAGCTCCCAGACTTCCTCCTATCCCAGTAGGTGAAGAAAAAAGATACCACCTACACCAAGTCTTAAAACGAAGTTGTCCACTTAGAGATATTTTGGGGAAAAAATTTTTTAGTTTAATTTATTTGAAGAGTTGATGTAAAATTAGACAAAAATTAAATTCAACATATCGTTAAAAATTATATAAAAAAATATACGGAGTATGAAACAAGAAATGATATTACTATACTAATATACTTAATATTATTTAATGCAATGAGTAACAAAATTAGAGAAAAAATTAAAGACATTGACGTTCGCAATTACTCCCTCCGTCCTCCTAAGATGTTCTCATTTTGACTTTTTGTGGTTTTTAAGGGGAGTTGAAAAAAAGTGAAAGTTTACCAAAATAACCTTAATGAAAATGGGTGGAGTGTATTAAATGAGGTGAGTGAGGTGTAATAAATAAAGTAAGTGGGGGTAGTTGTGGTATTTTACTTGCTAAAAAATGAAATGAGAAGATCTATTGTGGACAAAGAAAAAGGACTATTGAGAAGATCTATGGGGGACGGAAGGAGTATAAAGTAGGAAGTATAACACAGGAGTACCCCTTATCATCATATATATTGAGGAGGGAGTATTAATTTTACAAGACAGAGGAAGTAGAAAATATTACACGTGAAAACCAAAAATCGCGGATACTCATGCCTGGTCCTTAATGTTCATAAGTTATGTTTCGGTTACTCGGCCCACGGTTAGTCATGCCCAATATCTGAAAATTGGGCCGGGTCCTTAATTTTCCTTCCACATTTTCAAAACTTCAAACCATCCGTCACGAAAAAAATGATTTCTTTTTTTGACCAAAAGCAAGGAGATGCTTTAATTTTTGTTAAGGCGATTCACATTTCCCAACGAGTCTTCTTGTATGCTAATTTGATTACAAATTATGGTTTATGAGACAAAATCTTCTATCTTTAAAAATTATTTATTTACATTTTGATATATCAATAAGAATTAAAGGTTAATATTAAGAAATTACGTCAAAAGTTCTATAATACGGAGTACGAGAGCTAATAAAAATATTTTATTTTATCAAATATCTAATGAAAGTACATAAATAAACAAAATTTGTATGAGGAGAGAAAAATTATATTGTATGTGAGAGGGAGTAATACTTATTTTTACCATGTGAGTAACATTATAATCTTAAGTGAGAAATATAAAATATGATCTGTCTTAACAAAATTTTTTGTATAAAGTACAAAACATCTTGCACCATTTTCGCCAAAAGTCGAATATGAATCAAGGAAAAAGGATCAGGCGTTCAACACCTGTCCATCATGCTTCTTAGCCTCCTTCCACATTTTTTTCTCAAAAAAAAAAAGTTGAGCCTGTGTCGGTAGCTCAATTGGTTCAAGAAGATGTCAAGTCTGATAATCATAAGGTCAGCTCCCAACAACAACAGTGTCAGAATTTATTATTTGTAATAACTCTTCATGCACATCGGTCACGAGGCGACCTCTTCAAGGATCATATTCAGATTATACCATGATTTTTATTTGAAAATAAGTATTTAATTACTCAATAATGAATATAAAAAAAGATTTACATGAAACATCATAAATTTGAATGTGTGGTATATGTACTCAAAGCATACATGGTTGAAATTTATGACGGAGAAAGAAGAAAAGTACCGAGTATATTCTTTAATTGCAAAGGATATTGTTCAAGTTTGATTTTTTTTATCACTTTGATTACAAATTGTAATATGTGCTACATATATATAATTACATCATATAATTTAAATTTAATATAATTTAATTGATTTTAAGACGTAATTCTAACACATAGAGTATTAATTTTTTTATAACATTTATTTATTAGTGAGTAAAACATCTTGATAGTTTAATTTATCTCATAATCCCTCAAATTTTAGTTTCCCAAGCTTTAACTGGAGAGGTATATAAACCCCACCCAAGCAAAAATAGGGAGTAAAGTAAAGACAGTTCCTTTCCGGCTTCCAACAACACTCAGACAGTCACAGTCATCTCTGATAGAAAATGGCGGAAGGAAGAAGCAGGGGTATTTCCGCCACCGCACTGCTTCTGTGTGCGATTTCATGGTGGGTTGCCGCCGCGGAAGGGGCAAAACTGCAGCCGCCCCTCCACCCATTCCGCCGCCAAACGGTTCTGCAAAGGGGAAATGGAAACCCCACTGTGAATCCCAATACCTATGATACTTCCAACTATGGCATTCTTCAGCTCAACAATGGCTTGGCTTCAACTCCTCAAATGGGGTATACTTTCCATTCTCTTCTTTACCTCATCTAATCTAATCTAATGTGCCTGCTTTGATCTTGCTTTTTTGTTTATTTGAACATTTAAGCTTGTATGGATTGATCTTGTGATAGATTGAGTTTATCTGTGTTAAAGAACCAACTCAATCAAAAGCTCAAGTTTGTGGTTGAAGGTGGAGATATGTTTTTATATATTCTATCAAATCTAATTTCATGTTTTGTTGCAAATTTCCAGTATTAGGGTAGGGTATGTTTGTTGCCTTGTTTGGCGATTTTTTTCATAATACTCTCTGTCCCATTATAGTTGTACCATTTCGGCTTAGGATGTTTGACCGAAGCAATTTTTAATTTAATTTATTTAAATATTGGTGCAAAATAAACAAATGAATTTTATATATTTAATACTTACTTCAAAACTTCTATGAAACAAGAGGTTATATGTCCATGTTATTATAACAAGTTATTAACGAAAATATGTAAGGGAAGAAGATATTCTTTGACCTCATGAATAGTGAATGAGATGAAAGAGGGACTAATTCCTTTAAAAAAAATACTCAGTAAAGAAATCTTCGGCGGTGTTTTTGAGCAGATGGAACAGCTGGAATTTATTTGCATGTGAAATTAACGAGACGATCATCAAAGAAACTGGTAAAAATGAGTACGCTTTTATATTGCTATGCTTCAAATCTCATTCCATTCTTTTAGTTATCATATTTATATTGCTATGCTTCATTACGGTTTGGCAGCTGATGCGCTCATATCAACTGGTCTGGCAAGGTTGGGATATACATATGTGAACATCGGTGAGCTTCTGAAATACTTCTCGAGCACCTTTACTTGTACATTAATTGACACTTATACCCTTATTGACAACAGATGATTGCTGGTCAACTGCATTGAGGAATTCAAAGGTCAGTTCATAAGACGCCGACTTGGCTCCTTCATTCATATCTAGCATTATAGCCAATGTGGGATGACTCCAACACCCCCCCCCCCCACTGCCAGCATCCACTGGTTCATGTTTTTTCATAGGGTGGCCCACAATCATGGCTAGAGGTCATATAGTCAGATCGTATGACTTGATATCACGATAGACTTAGAACACTATTTTTTGGGAATGTTTCTATGCATTTTCTGTATATGTTACGAGCTTCAAATGAGTCTATATGTAGTTGAGAAACCCACATCCCGGTCAATTCTCTCAATAAGGTAGGATTCTAAACTAAGTAATACAAGGATAGAGAATAAGATTATTATGAACAAATACTCACAGAATATTATTATTCGGGGTATATGGTAACTTCCTTAACACTATTTGTGTGAAGTTCATCAAGCAATGTTTTCTTGAAGGGTAGCACTTGCCCTTACCATGAAGTTGTACCTTGATCAAACACTACTCTTTTTAGTACTTAATATTTCAGATAAATATTCTCATCTTTTTCTGCAGGGTGAGTTAGTCAATGATCCAAAATCGTTCCCTTCGGGGATAAAAGCTCTTGCAGATTATGTTCATGCAAGGGGACTCAAACTCGGTATCTATTCTGATGCTGGGTAAGACAAATTTGTCAAGTATTAATCAGAATATTCACTTATTTAAATAACTTCCTATATTAAGATTGGGCAAAAAACGGCTGTTAAGTTGTGTGGTCTTCTAGACTCAATTTTAGCAAAATCAATTTTTGTAGGATTTTTACGTGTCAAGTTCGAGCTGGATCACTACATCATGAGTATGACGATGCAGCACTTTGGGCATCTTGGGTTAGATTATGTTTCTCTTTATATCAAGAAACTGTGTTCTGTTGTATCCTTGGAAGTCTACTGGTGAAGTTAATCACAACTAATATATTGATTATTTTCTTGTTTTGTAAAAAAACTTTGTAAAATAAAAGTAATTGACAATGAAAATGAAGAATAGTATAAATAAGAGTTCGAAGGAATATCTTAAAAAAACGCATCCAGTTTCAACTAGTATTTAATTTTCTCTTTCCACACAAAGTTTCCATCTATTTCCACCAAAGCATTTTCTATTCGCTACTGCAAATCAGTAACTTAGTTATTCTCCAAGCAGGGTGTGGATTACTTGAAATACGACAATTGTTTCAATTTGGGCATTGAACCAAAGAAAAGGTAATAAGGAGTACTTTTGTCTGGTGAGTTTTTAGTTATTTTTACCATTCTATCAGAAGGCTGACAAGAATGGTTCAATTATGGCCAGATATCCGGTGATGCGCGATGCCCTAAATGCTAGTGGGCGCAGTATGTTCTATGCACTTTGTGAGTGGTAACTTCCATTTTACCTCAAAAGTTGCTTGTAATGAGGGCTGAAACCATGCCATTTAGAACATTCTGTATTTTATCTACTCTCTCTGGCATTTAACTTGACAGGGGTGTTGATGATCCTGCATTATGGGCTCCTGCTGTTGGAAATAGTTGGCGCACTACGGACGACATCAATGATACATGGGCAAGGTTCTCAGTTGTTGATTCTTTTTCTCTTGGTTCACTAGGAATAACTTTGATTTAAATGTTATGGTGCCATACAAATCTTTTTTTGGATAGACATGGTTTGGCATCTAATAGATAACTCACAAAAGCACACCCCAACAAAATTCCGCGAGTGGGGTTTGGGGAGGGTAGGTGTACATCAACCTATTGGATTGTATGGTCGGAGAATTATGGAGGGAGGGGTGGAAATTGAAGGGTTTTTTTGTCCCTTTCATTGCTAAAACGCTATGAAATCTACCAAACTCCCCATATCACACACCCCCCCCCCACCTCGTCCCCATTTTGGTGGATTTGGGGAAGTTAATTAATTTTTCCCCTTAATTTCTTTAGCCTTTTTGTTTTTACCAAAATTGCTCTACACTTTTATTATTGTATGTGTAAGTTAATATGTTTCTAAGTACACCCAAGAGATAGAGTAAATTCCATAAATGGTCCTCTATATTTGGGGATTTTCCACACTTAGTCCACTACTCTATAAAATTCCATTGGAAATCCACTTTAATTGCGGGCATTGCCAATTTTAGTCTTCTTTCCGTCAAAGGTTCTCAAAATGATACGCTAATGAAGGTCGAAAAGTAGCAATATTCCATATTTTGAGAAACATGGTTGGATTGAATAACATAGAGGACTAAAACTGGAAAATGTTTGCAATTATTGTGGACCTCCAATAGAATTTCATAAGGGAATGAACTTAATGTGGAATACCCATAACTAGAAAACCATTTGTGGAATTTACTCAATAAAATATACCAAATGCAATACTTTTAATACCAATTCCTTCCCACCCCATCTAACAACACATAATATTTTCTTAACCACCTCCTTATTGGTGTCCTCCTTAAACCTAAAAATGAATAAACATCTACATTTCTTGGATCTTGTTATGAGCATAGTGATTGAGCTTCATCATATTTCATGTTTAGCATCACAACAATTGCCGATATCAACAATAAGTGGGCTGCATATGCTGGACCTGGTGGATGGAATGGTATAGACATGTTCTTAGTTTTGTTGAAAGTTCTCAAAAGATGATTTCGGATGCTGAGTTCTGAACTGTTGGATCTACTGTAGATCCTGATATGCTAGAAGTTGGAAACGGTGGGATGAACTATGAGGAGTACCGAGCTCATTTTAGCATTTGGGCACTAATGAAGGTATTTCTTGCCTAAAAAAAATCTTTCCTCACTAATTACATGATTGTTTATTTTGTAGAATCGTGAGATTCCAACCCAAAAGGCCAAAACCAATTGCAGCGAGAGGAGTGGCTCATATTCTTATATAAGTTCTTAGAATAGTAGACTTTTTCTAATGGTATTGAGTTTTGTTAAATACGGAGTATTTTTAGCATTAAATCCGTGTCTTCCCGGTTTCTTGTCTTTGTTGTAAACTCACGGCTCTCAACATTGTTCCTCTTGACACACATTCATAGACAACCTTTATTGTTCAATATGTCTGTGAGAAGGTTTGGGGTCAAAGAAAGGTGGGGTGAGAGTTGAGGCTACTTTAGCCTTTTCCTTGTTCCAAAAATTGATCATACTAATGAATAAGCATGTGAGGATCAAAGCAAGAAGTGCAAAGAAAGGAAGAAATAGTGCTAACTTTGTCCAAATTGGTTGTGCAGGCTCCACTTATAATTGGTTGTGATATAAGAAACATGACAGCTGAAACTTTTGAAATCCTCAGCAATCCGGAAGTCATTGCCGTAGACCAAGGTCATCTCTCTCTCTCTCTCACATTGAAGGGAAGTTGATTAATGTGTGTATATCTCTTGTGCATTTGCAGATCCACTTGGAGTTCAAGGAAGGAAAATTTCAGTTTCTGGAGCAGATGGATGCCAAGAGGTCAGCCTTTGCATATTGTGGTTTCTGTATTTGTGCACAGCATTATCATTATTAATTACTCCCTCGTCCCATAATTATCTTCTTGCACAAAATTGACACAATTTTTAATACAGTAGATCATGTGTGTTGGTCTTTGTATAGATGAAAGAGAGATAATATAGAATCCACAAACATTTTCTTGTTGCAAAAAAGTCTGAATCCCCAACCCCAAGGGCCCCCAAAGCCCGGCCCGACGAGTGATGTGAAGGGAGGTAAATCAAGAACCCAACGGCCCGTTAAAGGGGGGCTATCCCCAGAGACATGCAACGAGTCTATTCTTATAGCCCAAAATGGTCTCAGAATATCACTTTCTCAATACACGCCGCGGGGATAAATCTTTTTCTTAAAAAAGTAGAAAAACTATTATGGGAGAGATGAAGTATTATGCAATCAAATGCATCATGAGTAATGTAAATAAAGAAATAAATGAAGCAATCTAAGTGCCCCATAGTGACGAGCTAGTTACATGGTATGACATTCATCAATGGGACCTGTAGCAAGATCCACCAGCTACATGATTGTCATGTCAAGTTACTTGTTCACTATAGAACAATAGTTTCTTGCTTCAATTTTTTTCTTAGGCTTGAAACAAACATTAAAAAATGTGAATAAGTATGTTGTCCAGGTATGGGCAGGGCCTTTGTATGGAAACCGCTTGGCTGTAGCACTATGGAACCGATGCCCGGAAGCTGCAACAATCACTGCACACTGGGATGAAATTGGACTTGAACCGACCACCGCCATCTCTGTTAGGGATCTGTGGAAGGTGAGAGCAAATCTATCTTAGGCCTTATTCTGGCAACAACTTCAACGTTTAGTTTTAACATTTTGAAAAGACTGTCTAATGAAGTGTTCGCTGATGAAAACATTGTTCCCAAACAAAGCCTTAGTAATTTGCATTTTCAGTCCTAGTAAAACTTAGCTCTCTTTGATAACATACAACGTTTACGCGAACTACTATTTTCGAATTGCAGCACGAAGTGGTTTCGGAGAATGCGGAGGGATCGTTTGGCGCTCAGGTCAACTCTCATGGCTGTGACCTATACATTTTCACCCCTCACACAGCAGAGGATAGTTCTTTCTTCTCTTCATTGTGATTTTTGTGTTGTGTAACACTTGTATTATTGGCTGTGTTGGCTAAGCTAGTTTAATAATGGCATGTCCACGGTGCCACCCCGTGAACCTTTGTATAATACGAAGTACTTGGTCCGTCCCTGAGTGTTTGTCCACTTTTGACTTTTGGAACTGTTCATCTAAGCACTTTGACTTATCAAATTCTCTCAATGTGTAAGCCTAAAAATAGTCATGTGTGATCTTGTTTGATTCGTCTTAACATATAGATTATTAATATATAATTTTTATAATTTTTTAATATACAAATTACAAGATAAAATAGATTAAAGAAGTGCATTGAATGGTGTGCAAAAATGAAAGTGGACAAACACTCCGGGACGGAGGGAGTAATAGCTACCGAGCCTCGTAATAAAAACTGTTGTCTTCATGGGTTCATTTGTGTTGAATAGCATTCTGTATAATTTACTTCTCGGCAGATTCAACATATTCAGTCAAATAACTCTTACCAAACGGTTCACAGTACACAACGGGCAATAATCCCCAAACAACAATTGTGTTTATGAGTAAACCCGCAATACACGGAACAAAGCCATCTAGGTCGACAAGTCTTGGGGAACAATTTGCCTTATTTTCTGTTTGAACATTAAACTCATTAAAGCTTTGCACCTTGAGTCATCATCATCTGATCAAGTTCTGCCTGACCCAAATGGAGAAGGGCACTCATTTTCATAAACTTCGCTTGCATACTTCCAGTTCATGACCTTCCATATGTTCTTCAAGTAATCTGGTCTCACATTCTTGTACTGCATCATGACAAGAAAACGTATCACGTTCGTGTATTGTCATGAAACTAAAACATGAGTTTAAAGGATGAAGTAGCTGCGGTTCAAAGGTAAACAACAACCTGCAAGTAGTATGCATGTTCCCAGACATCTATGCCCAGCAAGGGAATCAAGTTTGTTCCTTTAGTAACCAAAGGATCCTGTAGGAGATATAGAGAAACTCTCAAACACTTACAACAACAAAACCCAATATAATGCCACAGAAAGTCGGGTCTGGGGAGTGTACGCTGACCTTATCCCTACATGGGGAAAAAACAATTGGATGGTTATGGAAGAAGAATGGTTTCTAAGTACCTGATTTGGTGTGGTTTCAACCACAAGGTGCTTCAGTTCACTGTCCAGACCCAGCCACTGCATACATAAGAAGCGTAACCAGCCAATAAATCCATCACTGAACATAAATTCCGGTGGGGGGGATTAGAGAACAGCACGAGACTTACCACCCAGCCAGAACCTTGTAAAGCAGCACCTTCTGCAGACATTTTGTGGATCAGAGCATCCAGGGAGCCAAAATTAGTGTCAATGGCCCATCCCAAAGATGACCTTGGAAGCTCACCACCCCCTTCCTGTCATTACAACTTAAGCATATTCCGACACAAATTTTCTCTTCAAATAAAGAACACGCCAAAAGTATTATGTGGGTATTAACTTACAAGAACAGGGGCAAGGTTCTTCCAGAAAATGGAGTGGTTCACATGGCCTGTTCGAAAATATTGACTATTTTAAACCAAACTCGTTCACTACTGGAATAACTAGCAAAACTATGAATAGTTTGACACTGAAGAGTAATTAAGCAGTAGATTTGTGTTAAAACTGCTCAAAGCTCACAACATGAAAACACACAGTAAGTATATGGGTTACTGATTTGCCATTGAAGATAAAGCTGCTCAAAGCTCACAAGTAAGACTAACACATACAGTAAGTGATTGGATTACTTATTAAACTATTGAAATTTCATTTTCCATTCCCCTTGTGGGATTTGATGATCTGATATAAGACGATGCCTCCATTGAATTCTCAGATCAATATTGACCTGCTCAATATTGACAACATAGCTAGAGAATACAAAAGCTTAGCAAAACCTAGTTATCACAAATTCACAAAATACAGCATCTGATCTGATGCGCCCCTCCCTAATTCGAGCACAATCACATTCCAAAAACACAAACCTAAAACGACACCCTTTAACAATAAATCGGAGATAGATAGAGACGGACCTCCGCCGTTGAATTTGATGGCGGCCTGCAATTTGACGGCGGTGGAAACATCTCCCTTGTTGATGGCGTCGTCGAGCTGCTCCAGAGCCTTGTTGTAGTTGGTGACGTAGGCCTGGTGGTGCTTCTGGTGATGGAGCTGCATTATCTCTCCGCTGATCGCCGGCTCAAGGGCGCCGTAATCGTAGGGAAGATCCGGAAGCGTGAAGGTCTGCAGGCCGCGTAGCTGCTGCCGGAACGCCGTCGCAGCTCCGGTAAGGGATTTTCGAGTCATTAGGTTTCGAAGCGCCATTTCCGATCAGTGATTCGCCGTCTTTCGTAGTCCGTGTTATATACTCGCAGGAAATCAGAAATACAATGTGCACATAGCAGCGGGCGAGGGACGCAAACGGGTGGCTTTGGGTGTGGATGGTTTTTTAGGTCAAAAACCGGGTGAAATGGGTAGTGAACCAAATTGATGACCGAAGACCAAACCAAAAACTATTCGGTTTTAGAATGAACTAGATTGAAATATTCAAGACCGAACTAGTCCAGACCAACTACATAGATTTCAAGTAATTTGTGTTGATGATTTTGATCCATTGGTGAAATTAAAAATTCAAAAACATAGAAGATATACAAGAAATTTATTAATTTTAAAAAAAGTAGAGGTTTGACCATTTGGTATTAGATGTATATTGGTTTGAATAGTATTAGAGCAAAATCTGAATGTCGAATGTTTTTCAATGAACATTGACCTTAAAAATTACTTTATCAAAGTTTGGTCTGGACCCAATTGTCCAGTTGATATATTTTTTCTGTTTGGATCGCACGTTTAACAACCCTATTACTTAGTTTTCCATTGTGATTTGTATTTTGTACACCAACAAAAAAATGATATACATAGGCTTTGTTTGGTATCAGCATTAATATTAGCGTTAACCTTTTGAAAAGGCTATCCGACGGTAGCCTTTAGTGTTAGCATTTTTAGAATTAATTTACACCATTAAAATTTTATCCAAAACGCTAACATTAATAAAAAATATTGTTCTCAAACAAGGCCATAAGTCCGGATAAATTGTGCACCAACACCCATTGAAATATTTCAAAAATTATTAGTGGCACAAAATTACTTTTATCACTAGCTCTTTTGTCGAACTAGATTTAAAATTGGTCACGCTAGTAGTTCAAACTAGTTTTAGAAAAATGCATTAGTATGCACTCTGCACTTATTAAATTCATTAGATTATTTTTATCCAACATGTTAAATTTGTGAAAATTATGGTAACATAATTTTATGAAAGCTTTTTTTCCAAAATAAGTTATGCAGTGTATTTATGAATTAAATACTCCGTAATAGCCAGAATTCATAAAATCTACAGAGTTATTGATTGAGAAAATCAATTAGCAAAAATGCCTTTTTGGAGGAATGGATTAAAGTGGCTAGTAGTTCAATCATTCTACTCCTTTTGTGCCGAAAAGAATTACACTTATCATGGGAATTAAAAAGTATGTTCTAGTAGTTGTTTATATGGAAATTCTATTTTATAACTTATGTACGAAAAAATTATACTTCAATTGTAAGTGAATAATTTGTTTTTGTTAGTAAAGGGTCATGACACTAAAATAAAATATCTTACTTGTACACTAACAAATAAAATAGACACTCAGTATCGCGTGCACAGACATTAAGTGTATGCACATGTTTGTTTTTATTCGATGTACAAATAGTGTACCACGCTTTTGCATTATTGCAACCAATACATCGATAGCCCATTTGTGTTAATAAAGAATCATCAAGTTTTGAGCAAAAGAACCAACACAAAATTCTTGAACAACACTTCTCTACATGTTTTGAGACTTCAAGAATCCCAATAATGTTCTAAACAATTTGAGATTTTCTAGTATCTTTTCCAATCAATAAATTAAATAACACCAACATCAATATAAGTAAAAGCAATTAGTCATTTATTTTGGATGAAACTTACCACTAACAAACACTAGCCAAGATATGAGCCAAAAGCCCAAAAAATACACAACCACAAGCAAACATACATTATTTGAATTGCAAAGGAACAACCTAATTGGAATTGAAACCATGACATGCATTGACTTAGACAATGGCCAATGTCTTAGCCAAGGAAGAGATCGTACTAGGAGACACCGCCCTCGTTCCACCCATGTACCATTTCTTGATCATTCTAGCCACATTTGCATTCCCCACTTCAATCGCCGACTCCTCCTTCCCCTCCGTGGCCACCACAATCTGCAGAAAAGATTTTATACTCTGACAGTCAGTTCGGGTTTTCGAGGAAAGATTTTCATGCTCTAATAACACTGGGCACTACCTTCGGTGACGCGTTTTGGGGGAACGAAAAAGTGATGACGGAGTTTTGCTTGAAGTATTTGGACTGAAAAAAGGTGACAAGTCTTTCAAGGGCAGCTTCCTCTTCATCTTCAAACAAATCAGCCTCAGCCAAGAAGTCCCTCACAGCACTCTCCAGCTGCAACACGTACTGTGACCCTTTAATTTCCTTTATCACTACCACTCTCAACACCGCATTGGTTGCCGCTGCATCATATATACACCGTGTTTCGGTTTTCCCAAATTATTATTTTTAAAAAAAACCACAAAATCCTAAAAGTATCTCATTGTAGTTTCTCAGACTTCGTTCAAAGCAGAAGTTGAAAATCATTTGGAAAAACATTTCATGGTTTTTTAGGTGAATGTTTGAATGATAAATCAAAATAAAGAATGTGAAATGAGTTGGGATTTGTGAGACCTGTTTGGAAGATGGATCTAATGGAACTATTTTAAATTAATTAGAGGTCAAAGTTAATCCATTTTGATTCGAAAAAAGTCAGACTGTACGAATATACTAAGACGGAGAGGACAATGACATAATTACCCTCGATCACAGCTTCAAAGAAGTCATCATCTTGAGAGAGATCAGCTGGTGTTTTGCCCTTCCATTTCTGTAAATGTGACACAATTTCAGGGTCCAAATAAACCCCAATTGCTGTGAACTTTATTTGGAGGAAATGGATCTCAATATCAGTTATCCCTGTTGCATCAAATAAACAATTAATTAATTATATTATTAATAATAAGAAGAAAAAAAATAAAACCAAGGAATATTATAGTACCATGACCCATCAGTGATAGCTGGGCATTGTTCAAGTTAACATGAGGTGGGAATGGGATTCCATCCACCATTACCATTTCAGAACCCACTGCAAATCAAATAATTAAAACAATTCAATTAAACATTAAATAAATAAAGGGATACATATAAATGATATGATGATAAAAATACACAATTTTTATCCATCATTTTAGTAGGGAAAAGTTCAGATGTAAACAAGAGGTGCTGAAGAGAGCTTACTCTGATATTATATGTCTCTCTTCTTCTTGAATTAAAAGCAGTGAAGGGGGTGGAGGATGAATTAAATTGTGTATTTTTGCTCTATATATATACTCGTGGGTACTAATTATATATACCGAGTAAATGTTAGATAAATAATAAAAATTTGATGTATCAAAAGTATATACTCCTTCCGTCCCGGAGTATTCGTCCAGTTTTGACTTTTGGAACTGTTCATTTAAGCACTTTGACTCATCAAATTCTCCCAATGTGTAAGCCTAAATATAGTCATGTGTGATCTTGTTTAATTTGTCTTAACATATAGATTATTAATATATAATTTCTATAATTTTTTAATATACAAATTACAAGATAAAATGGATTAAAGAAGTGCATTGGATGGTGTGCCAAAAGGTAAGTGGACAAAGGCAGTGGGACGGAGGGAGTCAAATTCATTTTAAAATTATATGAAAAATTTATGGAAATAACAAATATAAAAAGTATTTTACTTTATCAAATAGTCAATGAAAATATACAAAGAAGTAAATGTTCTCGTGACTGTTGGAGGAAACAAATATGACAAATATTTTGGGACAGGGAGAGTACTCATTAATACTCCATATTTACATTGGGGAGGAGTATGTGGGTGATGGGGGTGTGTGGATGAGGAGGTGACAAATTGACGGACGGATGGGTGGATGGTAGGTGAAACGTGCGGTGCATATTCCTCTCTTAATTATTATTTTTTTTTTTGAATAATTTGAAAATTGAAATAAGGGAGTGTTTGTTTGTACTTATATTAGGATGTGTTTGAATTTAATCTCATTGTCGTTATATTTGAAGTTGTTTTTTTCTGGTCTAGTTTAATTAAATCTGATCTAATCTGATTAGATCTGATTTGATCTAATTTTAATAAGATTAAGTAATAAGTTGAACGAAATTAAGTCAATTACCCTTAGTCTAAGCTCTTTGTAAATCGGTTGATGACGTATTTTTGAATGCTTATAAGTAAAAAAGGTATGTCTTACCCGTTAAACTTAAGTTTATTTTCAATTTTTCATATCAACTGATGACTTAAGTCAAAACGACTCGTTTCTCGTTTATGTCACCTTACAAAATATTTCAATAAGCAATCTATCATTAATAAGTCAATAAATATTAGCACATTGAAAGACTTTCTGGATACCAGTTCTTGTATTATCTAAAACATGGAGGTTTTTGTACTCCGTATTATTTAAAAACATCTAAACTTGTCTATATACGGAGTGTTTAAAGATGAAGTAATTTACTTCTCCACCATTCATTTTTATTCGCTCACGTTTAGATTTGGGCACAGTTCTAATTCAGTACCGGAACCAGAATAGTGGGTTCTAGAACTGTAATCGGTACCTGAATTGCTTGGATATCATAATCTCCCAGAATCATGGGTGGTTCCAATTCTTGATTTTTGGTATCGTAACCAGAATTGATACCAGTTAAGTTTTTTATGTTTTTAAATCTTATATATATATATATATTAATTTATTAGAGGTGAATTCACAATATTTACAACAAAAAAAGAGTTTGGAGTCAATTATATACTCGATTACTTTGTTGGCAAATTTTTTGAAAAAAAAAAGGATATATTAAGAACCGAGCCTGAATTCCTAAATAGTACCGGGTCATGGGTGTAGTGAAATAACCAAACACGGAAAAAGAAAGAACTGGGCCAACACACCTAACATCGGCACACCGAGCCAAATAAAAGAAATCTAGCAACCTAGAAAACCAGTCCGAGAGTCAACACAATGAGGACGAAATAGCCAACCATCCTCGTTCGAAATGTTGGCATCCTAACAACCAGCATTTTGAAGGCCAACAAAACTGATGCCAACCGTCCCACCCATTTCTGTTTGCCCTTTATTAATATTAAAACATTTCTTTTTTTCTTAAAAAATGAAGGGAAAGTAAAAGAACAAAACTAATTACTAAAATAAATATTTAAAATTCTTAAAATTTATTATTATTACAATCATTGTTACTCTATCCGTCCTAAAATAGTTTTCCCATTTCTATTTACAAGGTTTTGACTGACTATATTTTCAATTTAATTTATTTGATAGTAGATACTCCGTATAAAATTTAAAAATAAAATTTATATATTTAAAAATTACATCAAAAGTTCTATAAAAACAAGAGGTGACAAGACTATATTATTTTATCCAATAACTAACGAAAATATGCTAAAAAATAATTAAAATTTAGCCGTGTAATTAGTACTTCGGGGTAACTGAAAAACAGGTCTTGGGACGGAGCGAGTATTGTTATGAAAAAAATGCATATAAACAATTTTTAATTCATGTAATAAATTGTAAGAGTTGAAATAAAATTGAAGAAACTAGAAAAACTATATTGAGTTGGGAAAAAATTAAAAAAATTCCCAATGAATAGAGCCCAAAAAATTGAAAATCAAGAATTACAACAAAATCAACATACTGTTTTTTAAAAAGGAACACCCTAAGTAAGAGTAAAACGTGGATAAAGTATCAAAATAAGAACTCTATAATTGTATTCTCAAATAAAAGTTTGTAATGTGGTAATGTGACACTGTATATGAACATTTCAAATTACTTTCTGATAATGTATATATCTGATGGTGTAAATTACCTAACCGGGTAAACTATACTAGACCGGGTCTAGAATCGTTTACTAGATTCGGAAAGTAAAAAGGTATTCAACTGACCGGTAGGACTGTAGGTGGAAACACTTGTAGCCCGATTGATATTATTAATATAGGAGAATGCACAGGTGCTTTTACAAGAGATTTTAGAGAGAATGCATTCGGATCCCTATCAATGAGGTTTACAACAATATTTATACTAGGTTAAATGGGGACAGAGTATCATGCAGTCACGTGGAGGCACGTTCTCGGATGGTGGGAGGTGATGGGCTTCGTCCTCTAGCTGCCTTGTCATCTTGTGAGGAAAATTACTTCCTTTGTCAGGTAGTGCCTTGGATGGAATGTTCAAGCATCTCTAGCGATCCTCTACTGATATGGGCCGCTACAGTCCAAACCCTTTTTAGATTCTCCTCTGCCGACGCTTTCTAACCCTGGAAACTACACCGGGTAGTTTCCTAAGGACGAGTTTATCGCGCTTAAGGAATGAATGGGGCGATGTAGTAGTTTGACCGGTATACTTATCTAAAGTGTATCGGTCAACTGTTAGTCCATCGAGCATCCTTTAGCTGGCGATTAAAGTTTCCCCTTCAAGTTTAACCTCCTTGACCGGTCAACTATCTGGTTCTCTCTCTTGATCGGTTCTGGGTGGATTACACCCATCAATATCATTGTATATGTTTTTAATTCTTACTTCGGGAGTAAAAAATATTGAACACCTATTTTAATACTCCGTATATTTTTAATGCTTGAATCAAGATTTCTATTTAAGTCTTTTTAACTTTTAAAAACCCGGTCCTCCAAACAGGCGGGTAAGCTATAAAAAAGTCGAACTTTATTTTTCGATTAATCTATAGGGATTGATATTTTTTTCAACTCAAGCTAAAATTTAAGTTCTGCCTAAGAATTTGATATAGTGTAAAGTTATACAATAACATTTAGTTGACATTAATTTTTAATATCATATTATAACATCCGAAATCTATAGTACAAAATTCACCCTTAAAATTTTCAAATTTTATTGGTATCCTAATCACAATTTTAATCAAATTATCAACCAAATTTGGAGTGCAATTAGGAGCCAGCAGGGTTGAACGAGGTTATTTATGAAGATGATTAGTGGGATAAACCCATATTTGCATTGAATCAGTCTTATTCCGTACGCATTTAAAAAAACAAAAAAAATCACGTATGGTGTTGAAATTAAATGTCACAAAAAGGTTTTTGTTATATCTATTCACATTTTGAATATTGCACACCCTATGATTTTACTTTTTGAAATGCATTGTTGTAATGTTTTTCAAAAAAGTAGAAAATTGCTCCATGGAAAAAAATTCCTGAGTCTACACGGTTAATCTTCTTTTTTCAAACACAACTTTACAAAACTACAAATTGTAAAAGAGTAAGCCATAAAAACCATCAATTCTATGAACATGGTTAATAATTCCTAAATGTCTTGCCCTCACCCTAGTAGCCCTCCCCCACCCCAATGTCAATTGAAACATATATGTTAGATATTTTTTATATAAATGTGATTGTGAATTTAAAGTTTAGTAGTACTCTCTTCATCCTAATTTAGGTTGTCTGTTGTCATTCATACAGTTAAATTCCAATCATTTTCATTGTTAATTTTTTTACTTATTTAATAAAATAATATAATCATGTCACATATTGTTCTTTAAATTTTTTGATATGGTTATAAAATATTTAAATTTTATTTTTAATTCTGTTCCAACTTCTAGATAAATTGAATTTTTTTCAAACAAACTTCAATCAAATAACGAAAATAACAAGATGCAACTTAAAATCAAATTGAAGAGTACTATTTATGTGAGAGGCCCATAAAGGGTAAAGTAATCTAGACTTTAGATCCTCCAAAGATAAAATAAATGCGTTAAGTCACCTTATGGGAGCGGATAAATATACACCATAAAATAAGTACTCCGTAAGTATTTGGTGTTAAGTCCAACCCAAATCCTACGCGAAATATTAACACGAGTAAAATTCCAGGTGTTGTTTAGTATTAGTGTTAGAGATAAAATTAATTATCATCATTAAAATTTTATCCTAAACACTCAAAATAATAAAAAAATATTGTCCCAAACAAGGTCTCAGATCATGTTATCCTCACATGATCTGAATAGTTCTGATTTAATTGGAATAAATTATGATCTGACTTGCATATAATTATATTTAAAACTTGGTCTGATTTAGTCTGATCTGATTCTAATAAAAAAAATACTCCGTAAATAATACTCCCTCCGTCCATGTAAGATCTTCCCATTACGCGTTACGAGGCTTGACCGACTTTATTTTCAATTCAATTTAATTCATTATATGAGTAAAATTTTAAAATAAAATTTATATAATAATAAACTACATGAAAAGTTCTACAAAACTAGAGGTGACAAGACTATATTTTTTTTATGAAATGACTAGTAAAAATGAGCAAACAAAGTGATTAAAATTTGACTCTGTGAATAGTCTCTGGAAAGATCTATGGTGGACAGAGGGAGTAAGAAGAAAGAACCATCACCTTAGGGTCTAAAAACAGAGCAAAATTGTTTAGAAAAAAAAAGGAGTAAAAATCAGACGCAAAAACAGAAAGAGAGAGAGGCAACGAATGACGTGGCGAGGGAATGCCATGTCATCGAAAAGAACGTGCCAGATCAGTGGGAGAAGCAGGGGGAGCGCGTGCCCATCATAATAGCCACGCCGCAATCGCGTGTCTTCCTCCGTCTCGCCGCATGGCTTCCGAATTATAAAGGCTCCGCACGCGAACCACCAATCGCCTTTACGCAACCGCCATTATATATATAACAGGCGAAGACTCCGATCGGGAAAAACTCACCTTCCAGATCTCGTCCCCGTCCGCCGGCAATCACCGGAGATTATTTATTTCTGAGTATTTTCTTTCTTTCTTTTTCCCCTGACGACGACGATGGCGTGTATCAATCTTCATCCCGGAATCGCGACCAATTCTCATCCACTCTTTCGTGGTAATCAAGCTACGTTTCGACCTAGACTCGACCCGGTTCGCATAAGCCCGGTATCCAGGAAGGATCGAATCCAACAGCAGCGGGTTTATGCGTCCTGCTCCCCGCCGTGCGACTGCCGCGTCGATTCGCCGGACCGGTTCGGCCAAGTCGCCGTTCAGGGAGAGGCAGGGGAGGAGGGGAACAAGATCGCGGCGGAGAAACTGGACAGGTGGATGCGGGGATCGGTGGCGGAGATCGTGAAGAACTTGAACAGAGCGCCGCTGTTAGTCCACCTGTACTCGGAGGAGGACGGCCGCGGCGGGGAGAAGGCGGAGATAAGAACGGAGAGGGCCGTCGTGGAGGGGTGGCCGGCGGTGAAGGGAGAATGGGAGCGCGGCGAGAGGCCATCCCCGGACGGACTTATATTTGTGGAAGAAGTCCGATCCGGCGAAGAAGTGGAAGTCGTAGAAGAAGAAGAAAGGTGTAATGGCGGAAACGCTGGAGAATGGGGTGGGGCGAACCGGGCGTGGGGGGTGGTGGTGCAGGGGAGAGGTGCAGAGTGTGGGCCGGCTTGTTATCTGTTGAAGACGAGCAGCGTCGGGGCGGGGATGGGGATGGGATCGTTCAGCTGCACCCATTTTTGCCTGGTGAGAGTGAAGAGTTTCAGAGAGAGTGCTTTTCTCCAGTTCAAGAATTGCTGGTTGCTCCAATGATCTTCTTCAATTCACACACATGATTTGATTTTACATTCTTTTGTGAATTTGCTGGACAGTTTGGGAAATTGGTCGCCCACCATTGATGATTCAACATGTACAGAAGATATGGGAGTAGAGAATCCATCATTCCATCTTGTTTGTGTTGTATTTTTACATTGTTGTGTTGCTCATCACCTGAGAAAATATTTAACCCAAATCCTACCCATTGTTTTGCCCCCTTGCTCGGTAAGAGCATTTTCAATTAGTGTTAAACCATTTGATCTTGATTGGAAAGAATATTTTTAATTAGCAAATGATATTTTGGATAAAATTTTAATGTTTAAATAACGTCAAATAGTATTTTTTAAAACATTAACCTTGATGCCAAACAAGTCCTCTGTTTATCTTTCTGGGAGATAGAAGAAGTGAGGAGTTTTATATTAAAAAAAGTGAAATTTGCACTGAATAGGACTAAAATATAAGTTATTTCCCAATGTAAGACTTAATTTTTTTTATTTTCTAAATATGACTTAGTAATGACTAGTGAGAAAAATAATGTCCAAGTGATGTTGGACATTTAATTGAATAATGACTAATAGATAATGACCAATAATCCTACATTTCAAAATAAAAACATATGGTTATATATTGAGAAAGTCATTATGTTTTAGTCCTATTTCGATAAATTATTCTTCAAAAAACTCGCTATCTGACCCAAATGAAAATTAATATAGGCCAAATTCGCTACTCGGCCTACTTGAAATTTTAGGGCATGGGCCGGGCACAAACTTTATAAATATAGGCTCGTATATTTATGGGTTAGACTCGGGCTTTATGCTAAAACTCGTTACTGGGCCCAAGTGAAAATTAATACTCCCTCTGTCCGAAAATATTCTTCTCATTTGATTTTTCTTGGTCAAAGTTTGTAAACTTTGACTATGATATGTGGAAAAAATACATTGTATTACGATATAACTTTAATATGAATATATTCATTTTGAAATATAGTTTTCAAATATTAATTTTTTATAAAATATATCCCTGTATAAATAAAGATATTAGTGGTCAAAGTACAATCTTGGAGACCGTAAAAGTCAAATGGGAAGAATATTTTCGGACGGAGGAAGTAGTAATTATTATTACCTTTATTACCTATAGTTAAAATAAAAAAATAATAGTAATTATATTAAAAGTAAGACAAAATTTTACGTGATTTTAATGTTGATATTTATTTTATGGTATGTTTTAGAACATGGATTTGGATTTCAAATATGGATTTGGCTCAAATTTCATGTTTGAGAAATTCAAAAATTTTAAATTTAGATTTGAGTCAAATTCTTCTTATTCATAACAAAGTTTAATTTGAAACCCATGCACCTCTCTTTCTCATTTGAAATTTAAAAATTTAAATTTTAGAATTGGAATACATGAATTGAAATGAAATGGTAGTTGTCAAACCATACCTTATTGACTTTAGTGCAGTGAGATCATAAGAGAATTAAGTGTTGTATGAAAAAGAAAGATTTAATAGCCAATCCATAAAATGTGTGAGAAATCCTATATTTTACACGTAGTTTTTAGAATCAGATTGGTGACTGAGCCGGTCAAGGTAGGGGTAACCAGTGATTTAAATATATTTTAAAAATTATATAAATAAATATAGACACACACACCCTCATTTATAAATACCTAAAAAAGTAATTTACTCCGTATAACATTTGACCGAAATTATATTAATATACTTGAGTTATGATACTGAGTTAAAAAAAATACTCCCTCCGTCCCAAAAAGAATGGGACGGTTTGACTTTTTGGGAAATTAAGGGAGGGATATTTTGGTATTGGCTTTCCAAAAAAATCCTTGATGTGATGGGTAAAAGTAAGATGTGATGGGTAGGAAAAAGGTATGATGTGATAGGCAGGGTATGAAAAAGTAAGGAGTAAAAGTGGTTTTTTAATAAAAATGTAACGGACTTTACGGGACGCGGTTTTTTCTAAACGTAACAAACTTTTTGGGACGGAGGGAGTATTTCACAAACTCAAAAAATGAATTATAAAAAGGATTATTTCGGATGTTTGTGACTAAATATATACGTACAAGTGGAAAAACCAAAACTAACCATGTTTCACAGTAACGTTAAAATTTAGAGGTTAAATTTGAAACGACTATCATGTAACAATAGGGTTTAACTATAATTTTTTAAAAATTAATCAATTACTACCTCCGTCCCGTGAAACATGTGACATTTGCTTTTTAGGGGGGATTTAAGGGAGTGTATTTTAGTATTGAATTTACAAAAATGTCATTTGATGTGATGGGTAAAAGTATGATTTGATGGATAGATTATTAGTAAAAAGGTATAATGTGATAGTTAGGGTATGACAAAATAAGGGGTAAAAGTGACTTTTTAATAGAAATGAGAAGTGTTTTGTGGGACGGATAAAAAAAGAAAGGGGAAATGTTTCACGGGACGGAGGTAGTAAAATTTACACATTTAAAAAACAATATTACTCTGTAAAAATTTTATAAATGAAGACTTGATTTTTTTTCCAGCATAAGACAAATATGTCTTTAGGATCCTTTCCATTCAGATATTTGGGAGCTCCTATTTCTGATTCTCGCATTAGTGAGAAAGAATGTGATAAGCTGGTTGAAAAAATGACCCTGAAAATAACCTCTTGGGCTACTAAGCATCTTTCTTATGCGTGGAGAACTAAGCTGATCAACTCAGTTCTTTATGGCATTGCTGATTTTTGGAGTAGGATCTTTGTACTGCCAAATTCAGTCATGAGAAAGGTAATGGCGTTGTGCAGAAATTTCCTTTGGAGTTCTGGTCCAGTACACAGAAGATGCCCCTTAATCAAATGGGAGGAAGTGTGCCTTCCCAAACAGGAGGGGGGCTTGGGCTGAAAAATTTGCTTTTCTGGAATCAAGCTTGCTCAATGAAACTCTTATGGGATATTGCTAATAAGGACTCACTGTGGGTAAGATGGGTGCACAGCAAATACCTCAAGCAAGGAACAATCTGGGAATGCAATGTGAAGAATGATGATTGTTACTACTGGAAAAAACTGATCCAAAATAGAAGGCTTTTTGTGGGGATGAACACAACCAATGGCTACACTGTGAAGGAAGGCTATAACTGGCTTAAAGGAATCAAGGAGAAAGTGGACTGGGCTGGAGCAGATGGTCATTACCCAAGCACCCGATTATTGCATGGCTAATATGGAAAGGGAGGATCCAAACAAAGGATAGGCTTAGCAAATTCCTACCTATCGATACCACTTGTGTGCTATGTGAAAAAGAGATGGAATCTGCTGATCACATTTTCTACTCTTGTACATATGCTAAAGCAATTCATGGGAATATGGCAAGTGTGCTTAATGTTGATGTGCAGGCGGACTCCATCAAGGAACTGGGGAGGAAGATGGAGCTGGGAAGAGGCAGGAAACAGAAATGGCACATGGCTGCATACATTACAGCATGTTGCTATTTCATTTGGAAGGCTAGAAACGAGAAGATTTACAAGGGCAAAAGAATCAAGGAGGAATTTACATTTTGGTGTATTAGTGAAACTGTTGGTTTATCACTTGAGGGCAAAGGGGTCGGAAAAAGAACTTAGATGGGTTTTTTTGGAGTTGTTAGATTGTTTTAGTTTGTATGGGTGTTAGTCTATAGACCTTACTCTTGTTTTTGGAATGAAGATTTATTTGTGCTTGGTTCAAAAAAAAAGTTATTTAATACTCCGTATTAAAAAACACACAAATGAAATCTTTGTAGGATATGCATTTTCATAATAATATCAATTTAATCAATGATTTTGTGTTTGACAAAATCTTTATACAATCTTTTTTTAGTTCTAAAAGACTAAAACACTTGAAAATATTAAGTAAACTTGTAACAAGAAGCACCTTATCTTGCATGGTTAGGAACTTAACAAAACGTCTAAAAGATCTTGCATTTAAACTTTAAATCTCAGGGTGGATTGGACTAATTTTTAAAACTATGATTTTACATATTCATATTTTATTTAAAAAGAGGGGAAATGATTTTATAAAAAACCTATATCAATACATATAGATAGAAAGCATAAATTAATACATATGACTGAAATCGTGAATAAGAAATGATTGTATTTAGAAATACCTATTAATTGAAAAAACCAACATGGTATTTTAAATAAAGTGAATAAGAAAATGATTTTATTTAAATCGGTTACTTTTTTATTTAAACTCCAATGCCAAACATACCCTTAGGTTAGAGTGCGCAATTTCTTGTCCAAACCACACTCGCAAAAAACCACAATTGCGAAAATGCCTTCCCCTTTCTCTCCTTCAATTGAAAACATTCAAAATTTAACTGATCCACATAAAGCCTAACCTTTCCCCCCTGAGAAATCTGTGGAATACCCGAAGGCCGTCATCAGCAAACCGGGCACTAATGGAGGACGAACGGGCAATCGGCGACAGTTCTCCCATTATCACCATCACTAGATCCAAACAAAAGGTTCCTATTTTACTTCTATTTTATTTTCCTTCGACTTTCTTGCAGAGGGAGTGATTTATTTGCTCCGCGTTTTCAGGCCAAGAGAGGAACTGTGGGTCTTGAAGAAAGATCCGAACTTTATCACAAAACAGTGAAAGTGAGGGATCTTGAACATCCCGGAGGCATGCTTCTATAGTTTTAATGTTCGGATTTCCCTGCTTGGTTGTGTGATTTAGTTTTTCCCTGAATTAGCAGTAATTATTTTATATTTAAATCATAAAATTTTGATATCCGGGTTATGAATAAAGAAATGTTATAGGATTCCCACTCCTCTGATTCAGATTGAGATGATTTATATTGTGCTTATAAAGTGCTGTAGAAAGTGTTATGTTAGGAGATATTGCATTTTCTTTTTTCAGTATTACTAGTTGATTTGATATGTTTGAATTCCTACCTCATTTGGCCCCCATTATTTTGCTTGGGCAGAAATAAACGGAAAAGATAACGGCGAAGAAATTGAATGTTCTTCTCAATCTGACAGAGATAGACTGTTTAAGATGTACCGGAGGGATGTTTCGGTTAGTCATGTGAATATGGGAGTTGACAATGACTTAGGCCTAAATGCAGATGATGTTTCTAGCTCAGTCAATGCCAACTCTTTTCATCACCATCAATATCATCAGAACAGTATTGGACAAGCAGCTGTTAGACCAAGGGGTAATAATAATAATGTGCAGAAGAGGAAAAATGAGAGGATGAAGAAGAAGATAGAGCTTGCAATGAGAGAACAAGCAGACAGGTTTGCCAAGATTGCAGCCCCTACTGGATTGCTGACGGGGTTGAACCCCGGGATCATCAACCACGTGAGAAACACTAAACAGGTCCATTCCATTATAGAAGCCCTTGTGAAATCTGAAAAGTATGACAACAATTCATCAGTTGAAGGGAAGAGAATGAAGATTGGTGAAAGAAAGGATATTGAGAAGGCGACAACACTGAGTGCTTTGTCAGCAGGGAGGCATATTATTGGATATTCATCAGTGACACCGTCTAATGGACGCGAGCTTGAGGGCAGGAATGGGAATTTGTGTACAATTGGGAAAAGGACGATATATCCCTCAAACTACAATAACACAGACTGCTGTAATAACACAAATGTCATCATTACTTCTAATGTTGGGCCAACAAACTTAAATGATGTTACTGCACTATCCATTAATGGTTGGTTTTCAACACCTTATGCCTTTTTCCATTTTTGTGTCATTCAGTACAAATATATATAAGGCATTGCAGGGTGGCAGAAGGGTCACATTGTTGATTGCGGTGATTGTACTGATTTTGGGGTAGGAAAAGATGAATGGACTCATTAAGTTCAATCATCTAAAAGTATATTTTTAAATTTAAAAAACAAAAAACTACTAACATCTACAAAATAATGATGGAAGTTTTATATATTTCATTTTTGTTATTCCAGCCAAAGATACAACCTTTGTAGTGTTTCTTTTTGAGTTTATGGTTCCATAAATGGGCTTGATAAGTAATAAAAAAAGTGGGTGACTAATATCAATCCATGAGATATGCCAGGATTCATGCGTTTCAGTTTGTGAACTTCATCAACTAATCACACTTAGTATTTCTTGCTCTCATTTCAGCTGCTAAAATTGCTGCGCAATGGTTGGAATTGCTTAATCAGGACACAAGATGTCGTCTTGCTGGTATGATCCCACACTATACTCTTTTAGTGGATGGAAATGAAGTTTGTTATTACTACTTTGCTTACTTTCCTTAAAACTTTCAGCGCTGAGAAGCAGTAGAAAGAGAGTACGAGACACAATTCAGATCGATTTTCGTTGCTTAATCTCAAGGGAATTCTCTTGTAATGATAATAATAATAATGATAATCCACAACAAGATTCCAGGGGCTGTGAGAAAGCAGCTACTGTAAATGCTCATCATGCTAGATGGAGTGCATTGTTTTATCAACTTGATGAATCTCTATCTGAAGAAGAGTCTCAGCTGGTGAGTCTCTTTGATAGCACATTGAATTTATAGTTTGCTCTTTCTTGGGTACTCCTTTGCACAACATAGTTTGCTCTTCCTTGATATTTTTGTTGTGTGTGCACACGTGGATGCACCTTGGAAAAAACACGGGAAAAAGAAATAGGACTAATTTTCTTTAAAAAAAAAGCAATCATGTATCATATGTTTAGATTTCTTTTTTAAAAAACAATCATCTATCATATAGTTTGCTCCTTCTTGGTTTTTTGTGTGTGCACAAGTGGTCTTACCTTGAAGAACACACAGGAAAATGAGATATGACTAATTTTCTTTAAAAAAACAGTTATCTATCATATGTCTACATATCTTGGTCTCTATATAATTGAAATAAATAAATAAAGTTTGAACGAATATACAAAATAAATTTATTGAATCATTTGCTTCTTACTATATTTTCTTCATTTTTCGTATCTTTAAAGTCTCCTCGCGAACGAATTTTCAGGTAAGTTGGCACAAACAAGTACAGGAAATGCAGATGCGGTGCGAGCGTGGCCTTATCAAATACAGTAAGGCGCCATGCGGTTCACCTCAACTTGTCGCGCTGCATAATGATCCTGAGAGGGATTTAGCAGTTAGAGCAGCCGCAGCTTCCATTTATTCGACATGCAATTTCCTGTCTTCAATGGAGAACCAAAATCAAGTTTGATGTTTGGTTTGCAAGATGGGATGGTGATGTTTCTTGGCAATCTGGGATAACTGAGGATGTCAGATATATAGATTACCTTATTTGACTGTGTAATTGGATGAGAAGAATGTGACATTAACTGTATAAATAAATGGATTAGAGGTTTTCCTCTGTAAAAATGCCTTTAACATCATCATTTGTTACTCTATTTTTTAGTCTTTGCTTAAAAGTTCAACTTTATCCTTGTTGGGCTTTGATCTTATAATGTTAATTGAAGCGCCTTTTGTGCCAAGGGGGCAAAGTTCACATTTTGAAGTTGTTTTTCGGGTCAAAACCAATTTGTGCCTTGTATAATCTTAATATGTCAAATAAAGAGTGAGATCTGTTCTTGGTGCGTGTCAGGAATTCATGTTACGCATGATTATCCACCTTCGTCGTCGTTGTTGTAAGTAGTCAAATTCGAACATTGCCCATTTTGCACTCCCTGTCATCTAAATTATGCCCGTGAATGATTTTGTGCCTGAAAGACGTAATTCAAGTAGCAATATGGGTGCATAGAGGTGACGTGAATGGGCTCGACTCTTAATGAAAGTAACATATGACGTTTATGTTTAACATAAGGTCTTTGTTTAGACCAGAGATATATCCAATTTGTCTAGGAAAGGTTCATCTTTTTTATTCTATCCGTATCAAAAAGAATATTACACTTTAATATTTACGAATTCCAAGAACTTTTATCAATTTCTACATTTTTATGATAAAATGAATTTAAAAAAATTGAAATTTTATTTTATTTTACGTAAAGGTGGCATTCTTTTTGTGACGGGAGAGTAAATTTTTTGAAAACAGAGATTATTTTTTTAAGCAATCATGTTATGTTCACAAACTTATCATTTGTTATTTAAATTTTCATTTTAAAATTATTTTAGACAATTTAATGTTTTTTTTAATTGAATCTAGCATTTCTCTATTTTTTTAATTGAATGACTTCGTGATTTGGCCCAAACAATTCATTTGAGCCCCTACTGGAATTCCCCGCGATTTGGCCCAAGCTCCAAGAACCCTCTTCTCATTTCTTCGTCTGCTTCACTCTGCAACTTTTAAGAAGACGAAGCGAAATCGAAAGGGTGAAAAGCACGGCCGGAGGAGAAGTGAGTGGAGCACGTTACAATGGCGTCAAATCGCAAACACAAACTTGTTACGGCTCTCTGCAAAGAACTGTCAATTGATCCAGTAATTTTCTTACTCGAAATTTCTCACTATTCATTCATTAACAAATTTGAACTCCTTTTGATCGGTTTCTTCGAATGTTTGCAATATGCAGAATCAATTTTTAGGCAATCTGGAGAGGGATACGAAGAGCTTGTGTATGGAAATTACCAGTTCATCCCCACAAGGTGCTGCCTTGGTGAAGGACAGTGAGGTAAATGTAGCCGTTTTTGACATTTCCTGGTATATCATTAAGCAAGTTGCTTAGCCATGAAGACACATTGTTTTTGACCGTCAGAGTTTATCTTACAGTTCATGAGGTGGGTGGAGTTTGCTGACAAATTCCCGGAGGATTCAGAGCTGTGCTTTAAAGCTCTAGGTGATTTGAATGAAGAATTGGTTAAGATATCTGTTCTTCTAGGCAAAGGGTTTACACATTCAGCTGCAGATATCATTGTCTTTTCTATTCTCCACCCGTATGTGGTATGCATTCTCTTTTCTGCTTTCAGAGTTATCATCATACTTAATAAAGTGATTGCCAGACATTATCTGGAGGGTTTGATTATGTAAATGCATCAATGCATCAAGGGTCTTATGAATTTTTGATTAAATAAGGTTTTTGTTGTTGTGTTTATGTCAAACTTGGGTTTTCTCTGATTTTTCAGCTATTATATCAGTTTTTAATTAGAATTTTCCTTCTTATAGCTCATTTTCAATGTATCAGTATATCACTGTAATAGCATTAATTAGAGGTGTAAGCCTACAGAAATTTAGAGTATCCTTTGCTCTGGGGCATGTAAATTGTGTGTTACTGTTATTTATATTCTTCATTTGCAATAGCAATACGCCAATACCAGAATTTGATATTTTATTTTAAATTACAAAACTCGGGATTGGTAACTTGGAGTATTTAGTACTAGCTGTATGTATAATAAGTCTTTCTGGTGTTCTTCTTTTCAGATTGACCTTTCTAAAGAGGATAAAGAAAAATTACCACACTTGCTAAGATGGATGGATTACATTCAGGTATATTCTGGCCCTTCTCTTTCCAAAAGAGTTACATTTTTTAGTATTTTACCATGGCGAAGCATAATCCCCAAAATTGGGAACTCTTTTTAGTGCAATTTTGTGTACAATGTAAAGCTCACATGCACCTTTTCTTTTACTCCTTCCTGTGTAGAATAAGGCAGATGCAGCTAGCCTATTCGAAAGCATCAAATTTGATAAGGTTGAATTTGTCTATCCTGTAAGTGAACTCTCTTACTCTCATCTGCTCAGGATTTTTCTTTGTGAAAGCTGTCTTTCTGCAATTTTCTGTTATGGAAACCTTAATATCCACCCCACGTGAATGGTTGAAAGCTGAATGGGAATTGGGATGTATATCAAGCCTTTCAATATATCAGATTGATGTACTGGATTGTCTCTAATAATGGAATCCTTTGTTTAAATTATTTTTCAGGAAGTTAAAATGTCTAAGGGAGAAGTTGGCTCAAACATTAAAAATCCCGAGCCAGGGAAGAAAGAGGGTGGTAGTTCAGGCGATGTAAAATTAAAGAAGCCCTCTGATTCGGTAGTTTTTAATCATATCTTTCAGTATAGTGTCACTTTGTCATCGTTATACAGTGGTTAAAATCCTTGTATGAATATAATTTCTGGTAGTATTCTGTGACATTCTATACCAAAAGAGTACGTGGGACGAATGGTGTTTTTTTGTGATTGCATCTGTAGTAACAAATTTTGGTGATTGAATCTAAAAACGTTTTTTTAAATCATGTTTCAGGAAGTTAAAATTTTGAAGGGAGAAGGTGGCTCTAATGCAAAAGCTCCCAAGCCAGGGAAGAAAGAGCATGATAATTTAGAAGATGTAAAGTCAAAGGAACATGCTGAATTGGTATACTCTGTATTATTTAACAGTGTATTATTTGAATTTCTCGTTGTATCCGTGTCATGGTTGTTAAGTCGTCGCCTAGGCGTCGACTAGTCGTGGACTAGTCGTCCAGGCGGTTTGGGGAAGGGGAAAAACTGGGCGCCTAGCGACTAGGGTGGCCTAATCGTCCGGCCGAGAAAGGCGAGGCCTAGTCGTCGTTTAGTAGCGACTAGTTGGAGAAGAAGAGCCCAACCCGATCCCAACCCCACACATGACTGATCCGAATTTCATTAAATACGCTGTATTAAATATTACCGGATAAATTCTGTAATCCAATAATGATTCTCTCGCACGGCCGACGTCTATCCTTCCTCATTGACTGAAGATTTGAAGCAGATCTGGATTCAATTTTTTATCTTCCTCTTCATCGCATCTTGATCGGACGGAGAAGAAGAGACCAACCCGGTATTCCGCTTCATCGCACGATTCAGGTCCGCTGAGTAGCATCTCTCCCATGGTAAATTTTATATTTATAATTCATTCACTTAATTTTCAAATTTAGGTTAATTTTCTTTAATTTGGTTCACTAAACTATCAAACAAGTAAATTATATTCTTTATTTTTAAAATTTATTCTGTTATGTTTTTTTCTGATTTCAATTAACACTTTTTCTGTTAATTTTATTCAGTTTTTTATTTTTTTATTTTTTGATGATTTCAATCAACAATTGTTTGTGTTGTTATTTTGGTCTTTTGACTTAAGAAGTTAATTTAATATGTATTATCTCTTATAAAAAATTATACTTATTTCAGAACAAATGGGAGATAATAATGTTCGTGACTATGAGGATCCATCGAAGAACCCAAACGAAAAACCGGCTCTAATGATCCCAGATAGGAATATGGGTTTTGGCCAAATATGAACAACAAAAATCTTGTGGAATGCACATTATGCCACAAACAAATCAATTGTGACATAACGTTGGATGATGATATTTGATAACTCAAAACGAGAAGTTAGATATCAATATGTTCTTTGACTACTTTTTGTGCTTATTATCCTTGTTTCAATACTAATTGTGATTTGTCGACTAGTCTACGACTAGTCTACGACTAGTCGACTAGTCCCCTAGTCTCCCCGTGACCGACTCGACTCGACTTGTCGACTTAACAACCATGATCCGTGTTATTCTATACAGCTACACTTAAAGAATATGCGGAAATAATAAGGGCTAGCCCAGGTTCGGAAAATGCTCCTGGCCTTGTGGGGTCAAGGGAGGGAACCCTGTATATATGTATGAGGCCTTTCCCTAACGATGTTTGTCAAAAGAGACTGTCACCACTGTGGTTTGAGCCCATGACCTTTTGGTCCTAAAGGAGCCCTTGTTGGGTTGTGCCAAGGCTTGCCCTTAGTATGTTGTAAGAATAATAATTCTTATTTTTTTGTTGTTGCTGCAAATCTGGTGAAGAATTATAAAATATTTAATATATTTAGTTCTACTTCAGCTCTAATTGAACTTGTGTTGCTTCCTTGAAACTGACCTTCTTGTTCATTGTCTGAGTGAAGAAAAAAGTTACCGGTGATAATGACAAGAAAAACACGTCCGGAAAAGAAGTGGATGACAAGGATAAAGACATAAGTGTAAGTTTGCTTAAAATTCAGATCGGTCATATTCGTAAAGCATGGAAGCATCCCTCTGCTGACAGGTATAGTTTTCATCTCAAACCTTCTCTTTTGTTGATTTTAAATTCAAAAAATCACTCGAACTATTTTTTTCCCTTCTCCTTTATTCCTTTTGTATGTCTGACGGTCTGGGTGGAACCCGAAAAACCTTGGTCTCCCGTTTCCTTTTGGGTCTGATTGTCCGGTTAGAACGTGGAAAAAGGCTAGGGAGAGAACATAGAAAGGAAATTTTGAAGGAAAGATACTTTGGGGAAAATTAAAAAATAGTTCCGTCTCAATAATTCAATATTATTTATTTATTTATTTAAATGACATCAACAAAAACCTCGCAACTCTTAAGGTTTACGAGTGGGGGCTGGTTTGGGGTTGGTGTACACAAACTATACTACTACAATAGAATGTATAGATGCTTTTTTTAAAAAGACTGACCGGCCCAAAAAAACTCATTTTAGTTATATATTTCTATTATAGAAAGACTAGGAGTCCTTAAATTTATGTAAAATCTTAAAACTTCATAACCAAATTTGATTTTCTTATTTTCCATTTCAATACCATACATGTAAGAGCCATCTTCCTGATTCGATACATAGCCGTTATATTATCTGGGAAGCATGTGAGCACACATCTATGGTCACATTTTTTGTTCAAAAGTAACCGTAATTCAGCGCAAAACTCATTTGGATTGTTTTTCTTTTTTTTACTTGTGCAGTTTACTAGTTGAGGAGATAGATGTTGGAGAAGCTAAATGTAGACAAGTGGTCAGTGGACTGGCAAAGTATTTCACTCCAGAAGAGTTAACAGTATGCTTTTTTAATGATTCTTCAGGAATAAAATACTGATCTGTATCCATTATTTCTGAGATGCAGTGTTCATTAATCTTTTTTCTAATTGTCTTGTTGCAGAATCGCCGAATTGTGCTTATCACAAATATGAAACCATCCAAGCTTAGAGATGTTATATCTGAGGGAATGGTAAACTTAAAGCATCATATTTTTGTTAACATCTTTGCGAAATTATTTTGTCCAAAATATCCAAATAGATGGGGTTTATTACTTAAATAGTTCCATCCGAAAATCAACTGGTTTTTCGCTAAGGTTTAAATTTTTACTTCTAGTACTCCAGACTTCTGATAACGTTTGTTTGCGTGTGCTTTTTCATGAGTCATTTGATAAAATAAAATATTCTTGTCACCATTTGTCTTGTAGAACTTTTGATGTTATTTTTAAATACCTAAGTCATACTTTTTGTTTCTATACCAATGTGTAAATCAAATCATTTTAAAATAGATGAGATTTTGCATGTTTTTCGAAATAGGAAAGCTTTTTTTAGGACGGATGGAGTAAGGTACAACTATTTGAAATCATCAGATCTTAACTTTAATTTTAAATTTGTTTGCTTGCTCACACTTGACTTGTTTGGAACACCTTTTAACTAGGGGAAAGTACATTAAATATAATTATAACTAGCTTTCTTTTTAAAAAGGATATAACTAGCTTCCTTTGTTCAAATGAGATTATTTAATAGAGGAATTTATTTCAAAGTGGCCCTTTTTTTTGGACGGAAGGATTAGAAGCTATTTTCTTTCAAGTTGAATGTACATTATTATCTGATAAATGGTACTATGTCAGTACCCTGAGTTACTATTATATGCATATATTGGAGGCTATAACAAGACATGGTACTATTCTCAATCTTGAAGTTTCCTATGTTGAGTTGGAAAAGATTCAATATACCATAACAATGAATACACACAGGAACATATGCAATTCTTCAGCAGTTGAAACTAGTATATGTTAAGAGTTTACTTTCAAGCTGCTTAAAGTTCTGGTATAATTTGTTGTGAATCTTGTAATCCTTCCAGGTGCTATGTGCTTCTAATGATGATCACACGGTGGTGGAGCCTCTAATAGCTCCCGAAGGGGCAAACGTCGGGGAATTCGTCTCATTTCAAGGGTACGTGTTAAGCCTCTTTTATTTATTACTTTTTGGGGCCTTAACAATTATGTTCGAGACTGCACTGCTTAATCTTAAGTTGTGATCACTACTTGCCCAGCTGGGCAAATAAATGATCTAGATGCCAATTCCTTTTTTTTTGCTGTACGATTCTACATTTCTACTTTATCTTAGATGAATCCCTGCTTCAATGCACAAAACTATGAGGGTGTCTGTGACTGTTTGAAATCAACTTTTGAGCTTGCACTTTGCCTAAACGCATTTATGTGTGTTTGGCAATTCTGTTTTTGCTTATGGTTTATGGCATGAGATGGGTAAAATATGGTCCAAAAGTGATTTGCACTGAAGTTAGGATTAGATGATTTTCACTTCTAGGTTATGACATTTGCTTTACCAGAAATTCACCACAATCCCAAGCAACCTTTAAATCTTAGTCGGTAATAATCTGAAAACACGTTTGAAATTGTTTTGATGCAGACACGACGGGAAACCAGAGGATGTATTGAACCCTAAGAAGAAGCAGTTCGATAAAATAGCTGTGGTATGTATCTCTCCCCAGTCATTCTGGTTAATCTTTATTTCGAGAAGAATTTCTACACTTTTTTTTATATAAAAAAATACGGAGTATAAAATTATCAGCCAATTCAACCAACAGCTTTCAAGATCCCTTTTGGTAAGACATGAAATGGTTGAAGTGAATGAATCAATTGAAATAATTGAGGTTGTTGAAATGGTAGAATTGGCCAAATCTTGAAGAAAAAAAACATCATTACTCTATTCATTAGTGTCTGGTAAGAAATCTGGGCTATACTCCATATAAGTCAAAAGAGTAGTTACCATTTGCCACCAAAGACTGTTTGGTAGAAAAAANCTTGCTGGACCAAATAGTCTTGAATCGTGCATTGCCACAACATGAAGTCCGCTCTTCCATCAAATAACGGAACTTCAAACTTCAAGGTAGTCATAGTTCCACTCAAGCAGCAATCAACCAATACCAAACAATCCAAATTTGAGGAAACTGGCCTCAAAAATGGATTCAGGACGTCAAAATTAGTCAGAACCAACTTCTCTCCGAAAGTCACCAGCGGGACCCACACAATGACTGGACCTGCTGACGTGGTAATGGGACCCACTGATGACTGGACTCGCTGACGTGGTGCTGACTGGATGATGACGTGGCACTCGGACCCACAAACTGCTGACGTGGCACTCACGGACCCACCTCCGCTGACTGGACCACCACCTCCTCCGCTGAAGTGGCACTCCCTCCTCTTGCTCCTTGCTCTATCTCCTTCCTCCCTAAACTGCAACTCTGTAATTAATAATTCTTTTCTGATGTGGAAGATCAGTCAAAGCTGCAACCACAGAGCATACTAAGAATTATAATTACCAGATCACCCGGGCTCTGCACCTTGGCTATGATACCACTTGTTGGGCCCCCACTGCAAATAAATGGAAAGAAAATAAAAGAGAGCACACAAATTTTTAACGTGGTTCGGCACCTCAAGACCTACTCCACGACCCCCTCTGGGATAAAATCTCACTAGTAATTTTTGCACGGAAAAATTACAAACCCTCTCCAATATTTGACACTCACAACCTAAAATCTAATACACAATTATATAGATTGAAGGATTGTCTTGTGTGATGGAAGCCTATATCTCCTCTTTATTTATAGGCTCCAATCCCTCCTTAATTTTCCTATCACACCGATGTGGGACTTTGAAGTAACACTCAACAACATGAGTTAAATTTTAGGTCTCTCGTTTGACATTAGCGTTAGAAACAGAAACAATTTACATCATTAAAAATTTATGCAAAACACTAAAACTAATAAAAAAGTATTGATCCAAATAAGGTTTTAGGCCATGTTATCTTTAAATGATCTGAATGATTCTGATCTGATTGAAATAAAATCTAATCTGATCTAATCTGAATGTAATTATATTTAAAACTACGTCTGAACTAGTTTAATATTGTCGAGTCTGATTCTAATTAAAATAATAATAAGTAATAAAAATAAACTGGAGAAAACTAACCTTACTCTCTAATTATAGAGCAAAATTCGTTTAGAAAAAAAAAGTAAAAATAAGGCAAAAAAAAGAGAGAGAGAGGCAACGAATGACGTGGCGAAGGAATGCCATGTCATCGAAAAGAACGTGCCAGATCAGTGGGAGAAGCAGGGGGAGCGCGTGCCCATCATAATAGCCACGCCGCAATCGCGTGTCTTCCTCCGTCTCGCCGCATGGCTTCCGAATTATAAAGGCTCCTCACGCGAACCATCAATCGCCTTTACGCGACCGCCATTATATATATAACAGGCGAAGACTCCGATCGGGAAATATTCACCTTCCAGATCTCGTCCCCGTCCGCCGGCAATCACCGCAGTTTATTTATTTCTGAGTATTTTCTTTCTTTCTTTTCCCCCCGACGACGACGATGGCGTGTATGAATCTTCATCCCGGAATCGCGACCAATTCTCATCCGCTCTTTCGTGGTAATCAAGCTACGATTCGACCTAGGCTCGACCCGGTTCGCATGAGCCCGGTATCCAAGAAGAATCGAATCCAACAGCAGCGGGTTTATGCGTCCTGCTCCCCGCCGTGCGACTGCCGCGTCGATTCGCCGGACCGGTTCGGGCAAGTCGCCGTGCAGGGAGAGGCGGGGGAGGAGGGGAACAAGATCGCGGCGGAGAAACTGGACAGGTGGATGCGGGGATCGGTGGCGGAGATCGTGAAGAACTTGAACAGAGCGCCGCTGTTAGTCCACCTGTACTCGGAGGAGGACGGCCGCGGCGGGGAGAAGGCGGAGATGAGAACGGAGAGGGCCGTCGTGGAGGAGTGGCCGGCGGTGAAGGGAGAATGGGAGCGCGGCGAGAGGCCATCCCCGGACGGGCTTATATTTGTGGAGGAGGTCCGACCCGGCGAAGAAGTGGAAGTCGACGAAGAAGAAGAAGAAGAAGAAGAAGAAGAGAGGTGTAATGGCGGAAACGCTGGGGAATGGGGTGGGGCGAACCGGGCGTGGGGGGTGGTGGTGCAGGGGAGAGGGGCAGAGTGTGGGCCGGCGTGTTATCTGTTGAAGACGAGCAGCGTCGGGTCGGGGATGGGGATGGGATCGTTCAGCTGCACCCATTTTTGCCTGGTGAGAGTGAAGAGTTTCAGAGAGAGTGCTTTTCTCCAGTTCAAGAATTGCTGGTTGCTCCAATGATCTTCTTCAATTCACACACATGATTTGATTTTACATTCTTTATTGATGGATTCAACATGTATGTACTGAAGATATGGGAGCAGAGAATCCATCATCCCATCTTGTTTGTGTTGTATTTTTACGTTGTTGTGTTGTTCATCACCTGAGAATATATTTAACCCAAATCCAACCCATTGTTTTGGCCTTGTTTTTCAATTACAAAACATTAATAGTGATGATAAACAGGTCATTTGTTCATCTTTTTGGGAGAGAGAAAAATAGTGGGTAGTTTAGATTATTTTTTTTAAAGAAGGAATATTTGAGCTTGATATTTTATGGCATGGGCCGAGCACAAACTTTATCAGTATATAGGCCTGTATATTTGTGGGTTAGACTCGGGCTTTATGTTAAAACTTGGTGCTTGACCCAAATGAAAATTAATAGTAATTATTATTAACTTTATTGCTATAATTAAAAATAATAGCAATTATATTAAAAATAAGACAAATTTTTATGTGATTTTAAGTTTGATATTTATTGTATTGACTTTAGTGCATTGAAATTATAAGAGAATAATCCTCTTTTTTGTTTCCGCCTAATGGGTCTTTCAAGTTCCATCACATATGTATGTGCTCAACTTGAATTGGTAAGCATTAAATGTCTCACCGTGTATAATAATTCAAATATTATTTATCAATTATTAATATCATGAATTATTTATGGCACGATGTTAAAAAAAGTGTGTACATTCATATAATTGACTATTAGTATTCTCAAGAATGAGAAAAGTATATTAATACGTATTAATGAAATCGTGAATAAGGAAATGATTTTATTTAGAATACATACTCCTTCCGTCTCACTATATTCGTCTACTTTTGACTTTTGAAACTGTTCATCTAAGCACTTTGACTCATCAAATTCTCTCAATGTTTAAGCCTAAATATAGTCATGCGTGATCTTGTTTGATTTGTCTTAACATATAGATTATTAATATATAATTTTTATAATTTTTTAATATACAAATTACAAGATAAAATGGATTAAAGAAGTGTATTGGATGGTGTGCAAAAATGAAAGTGGACAAATATAGTGAGACGGAGGAAGTATAAATTAAAAAAACGAACACGTTACCTTATTACTCCCTCCGTCCATAATTAAAGTTCTCACTTTTCTTTTTTGGATATCCATAATTAAAGTTTATATTTCCTTTTTTGGTAACCTTTTTTTATCAAAAAAACTTAAATACCCTTCTTTATCTTTTACTTTTCTTCTCTCTTTCCTTTTCTTCTCTCCTCTTTTTCTTTCTTATTTCCTTCTCTTCCGTGCTTCTTCTTTCCTTTTCTCTCTTTTCTTGTTCTTCTTTCCTTTTCTCTCTTTTCTTCTTCTTCCACCTTCGGAATTTTCATTTCTTTTCTTTTTTCTTCTTCTTCAGATTTTTCCTTCTTCTTTCCCCCCTCTTTCTGAATTTTCTTTTCTTCATCTTCTTCATTTCCTTCCGATTTTTCTTCTTTTTCTTCTTCTTCTTCTTTTTCTTCTTCTTCCTCTTCTTCCCCCCTTACGATTTGGCATTTCTAATCTTCTTCTTCTACTTCTTGTGCATCAGATCTGGAAAAATCGGATTCAAATCTGTGAATCGAATTCATCTTCAGCGTCGATGAAGAAATTCGATTCAAATCTTTTTCATCTTCTACATCTCCTTCAGAACTCTTCGCAGGGTTTGAGTCGGAAATTCACCGGAATTTCTCACTGGATCGTCGAAATCTCATTGGCCGGAATTTTGCAGGGTTTAAGTCGCCGGAATTTCTCTCCGGACGATAGGATGGGTTGCAAGACTTGGCCAGGAACGGTGGGGGCTGTGGGTAAGGTTGAGTGGTATTTTGGGAAAGTCAATGTAAATTTTAACTTTTATTAAATTCCGTGCCCGGTTAAATCAGGAACTTTAAATGTGGATGGAGTGAGTATTAAATAATAATAATAATGGAAAATCTAATTATCTTTTTAATAGAAAAGTTATTTTAATTCATATCAGGGAAATACACTATTTTTTTAGGGAGAAAACTCACATATAAATATGATTAATCAAAGCCGGAAAAAAAGCAGGAATGACAGATTCCGAGTACATCATTTGAGACTAGGAACAGGCCATGGTAGCCAAAATATGGGCTAGAAAGTTTGAGGAGTGGGGCACAAACGAAACCGAACAATTAGTAAAAGTACGAAGTAACACCTTGCATTCATGAAAAGAGATGCCAATGTAAGTCAGGAAACTAGTAGAAGCCGAACCCAGATAATGACATAGAATAGAGCAATCCGAGAAAAGACACACATAGGATGTGTCCCTAGCTTTCAACCAAACCAACGTTTCCTTGCACGCTAACATTTCAGCCATCAACGGGGACACGACATCAAAGAGAGGACCATTCAAATCTGCCACAAACCTGCCCTCACGAGACAAAAGCACTGCCCCGAACGTTGCCCTGCATGTCCGCTCCTCGAAGCCTGCATCAAACCAGCAGTTAAACTCTAAATCAGACCCCTAGAGTAGGGCTTGGAGCCGGAGGTGTTGCCTCAGATCAGGTCAGGTCCAGAAGGAGGAGCATATAAAAGCACTAGATGACGCAATGCAACAGTAATTTAAACTCTCAAATCACCGAGCTCCTGGCTTGCCAAATTCCAGAAAGAACAGTCGCAACCATCTCCAATTGAGCACCATCCAGCACAGACCAAACTTTCTGCAGCCAACAAGGAAAGTCAAGAGACAAATGAGAAACTACCGGCAGACCACTCTCATGCAACACATATTGAGAATAAACACAAGAAACCAACACAAGAAAAACATTCTCAATAGAATTATCATACAAAGGACAAAATAGATCAAGTTTCACTCTCTTAAGGTACAAGTTCATAACAATTTATTTAAAATACATGATATTTTAAATAAAATGAAAATAAGAAAATGATTTTATTTAGAATACCTATAAATAGGTCTTCCACTCTAAACGGGTTACTCCCTCCGTCCTATAATGTTCTTTTCGGTTCTGTTTACGAAGTTTGACCGACTTTATTTTTAATTTAATTAATTTGATTGTAGGTGTAAAATTAAAAAATAAAATTTATATATTTAAAAACTAAATCAAAAGTTCTACAAAACAAGTGGTGATAAGACTATATTATTTTATCAAATACCTAATGAAAATAGGTAAAGAAAGTGATTAAAGTTTGACCGTGTGAATAGTAAGTGGAAAGAACATTTCAGCACGGAGGGAGTACTTTTTATTTAAACTCCAATGCCAAACATACCCTTAGGATAGAGGATGCAATTTCTTGTCCAAACCACACTGCAAAAAACCACAATTGCGAAATGCCTTCCCCTTTCTCCCCTTCAATTGAAAACATTCAAAATTTAACTGATCCACATAAAGCCTAACCTCCCCCCCCTAAGAAATCTGTGGAATACCCGAAGGCCGTCATCAGCAAACCGGGCACTAATGGAGGACGAACGGGCAATCGGCGACAGTTCTCCCATTATCACCATCACTAGATCCAAACAAAAGGTTCCTATTTTACGTCTATTTTATTTTCCTTCGACTTTCTTGCAGAGGGAGTGATTTATTTGCTCTCCGCGTTTTCAGGCTAAGAGAGGAACTGTGGGTCTTGAAGAAAGATCCGAACTTTATCACAAAACAGTGAAAGTGAGGGATCTTGAACATCCTGGAGGCATGCTTCTATAGTTTTAATGTTCGGATTCCCCTGCTTGGTTGTGTGACTTAGTTTTTCCCTGAATTAGCAGTAATTATTTCATATTTAATTCATAAAATTTTGATATCCGGGTTATGAATAAAGAAATGTTATAGGATTCCCACTCCTCTGATTCAGATTGAGATGATTTATATTGTGCTTATAAAGTGCTGTAGAAAGTGTTATGTTAGGAGATATTACATTTTCTTTTTTTTTTCAGTATTACTAGTTGATTTGATATGTTTGAATTACTACCTCATTTGGCCCCCATTATTATTTGCTCGGACAGAAATAAATGGAAAAGATAACGGCGAAGAAATTGAATGTTCTTCTCAATCTGACAGAGATAGACTGTTTAAGATGTACCGGAGGGAAGTTTCAGGTAGTCATGTGAATATGGGAGTTGACAATGGCTTAGGCCTAAATGCAGATGATGTTTCTAGCTCAGTCAATGCCAACTCTTTTCGTCACCATCAATATCATCAGAACAGTATTGGACAAGCAGCTGCTAGACCAAGGGGTAATAATAATAATAATGTGCAGAAGAGGAAAAATGAGAGGATGAAGAGGAAGATAGAGCTTGCAATGAGAGAACAAGCAGACAGGTTTGCCAAGATTGCAGCCCCTACTGGATTGTTGACGGGGTTGAACCCCGGGATCATCAACCACGTGAGAAACACTAAACAGGTCCATTCCATTATAGAAGCCCTTGTGAAATCTGAAAAGTATGACAATAATTCATCGGTTGAAGCGAAGAGAATGAAGGTTGGCGAAAGAAAGGATATTGAGAAGGGGACGACACTGAATGCTTTGTCAGCAGGAAGGCATATTATTGGATATTCATCAGTGACACCGTCTAGTGGGCGCGAGCTTGAGGGCAGGAATGGTAATTTGTGTATGATTGGGAAAAGGATGATATATCCCTCAAACTACAACAACACAGACTGCTGTAATAACACAAATGTCATCATATCGTCTAATGTTGGACCGACAAACTTAAATGATGTTACTGCACTATCCATTAATGGTTGGTTTTCAACACCTTATGTCTTTTTCCATTTTGTGTCATTCAGTACAAATATAAGGCATTGCAGGGTGAAATAGGGTGAAATTGTTGATTGTGGTGATTGTACTGATATTGGGCTAGGAATAGATGAAAAGTTCAATAATCTAAAAGTATATTTTTAAAATTAAAAATTCAAGAACTACTAACATCTACAAAATAATGATGGAAATTATATATATTTCATTTTTGTTGTTCCAGCCAAAGATACAACCTTTGTAGTGTTTTTTTTTGAGTTTATGGTTCCATTAATGGGCTTGATAAGTTAAAAAAATGGGTGACTAATATCAATCCATGAGATATGCCAGGATTCATGCGTCTCAGTTTGTGAACTTCATCAACTAATCACACTTAATATTTATTGCTTTCATTTCAGCTGCTAAAATTGCTGCGCAATGGTTGGAATTGCTTAATCAGGACACAAGATGTCGTCTTGCTGGTATGATCCCACACTATACTCTCTTAGTGGATGGAAAGAAAGTTTGTTATTACTACTTTGCTTACTTTCTTTAAAACTTTCAGCGCTGAGAAGCAGTAGAAAGAGAGTACGAGACACAATTCAGATCGATTTTCGTTGCTTAATCTCACGGGAATTCTCTTGTAATGATAATAATAATAATGATAATCCAGAACAAGATTCCAGGGGCTGTGAGAAAGCAGCTACTGTAAATGCGCATCATGCTAGATGGAGTGCATTGTTTTATCAACTTGATGAATCTCTATCTGAAGAAGAGTCTCAACTGGTGAGCCGATTTGATAGCACATTAAATTTATAGTTTGCTCTTTCTTGGGTACTCCTTTGCACAACATAGTTTGCTCTTTCTTGATTTTTTTGTTGTGTGCACACATGGATGCACCTTGGAAAACACACGGGAAAAAGAAATAGGACTAATTTTCTTTGAAAAAACAATCATGTATCATATGTTTAGATTTCTTTTTTTAAAAACAATCATCTATCATATAGCTTGCTTGCTCCTTGGTTTTTTGTGTGCGCACATGTGGTCTTACCTTGAAGAACACACAGGAAAATGAGATATGACTAATTTTCTTTTTAAAAAAAGCAGTTATCCATCATATGTTTACATATCTTGGTCTCTATATAATTGAAATATATAAATAGAGTTGGAACAAATATCTAAAAATAAATTTATTGAATCATTTGCTTCTTAGTCTATTTTCTCACTTCATATTTTTCGTATCTTTAAAGTCTCCCCGCGAATGAATTTTCAGGTAAGTTGGCACAAACAAGTACAGGAAATGCAGATGCGGTGCGAGCGTGGCCTTATCAAATACAGTAAGGCGCCTTGCGGTTCGCCTCAACTTGTCGCACTGTGTAATGATCCTGAGAGGGATTTAGCGGTTAGAGCAGCCGCAGCTTCCATTTATTCGACATGCAATTTCCTGTCTTCAATGGAGAATCAAAATCAAGTTTGATGTCTGGTTTGCAAGATGGGATGATGATGTTTCTTGGCAATCTGGGATAACTGAGGATGTCAGATATAGATTACCTTATTTGACTGTATAATTGGATGAGAAGATGTCAGATATAGATTACCTTATTTGACTGTATAATTGGATGAGAAGAATGTGACATTAACTGTATAAATAAATGGATTAGAGGTTTTCCTCTGTAAAAATGCCTTTAACATCATCATTTGTTTCTCTATATTTTTAGCCTTTGCATAAAAGTTCAACTCTATCCTTGTTGGGCTTTGATCTTATATTGGTATTTGAAGAGCCTTTTGTGCCAAGTGGGCAAAATTAACACTTTGAAGTCGTTGTCAACAATATGTCAAATAAAGAGTGAGATCCGTTCTTGGTGCGCGTCAAGATTTCATGTTACGCATGATTATCCACCTTCATTGTTGTCAGTAGTCAAATTCGGACATTGCCCATTTTGAACCCCCTGCCATCTAAGTTATGCCCGTGAATGATTTCATGCCTGAAAGACGTAATTCAAGTGGGCAATATGGGTGCATAGAGGTGACGTGAATGGGCTCGACTCTTAATGAAAGTAACATATGACGTTTATGGTTAACATAAGGTCTTTGTTTAGACCATGGATATATCCAGTTTGTCCAGGATATGTTCATCTTTTTTATTCTATCCGTATCAAAAAGAAAATTACACTTTAATATTTACAAATTATAAGAACTTCATTTTATTTCTACATTTTCATTGATTATTTGATAAAATAAAATATTATAGTTACTTCTACTCATGTTGAACTTTTGACGTAATTTTTTAATATGTAAATTTTATTTTTTATAAATACGCCAATATTTAAATAAAATAAATTTAAAAGAAATTGAAATTTTATTTTATTTTACGTAAATATGACATTCTTTTTGTTACGGAGAGAGAATATTTTTCTTTTTGAAAATATTTAGTAATTTTTTTAATGGAATGATTTCTTGATTTGGCCCAAACAATTCATTTGAGCCCCTACTGCAATTCCCCGCGATTTGGCCCAAGCTCCAAAACCCTTTTTGAGAGATTTCTAATTTCTTCGTCTGCTTCACTCTGCAACTTTTAACTAGACGAAGCGAAATCGCGAGGAGAAGTGAGTCGAGCACGTTACAATGGCGTCAAATCGCAAACACAAACTTGTAACGGCTCTCTGCAAAGAACTATCAATTGATCCAGTAATTTTCTTACTTGCAATTTCTCACAATTCATTCATTAACAAATTTGAACACCTTTTGATCGGTTTCTTCGAATGTTTGCAATCTGCAGAATCAATTTTTAGGCAATCTGGAGAGGGATACGAAGAGCTTGTGTATAGATATCACCAGTTCATCCCCACAAGGTGCTGCCTTGGCAAAGGACAGTGAGGTAAATGTAGCCAATTTGACATTTCCTGGTAGTTTAGGAAGTTGCTTTCCACTATTTTCACCGTCAGAGTTTGCTATCTCTTTGCAGTTCATGAGGTGGGTGGAGTTTGCTGACAAATTCCCGGAGGATTCAGAGCTGTGCTTTAAAGCTCTAGGTGATTTGAATGAAGAATTGGTTAAGATATCTGTTCTACTAGGCAAAGGGTTTACACATTCAGCTGCAGATGTCATTGTCTTTTCCATTGTCCACCCGCATGTGGTAGGCATTCTCTTTTCTGCCTTCGGAGTTATCAATTATCATCATACTTAATAATGTGATTGCTAGACATTATCTAGAGGGTTTGATTATGTAAATGCATCAATGTATCAAGGGTCTAACGAATTTTGGATTATATAAGGTTGATGTTGTCTTTATGTCAAACTTGGGTTTTCTCTCATTTTTCAGCTATAATAGCAGTTTTTAATTAGAACTTTTCTTCTTATAGCTCATTTTCAATATATCAGTATATCACTGTAATAGCATTAGTTAGAGGTGTAAGTCTACAGAAATTTAAAGTATCCTTTACTCTGGGGCATGTAAATTGTGTGTTACTGTTATTTATATTCTTCATTTGCAATAGCAATACGTCAATACCAGAATTTGATATTTTATTTTAAATTACAAAACTTAGAATTGGTAACTTGGTGTATTTAGTACTAGCAGTATGTATAATAAGTCTTTCTGGTGTTCTTCTTTTCAGATTGGCCTTTCTAAAGAGGATCAAGAAAAATTACCACACTTGCTAAGATGGATGGATTACATTCAGGTATATTCTGGCCCTTCTCTTTCCAAAAGAGTTACATTTTTTAGTATTTTACCATGGCGAGGCATAGTCCCCAAAATTGGGAACTCTTTTTAGTGCATTGTTCAGTACAATGTAAAGCTCACATGCACCTTTTCTTTTACTCCTTCCTGTGTAGAATAAGGCAGATGCAGCTAGCCTATTCGAAAGCATCAAATTTGATAAGGTGGAATTTATCCATCCTGTGAGTGAACTCTCTTACTCTCATCTGCTCTGGATTTTTCTTTGTGAAAGCTGTCTCTCTGCAATTTTCTGTTATGGAAACCTTAATATCCACCCCACGTGAATGGTTCAAAGCTGAATGATGGAACATGGGAATTGTGATGTATATCAAGCCTTTGAATATATCAGATTGAAGTACTGGATTGTCTCTAATCATGGAATACTTTGTTTAAATTATTTTTCAGGAAGTTAAAATGTCTAAAGGAGAAGTTGGCTCAAACATTAAAAATCCCGAGCCAGGGAAGAAAGAGGGTGGTAGTTCAGGCGATGTAAAATTAAAGAAGCCCTCTGATTCGGTAGCTTTTAATCATATCTTTCAGTTTAGTGTCACTTTGTCATCGTTATACGGTGGTTAAAATCCTTGTATGAATATAATTTCTGGTAGTATTCTGTGACATTCTATACCAAATGAGTACGTGGAAGAATGGTGTTTTTTTTGTGATTGCAGCTGTAGTAACAAATTTTGGTGATTGAATCTAAAAACGTTTTTTTAAATCATGCTTCAGGAAGTTAAAATTTTGAAGGGAGAAGGTGGCTCTAATGCAAAAGCTCCCAAGCCAGGGAAGAAAGAGCATGGTAATTTAGAAGATGTAAAGTCGAAGGAACATGCTGAATTGGTATACTCTGTATTTTTTTAACAGTGTATTATTTGAATTTCTTGTTGTATCCGTGTTATTCTATACGGCTACACTTAAAGAATATGCAGAAATAATAAGGGCTAGCCCAGGTGCGGAAAATATTTAATATATTTAGTTATACTTCAGCTCTAATTGAACTTGTGTTGCTTCCTTGAAACTGACATTCCTGTTCATTGTCTGTTAAATATTGTAGAAAAAAGTTACCGGTGATAATGACAAGAAGAACACGTCCGTAAAAGAAGTGGATGAAAAGGATAAAGACATAAGTGTAAGTTTGCTTAAAATTCAGATTGGTCATATTCGTAAAGCATGGAAGCATCCATCTGCTGACAGGTATAGTTTTCATCTTAAACCTTCTCTTTTGTTGAATTTAAATTCAAAAAATTACTCAAGCTATTTTTGCCCTTCTCCTTTATTCCTTTTGTATGTCTGATGGTCTGGGTGGAACCTGAAAAGCTTTGTCCCGTTTCCTTTTGGGTCCGATTGTCCGGTTAGAATGTGGAAAAGGCTCGGGAGAGAACATAGAAAGGAAATTTTGAAGGAAAGATACTTAGGGGAAAAATAAAAGTAGTTCCGTCTCAATAAGTCAATATTGTTTATTTATTTATTTAGATGAAATCAACAAAAACCTCGCAACTCTTAAGGTTTACGAGTGGGGGCTGGTTTGGGTTGGTGTACACAAACTCTACTACTACAAAAGAATGTATAGATGCTGTTTTCAAAAGACTGACCGGCTCAAGGAAACTCGTTTTATACTTTAGTTATATATTTCTATTATATAAAGTCTAGGAGTCCTTAAATTTGTGTAAAATCTTGAAACTTCATAACCAAATTTGATTTTCTTATTTTCCATTTCAATACCATACATTTAAGAGCCATCTTCCTGATTTGATACATAGCCGTTATATTAACTGGGAAGCATTTGAGCACACATCTATGGTCACATTTTTTTGTTCAAATAACCGTAATTCAGCACAATACTCATTTGGGTTGTTTTTCTTTTATTTACTCGTGCAGTTTACTAGTTGAGGAGATAGATGTTGGAGAAGCTAAATGTAGACAAGTGGTCAGTGGACTGGCAAAGTATTTCACTCCAGAAGAGTTAACTGTATGCTTTTTTAATGATTCTTCAGGAATAATATACTGATCTCTGTCCATTATTTCTTAGATGCAGTGTTCATTAATCTTTTTTCTAATTGTCTTGTTGCAGAATCGCCGAATTGTGCTTATCACAAATATGAAACCATCCAAGCTTAGAGATGTTGTATCTGAGGGAATGGTAAACTTAAAGCATCATATTTTTGTTAACATCTTTGCGAAATTATTTTGTCCAAAATATCCAAATAGATGGGGTTTATTACTTAAATAGTTCCATCTGAAAATGAACTGGTTTTTCGCTAAGGTCCAAATTTTTTACTTCAAGTACTCTAGACTTCTGATAACTTTTGTTTGCGTGTGCTTTTTCATTAGTCATTTGATAAAATAAAATATTTTTGTCACCATTTGTCTTGTAGAACTTTTGATGTAATTTTTAAATACATAAGTTATACTTTTTGTTTCTATACCAATGTGTAAATAAAATCATTTTAAAATAGATGAGATTTTGCAAGTTGTGCGAAATAGGAAAAGTTTTTTAGGACGGATGGAGTAAGGTACAAGTACAACTATTTGAAATAAACAGATCTTAACTATAACTTTAAAATTGTTTGCTTGCTCACACTTGACTTGTTTGGAACACCTTTTAACTAGGGAAAAGTACATTAAATATAATTATAACTAGCTTCCTTTTAGAAAAAGGATATAACTAGCTTCCTTTGTTCAAATGAGATTATTTAATAGAGAAATTTATTTCAAAGTGGCCCTTTTTTTGGACGGAAGGATTATAAGCTATTTTCTTTCAAGTTGAATGTACATTATTATCTGATAAATGGTACTATGTCAGTATCCTGAGTTACTATTATATGCATATATTGGAGGCTATAACAAGACATGGTACTATTCTCAATCTTGAAGTTTCCTATGTTGAGTTGGAAAAGATTCAATATACCATAACTATGAATACACACAGGAACATATGCAATTCTTCAGCAGTTGAAACGAGTATATGTTAAGAGTTTACTTTCAAGCTGCTTAAAGTTCTGGTATAATTTGTTGTGAATCTTGTAATCCTTCCAGGTGCTATGTGCTTCTAATGATGATCACACGGTGGTGGAGCCTCTAATAGCTCCCGAAGGGGCAAACATCGGGGAATTCGTCTCATTTCAAGGGTACGTGTTAAGCCACTTTTATTTATTACTTTTTGGGGCCTTAACAATTATGTTCAAGACTGCACTGCTTAATCTTAAGTTGTGATCACTAGCCCAGCTGGGCAAATAAATGATCTAGATGCCAATTCCTTTTTTTGCTGTACGATTCTATATTTCTACTTTATCTTAGATGAATCCCTGCTTCAATGCACAAAACTATGAGGGTGTCTGTGACTGTTTGGAATCAACTTTTGAGCTTGCAATTTGCCTAAACACATTTATGTGTGTTTGGCAATTCTGTTTTTTGCTTATGGTTTATGGCATGAGATGGGTATAATATGGTCCAAAAGTGATTTGCACCGAAGTTAGGATTAGATGATTTTCACTTCTAGGTTATGACATTTGCTTTACCAGAAACTCACCACAATCCCAAGCAACCTTTATATCATAGTCGGGAATAATCTCAAAACACGTTTCAAATTGTTTTGATGCAGACACGACGGAAAACCAGAGGATGTATTGAACCCTAAGAAGAAACAGTTCGATAAAATAGCTGTGGTATGTATCCCGGTCATCCACTTCTTTTTTTTTTAAAAAAAATATGGAGTATAAAATTATCAGCCAATTCAACCAATGGTTTCAAGATCCTGTTTGGTGAGACTTGAAATGGTTGAAGTGAATGAATGTATTGAAATGATTGAGGTTGTTGAAATGGTTGAATTGGCCAAATCTTGAAAGAAGAAAAAACATCATTAACCAATTCATTAGTGTCTGGTAAGAAATCTGGGCTGTTACTCCATATATAATTCAAAAGAGTAGTTAGTTACCATTTGCCATCATATCCGAATAAGCCAAAGAATAGTGCCCTAAACAAACAAGGCTTCTTCTTTTAGATTTTTTTGGGGAGGAATCAGTATTTTTTTTTTATTTAAAAAAATGAGAATCACGTGGGGGGGTGGGTTTGATATGAAAATATGTTTGAATGAATGCAGAATTTGTATACTGATGAAAAAGGGGTGGCGACATTCAAGGGCGTCCCTTTCACCACCTCTGCCGGCCCATGCACTTCTTCCCTTCCCAATGCCTCCATCAAGTAACCCCCCCCCCTTTTTTTTTTGCTGCCAAAATTTAACTTTTTGAAAGGACCAGATTATTATTATTATTATTATTATTATTATTATTATTATTATTATTATTATTATTATTATTATTATTATTATTATTATTATTCATACGAGTATATTTTGTTTATCATGAGCCCGGCTCTTTTGAAAATCCTTCGGTTTTTTGTCTGATTCCGAAATGGTGTCTACCTTCGAACTCCACAAACCAGTCCTTTATTATATTCTATAGTTATAATGTTTGTTATTATTTTGAAGTACTTTTGTTCAATTTAAATTGTTTGTTTTAGTTTACAATGTTTGATTTACAAGATGTGATACGATTGTCTTGTTTTATCGAATTAGTATCGAAAATGTGGAAAGAAAGTGATAAAAATTTAATTTTGTGAGTATAAGTAATACGTAGTAGTACAAAATTATATTAATGTATTAATTTCTTTAATTATTGACTAGTACATTTCTCTCTCTCTCTCTCTCTCTCTTGTTAAAAGGTTTAATTTTTGCGGAGCAAGAAAAACATTATAGTAAAAAATAAAAAATTTATGGTTATAAATTATTTAAAGGAGAGGAGATTTGAGAGCAATTCATCCTTTTCTTTAAAAGGAAAAGATACTGTTCGCAAAATTCAAATTTTTTCCACAATTTTTTTTATTTTTTATATATAAATTTTGTAAAAGTCAAAGATAGAAATTTATTTAGGGCGAGAAGTCTTTTTGTTTTTGGAGGGAGAGTTTTAAAACGTGAGATGCGTGGGTTTTTGGAAAGCAATCCCAAAGATTAATTCCCGTATCTCCACAAAATCGAATCTGATTTCCTTACCCATTTGAGTTTCGGACTTTTGGACTCTATTTTCTTATTCATTTCTGTTCTAGAAATAGACTGACACCTCATTGTTGTGATGTAATTTAAATTTAATTTATTTGAAAATTAATGTAAAATCTAAAATTAAATTTATATATTTAAAAATACATAAGATGTTATATTATAAGTATTATTTTATCAAATTAATAATAAAATAGATTAAAAATGAATAAAATTTGATTTTGTAAACAGAGAACGAAAAATTTATGTTGAATAGAGGTAATACTATACTACAGAATCCAAATCTTGCCCACCTTTTCCCACCTTAATTACGTGATTATGAATTAATATGTGACCGCTGGCTGATGAAATACTGTTTCTACCTATTTTATTATGAGTACTAAATAAATCTTCTACTCCATTACTTTTTAAAAAAATAACCAAGAAGTTTATAACTTAAGAGTTTATAATTAACTTCTTAAGTGTCATTTGAATTAACTAGTTGGCCAAAGAAATTTAATTTTCAATTTTTGAAGACTAAAACTAATGGGTTTGGCATATGACGCAAAAACAAAAAGGGAAAAAAGAATTAAGTCGAGTAAAATATAAAAAATGTATCAAAATAGAAGTTCAATGTTTTTGTTTTCAAAATAAGATTTAAAGTGTATATGCAATATCAATCATGCCAATATATAATACAAAAAATAATTATGAAATATCCATATACAATATTACATTGCTACTATATAAACTTGTATTTATAGTATAAAAAATAGATTTTTTTTTCTTTTGGTACTTTTTCTATATTTTACTACTCCCTTTGTCCCATTTTAAATTGTCTGTTTGCCTTTTTTCTCCGTCCCAAAATAAGTTGCATGTTACTTGTTATCGTAAACTTTTAAAAGTAAAATACCTAAACTACCCCTAAAATAAGTCACTCTTCTCCACCTTATCTTTTCATTCATCGTCATCCCTCCTAAAAAGCGATGACAATTTCAAAAAATCAATTCTATTTTTCTCTTCTTTAAATATGACCAAAAATCAAAACAGACGATTTAAAACGGGACAGACGGAGTATTATTTACGAGTTACGACGATTTCTTAAACAAAAAAGTCTGTCTGTCTAGCTCAATTTATTTCCCCGGTTCCATCCAACTCTATGAAACAAATCCTATTTTAGAAAAACGTGATTTTAAAAGTTCACTGATTTTGTCCCAATTTACTTTGTAAAGGTCAAGCTTCATAAATTTTGATCTAATGTTTTAAGTGAATTACTCCGAACAATTAATGATAACATTATTTTAATGTAAAATTTGCACTAAATAAAACTAAAGCATAAATTATTTTTTAATGTAGGACTTAAACTTTTTTTATTCCCTAAAGAGTACTTAATAATGTTTAGTGAGAGAAATAATGTCTAGTGATGATGAACATTAACTTAAATAATAACTAATTTAAATAATAACTAATGGATAATGATCAATGGTCTTCTTACGTTAAGAAATAAAATCATATAGCATTATATTGAGAAAAAGTCATTACATTTACATCAAAATACTACAAATACATTTATGGACACTGTTTTCAAAATCTTTCTCTTGTTTTGCATGCATAATCAGATTTGTCTTTATGAACTCCCTATTCCGAAATACATAATACACTTTTTTTTATTAATTTGTTTCAAAATAAAAACTTTGTTTCTTTTTCAAGGACTATGCGATAATGTTTGCGGAGTATTTTTCTCTAAAATTATATCAAATCATACAGATTTTTAAACCACATGTTCAGTTAAAAAGCTAAAATAAACTTTTTTTTGGAGAAAGAAAAGTGTAAATTTCTAAAACAATCCTTTTTAATAAAGTGTTTTTTCAAATTTGTCATCAAAAGAAAATACTTCATATCTTATTAGAAAAGACCGTTTTGTAAATTCACTCAAAAGAAAATACTCCATATTTTTTTTGCAAACAAAATATTCCATAGAATACTGTATCACTCAAAACAAATTAATAAGCTGTTCTAGAACCACTGGACTTTTTTCTTAGAGGGACTTTAAAGTTTTAAAATTGACTACAAAATAAAACCAGATCTCATTGAAGAGAGTGCATGCGCATTTCATTTTCTATGCCAAATGTCTAATCCACAACAACCTTGGAAAAATTATTTTCCATTTGTATTAGTGTTTTGAATAATTTATAGTGTAGATTAATTTTAAATTATTAATGTTAAATTCTATCATTTGATATTACGGAGTATATTTTAAAATGTTAAAATTTAATGTTGAAAGTATTGTCAAACAAGGATAAAACGCTCCTCACTTCCTTTCTCCAACGTTGAAAAAAAAGTTACACTTTATTTAAAAAAATTAAATAATGAATATACATATGTAGATCTCAAACTTATATACGTAAATTAGGCTCGCAGTTAGAAAATAGGATCTGTCAGATACTTGATGGGTCATATAACAAAGATGATTTGAATAACATATATAGGAGAAATGGAAGAAAGAGACTAATCAAGTACTCCCTCCGTCCACCATAGATCTTCCCAATAGCCCTTTTTCTTTGTCCACAATAGATCTTCTCATTTCACTTTTTAACAATTAAAATACCACAACTATCCCCACTTACTTTATTTATTACACCTCACCCACCTCATTTAATACACTCCACCCATTTTCATTAAGGGTATTATGGTAAACTTTCACCTTTTTTCAACTCTCCTTAAAAACCACCAAAAGTCAAAATGAAAACCACTTAGGGGGCCGGAGGGAGTACATCACAAAATGGGATTGGTCATGACGTTCGTGACCGGTCATATTAAACAACATGACCTCAATTCGTCCATGAGAGAGTTTCGTGAGTTGAGAATTGCTCCTCTTCTACGAATGCCCATTCAATGTTGAGAAGCAAGGCTGACATAACGATCTCAATCAGGTGGGGCCATCGCCTTGAGGCATAGCCGCACATGTGACCAAGGTGACTCACCCGTTGACCACAAAAATTAAGTGAACAGTAACAGTATTTTGGCATTACTCTTGATTAATGGTAGCCTAATCATATAAATTTATTACGAGTAGTTAACAATGATTTATACTCTATTTTCTCACTTGTCAATGAGTAAACAATGTCAATCACTCCATTCTATAAATAGAATGTTATATTGCGAGAATATAGATTCAATTTTAGTGACACAAAAACTAGTACAATCTTGAAATAGAGTAAGAAATAATGTTTGTAAATGAGATATTTCCCGACTTCAGTACTTAGTTGTGTTTTATACTTATATTTATCGTTTTTGTCTAATAGACTTTCCCCGGCCGGTCAAATAATTCTTGCTCGGCATGTAGGTCCTTATCAGTTCTATCCGGTTAAATTTACACAATCATACGTAAGTTTTACTTTTTTTAATTATATATATATATATATATATATATATATATATATATATATATATATATATATATATATATATATATATATATATATAGGGGTGGATATGGTTGTAGGATCGAGAGCAAGATGCATGGAATGAAGAAAAAAGAAATTGGAAAAAAAGAAAAAGATCTTTGAACAAATTGAATCGAATCATATCAACCACCCCTCAACAAGTAGGTTGATCTTCCCAATTTCTAATTGATTTCTTTCCCATTTCAAATTTCCTTATAAAACCAATATATACCTCCCTCCTCCCGAATCCCACTACGTGTAGTTTCTTTCTGGCCGGCCGGGTGTGGAAAACAGAAATTAATGGCGGCGGCGGCGGCTGCAGCTTCATATCCGAAGAACAATGGCGGCGGTTGGGCGGCAGAGAGGGCGGAAGAAGACGATGGGTCTTATTCGTCGCCGCCGCATGTGCTGGCTGTTGACGACAATCTCGTTGACCGCAAGATTGTTGAAAGACTGCTCAAAAGCTCTTCTTGTAAAGGTATATGTAAATCCATTTTTAAAGAAAATTACCCATCCAATAAAAATTATACTTTCGATTACAAACATTTTAAAAAAAAATAAAAGACTGGGTTTTTTTAATATTAATGTGACGAAAAAACTTACAAACAAATAAAGAATGAATGTGTAGTATAAGGCAGTGTTTGGCTTTGTGTTCAGTGACAACAGCAGAGAATGGTTTGAGGGCCTTGGAGTATTTGGGTTTGGGAGATGATCCAAACAACACCCCAAACATCAATGTCAGTCTTCTTGAACCTCACATCAATTCAAATGAAACCCCTTTGTAGTTTGAACTCCATTTTCTTGATCACAAACATTAAATCTCCAATCCCATTTATTATATTTCTGCAGGGATCAAAGGTGAATATGATCATCACAGACTACTGCATGCCAGAAATGACAGGCTATGAGCTGCTCAAGAAAATCAAGGTGCCATTTATTTATGAACTGTCCATGATTTTTCCCCCCTTTTGATTGAGCACAATATTACTATATAATGGACATTATAAATGATGAAATTTGTGTTGAAACCAGGAATCATCAAACATGAGACACATCCCTGTTGTCATAATGTCATCTGAAAACATACCCACTCGGATCAACCAGTGAGTTTAACCTTAATAACTGCAAAACAATCTTTGAAGTAGTTTGATTCCCAGATTTTTTTTCTTAATGGATGAAATAATGCTTATAATTAACCAGAAAAAAAACATGGGTGAATGATACAATTGCAGATGCATGGAGGAAGGAGCTCAGATGTTTATGCTAAAACCGTTGAAACAGGCAGACGTTAAGAGACTATTAGGAGGCCAGTTGGCGCAATAATAATATGATTGTCAAACATCAAATATTACATTGTACCTGATAAACTATGTTTATCATATGTTGTAATCTTAGTTAGCAATCATTCTTTGAGTTTGCTAAGAATGAACATTCATATGAAATAGGTGGTCTGGTTTCTCTTTGAAATTTCTAACTTTCATTCAATCTTTTCACAAGTTCCTTCTATGAAATTTCTCTCTTTTTTTTACGGTTTGTTTAGATTAATTGTAGGGTTCGTTATTTTAAACTTTATATTCCAGTTATTCAAACTCCACGTTCGATTCTTCAATACATCTGATAATTATTTCAAACGGGTAATAATGTGCTAAAGATAGAGAAATGATCAGATTCAACAGAACCATATATGTCTACCGGAAATGACTAATAGTGGTGGTGGTGGTGGTGGTGGGGATGCTCGTCGCAACCAAAACAGCGGCAGAAAGGATAAAAAGCGAAAAAGAGGCACCTCCGGAAGGCGGATAGGAAAGAGGCGATCATCAAGCAGGGGCAGCAACAGCAGGCCAGTAATGGGTCGTCGTATGGACCGCTCCCTTCACGGTGGTGGTGGTGGTGGTGGCGGCGGCTCATCTTCTTCTTCCTCGACCTAATGTTCAAAAAACCTGTTTTTATTTGAGATTCTTGAAATACGAGAAATCTGCCCCAATATGAATACAGCGAGCATCAATGAGAAGAGAAGCTGGTTGTGAGCTTACCTTGTTAGGATCTTGAATCCCGGCAGATCTGGATTGGAGGGAGGAGGATAAAGAAAGGGGACGGCGGCGACGCGGCGGTAGTTGGGGAGTTCGTTAGGCGGAAATGCCCACAGTTGTGTTAAATAACCATAACCCCACCATTTTTACATCACCATTCACAGCGGCAAGAACCTCGTGCTATTAGATATTTTGGGCCAATGTCAAAATCATAACTATTGGGCCTGAAGTTTTTATTCCGGTCTGCTGTTTCTTTAACAAAAACATGATGATGATATGCATCTCCGGCCATTCATCTCCCGGAGATTCTCAACTGTGAAGCAAACCGATTCCCCGTCGAATCTCAACTCCTATATAAGAGAATTGGTTCAAAAAGGCCGTCTTTTTGAAGCTCTGCAATGCTATTCCAGAGAGCCTTCCTCAGCTTCCAGACTCGCCTTCCCGGCAGTCCTCAAAGCATGCGCTTCACTGCTCAGCCTCGGCACGGGAAGAGCCGTCCACGCCACGGTATTCGCGATGGGTTTTCAGTTCGACCCTTACATCGCCGCTTCTCTTGTCAACATGTATGTGAAATGCGGGTCAATCCGCGATGCAGAGCAGGTGTTTGATAATATTCCCAAGTCGGGAGCTTTGAGCCAAGACGTGACTTTGTGGAACGCCATGATTGATGGGTACTTCAAGAATGGGTTCCGAGGGGAGTGTTTGGCTCAGTTTCGCCAAATGCAGGCTTTGGGGATCAATCCTGACGGATATACCCTCAGTATCCTTCTTGGAGTATCGTCTCGGTTTTCCACGGCGAAGGAAATTCACGGATATGCAATTCGGAGTTCGTTTGAGGGAGACCCTTTCATAGTCACAGCACTGGTTGATATGTACGCCAATTGTGGCAGGGCTGTATATGCTTGGCGCTTGTTTGAAAGCCAAGAATGTAAGAACAAGAACAATGTTGTTATATGGAATGCAATGATGAACGGGTTTTGTAAAACTGGGTTTTGGAGCAGGAGCTTGGAATTGTATTCCTTAATTAGGGGAAGAAACCAAAGAATCATGCCAAGTATGTACTGCATTGCATTAACAGCCTGTTGTGATGGTGAAGATTTTGAAATGGGCAGGCAGGTCCATACCGATATTGTCAAGACGGGGGTTGACTATGATCAATATGTGCATACCTCTCTATTAACCATGTATGCAAAGTGTGGATCGGTTGGGGATGCAGAGAAAGTTTTCAATGATGTAGTCGTAAAGGGGATTGAAACGTGGAATGCTATGGTTTCTGCATATGTAGGTAACGGGTGGGTTAAAGAGTCTTTTATCATTTACAACCAAATGAAAGCAAAGCCAGTTTCTCCCGATTCTTTCACGATATCAAACATTTTAACCTCGTGTGGTATAGGTGGTTTTCATGATTTTGGCACATCAATTCATGCCGAATTGATCAAAAGACCGGTGCAGACTAAACTTGAAGTCCAAAGTGCACTGATGACCATGTACTTAAGATGTTGTAAAGTGGAGGATGCCATTAAGGTTTTCAATAGAATGGAGGAAAAGGATGTGGTTGCCTGGGGTTCCATGATGTCTGGTTTTTACCAAAATAAAAAGTATAAAGAGTCAGTTGGTTTATATAAACAAATGCTGAACTCTGAAGTGAAGCCAGACTCAAATATGCTGTCAATTGCCATAAATGCCACCAGTGTGGGAATAGAGAGTATAGAATTAGGCAGCTCTTTCTTTGGGGTCGCCATCAAGCACGGGCTGGAATCCGATGCTTTTGTGGGTAGTTCTTTGATGGATCTTTTTTCCAAATCGGGTCAACCCGAAATGGCCAAAACCATATTTTTTGGAATTTCCAATAAGAACTTGGTGGTTTGGAACTCCTTGATTTCGTGTTATTCGCGAAACAGCCACCCGGATGCATCTGTCCGTGTTCTTCCCCAAATTGTTCAGTACGGGTTAATCCCAGATGCCATTTCGGTTACTAATGCACTTGTTGCAGTCTCATCATTAGCAGTGTTACTCAAAGGAAAGGCTCTCCATGGTTACCTAATTAGATATCAGATTCCAGTAGACAATCAAGTGGAAAATTCACTGATTGATATGTACATCAAAAGTGGATGCTTGAAGTATGCAGAGCACATATTTAATAGTAATAACACGTCGAAAAGAAACTCGATCACATGGAACTCAATGATTTCCGGTTATGGGTCCCACGGCGAATGCTTCAGAGCTATAAGCTTGTTCAACGAAATGAGAAGATCAAGAATCACACCAGATGATGTAACCTTCCTTTCCTTAATCTCTGCTTGCAACCATTCCGGGCTGGTCGAAGAAGGTTTGGAACTGTTTCAGTTAATGAGAGAGTATAGAGTTGAACCACAAACTGATCATTATGTGAATATTGTCGACATGCTGGGTCGCACCGGGCGGTTGGATGAGGCCCACAGGTTCATACAGAAAATGCCCGTGGAACCCGACCCGAGCCTATGGCTTTGTTTGTTATCCGCTTGTCGAGTCCATCGCAACTTTGAGCTTGGGGAGTTGGCTGCCCAGAACCTGCTGAAGATTGAAGCAGGAAGGGGGGGCAATTATGTCCAAGTGTTGAATCTGTATGTGGAAGGTGGGATGAGAGAGAAGGCGGCGGATTTGAGGGCCGAGATGAAGCAGAAAGGGTTGAAGAAGACCGGCGGGTGCAGTTGGATTGAGGTGAAAGATAGGACTGAGATTTTCTTCTCAGGTGATTCCTCCTCCCATAGGACAGTTGAGGTCTATCAAACTCTTCACAGTCTCATAAGTGTTATGAAAATGGAGGAAAAAGGTGATTACCATGAAAGTTGCTGACACAATATGATGCTGTGTTTAATTTGATGAGTGTTCCATTCTTTTTTTACAATTGTATTGTGTTTAGTTCACTGTTCTCATTTATACACAATTCTAAATAATCAAATATATTAACTTCATATTTCTCAACTGTTCAATCTGGTCATTAGTGACCTGGGAAGGAAACTACCATGAAAGAAGTTACCAAATTCTAACAAAATCAGGTAAGAGATTGTGTCTCCATAAGAAACCAATATTTTTTTCTTACATCAAATAAATTTCATTGGACGATCATACATTCAGTGTTTGGAACGTGTCACGTGTGATATTCCAATATCTATAAACACAATCTGGTTCATAACAAAGCTTTTCACACATTATAGTATGCTAAAATTTTCTTTGTATATATCAGCTGAGATCAAATATGAACTTCGCATGTTATGAAAGGCGAAGAAGATGATGCCATTTCTGCATGTTAAGCATTGCTCTGTCAGATCCACATCGTCCAACACAAAGAATCAAGTTTCTGGCTGAGCCATTGTGGCCTATTGCTCTCAAAAGTCTTCTGCTGGTAGAAGATGTGAAATGACAACTAAGTGCATTGTAGTACCTCTCTAATCTTTGTCGTGTTGGAAGGAAAACGGTCATTCATTCCCTCTTGTCCTCCTCAACAACTTCAGCTATTCCGAAAACGTGATCTGTAGTAATTGATCCCTTCCTTTCCTTTCTTTCCAGTTTGTTTGCCGAATCTCCAGACACTTTTACTCCGCTGGCAGTCAGGGACAATACTTGTTCCTCATCGTCACCAGTTTCTTCTGAGTACGCATATCTGCACAAAATATTTGCCCATATTTCAATTGTTTGTGGTATATTGTATCTGTCTATCCGATGCTCAAATAGTGTAATGTTGACTTCTTGTACCTCAGCTAGCTAACTTTGATATAAAAATGATGTAATTATAAACTAGTACTAGTAGTACATACCGATTTTGGTAGAGTCAATGTAATTTTTACTTATTAAAAAAAATAAATAGGACATCATAACATTTCTCTTTTAAAATTATCTTTTGTTTCATGTTATTTCTTCTTTTTAAAATCCTAATACTAAAATCCATAAATATACCAGAATACTGCTAAAATCCATAAATATACCAGAATACTGCTACCAGAATACTGACAGTGCTCTAAAAGAAGTGTTATACAGCCTCTATGGAAGGGTTAGTATAGAGCCTAACGCCTAGGTATATGCAGGGCTTAGTCGGGAATTTTCATGATTCCCATGTACCTAAGATGCTCATGCTCAGCAATAAGTCAAGAAGTGTTGCAGCAATAAGTCAAGAAGTGTTTTTTAGTTGGCTGTACCCCATTTGTAACCCAAAAGTATCACAGACACACCCAGACTACTCAAGATTTATTCTTTTTAGTTAATTAGTTCTCAAAGCTTCAAATTTTAAGATGTATTGTTTCTAGTTAATTAGTTCTCAAAGCTTCAAATTGCAACACTTCGGAGGGACATGGTTTTGTTAATCCACATAGGAGTTTATTTATTACTCAATGAGTAACATATAATGAAATACTACGTAAAAAGCTTAATGAAGCAGGCAGTTAGGCTGTAAAAAATTAAGGTTCTAGTACCTGGTAGGGTTATGTGATGGATCCCAAAGAACACATATCAACACCAACAGCAAATATGCTAATAATATCCAAAATGCTGGAATTATCCATGCCCTTCTCCACAATTCACTCAAAGGGTCACTAGCATTGAAGTATAACTAAACCAACCACAAAAAAAACATTGTTATTGTGGGTCATTAAAATTCAAATGCATAGATGTTAGGAAAAGAGAGTGATTTCATGCCAAGTGTCAAAGAGTAGAATTGATTGTCCCTTACTTCCCCACTACCGCCCCCTTCCCCTGAAGAAATTGCAGGTGAAAAGACATAGGTATACGAAGCTTAAAAGGCATTATTTTCATCACCTTAATCCAACTATGTTGGGGTTGGTGACCTGAAAATTATACTCCGTAATGTCTGTATTATCAATTAATAAATGTTCTTAAATTACTTGACACTGCAAATTCATGCAAAAAAATGGAGGGTTTTATACTGAATGTCCCTGATCCTTCTTACAAAAAAAATACGAGTATTATAAAATCATCTTCATCATAGGTTTTTTCACCTTGCATAAAAAATGTTATGAGACAGCATATCTGCAGTTATTGCGATTGTTTCTATAGTCATGTCTCATTAAAATAAAGACATCGTAAGATCAACGTATGCATCACACAACATTTGGAGTAAAAAAAGGCAGATAATGTGGCATGAAAATTTATGTGAGCATGTAGCCCACATTTCTATTTTGGGTTGTCAAACTGTGCATAAATGGTGATGTGAAATGTGAAAAGATTGTCATTAGTTGGTAATAGAAATAAGTAGGTGTGGGAAGAAAACCTCATAGCCAATCCAGGCAACAGACAGAAGAACTGCAATGGCAAGAGCATTGGTGAACCTTCTATACAGCTCAAGTTTGGCCAGACTTCTTCGAACCTGAAATACACATTTGTAAAAAAATCTTCAATTGCTTAAACCCTACTCTCGTGGGATCCAACTAGGTTGTTGTTGTTGCATAAACCTTTATCCGATTGCCTTCCCAAATTCAAGATATCAGAAATATCCATTCAAATTAGAGGCAACACATATATCTTTCATTTAAAATATTTAATGTATGAAGTTATCAACTTTATGAACCTGAAGCTTCTCTAAAGTCTTTGATAATGATGAAAATATCCAAATGATGAAGCTGGAATCTAGCAAAGCAACTGGCAACACCAAGAAGAGCCTTGCTTTCCCAGAAAAGTCATTGATGTTTCCCAAATGCTCCACAAGCTCAAGAGCTTCTGAAGCCAGAAAATATACTGCAGCAAGAAGCAGCACCTTTGAGGTTATACCTCCCAGGGTGGGCCGTACAACACCATAACCCATGGCAACTACTAGAAGAAGCAGCCTTGACACAGTTTTCTTAATAGCACTGAAAGTAACTGCCCAAATGGTAATCCCCATTGGTCTGCTTCCCGTGGAATTAAAATTTGCATATTCAAAATACCAAAGAGCCATTTCACACATCCCGAGTCCAATGACAGCAGTGATGTGGTAATGCAACTGTATTATATCCCTCCAGTATTGAACAAAGCGCAAAAACCAAACGAGGCCTAGGACAAGGTATGCCAAAGACATAAACCCATAAAATGTCATAAGTGGTGCCATTTTCCCCGGTAAATAACCTCCCGGGTTTCTCCAAACAGTCTTTCCACTAATAAAAGTTCCCTCGAGTTCTGGGTTGCAGAACATAAAATATAGATAATACATTCCGGTCTTGTTGATCTCAGCTGTTTGAAGCACCATATTAGCCTCCTCGTTGTTTCCCTCAAAGGAAGCCTGAATCCGTTTAGGCCAGCCGGGGTTGTCTGGATCTTGACGTATGATAACCTCTCCAACCTTACAGGATCCATCCTTGGCAAGCTCAGGGGTGCAACATATTGCATCAGACTTTAGATAATGCCCTCCAATTCTATCCCTATCTTTGACGTCCAGAATAATGGCTTCAACAAGTCCTGTACTATCCTGCATTGCATTTTGCCTGGTTGCAGCCTCTTTTGACCTTCTAAAGGTAATAGACTCAAATCTGAACCAATGTGAGAATGGATGGGTAAACTATGCTACCTAGCTATTTGGTTCAATAAGGTGAAAGATAAAACCAAACAATGGGCCGGAGAGACCAGAGAACAGCTAATAAACATAAACATGAATAGATGAACAAGATTGTTATGTGACTGAGAACTTTCTATGCTTAAGACTGTCATCAAACAAGGCCACAGATCGGAGAATCTAATTAGCTTCGAATGCTAAGCATACAATGCTCCCGAACTGAGTTAATATTGATAAATAATTCAATCACTCTGCTTGAAGACTATTTTACATTATTAACATAAGTAATGTAATGTATGAGATAAAATGAAGCATTTTTCACCCCTATTCACTCCATTCTCATTGCTCGAAATCGGGTGTAATTAGGGTGAGTGTCATGTGTTAAGGAGAGTATTTTCTAATCTTAATTCACCTCAATCCAAACAAGATTACACCAAAATTCACCTAGGAAGAAACCAAATCGGATACGAAAGAGTACGCCAAATGCAGAAACTGAACGAGTTTAAGACGACTAAGTGACTAACCAGGATTCGAATCTATGATACCTGATGAATGACTTGCCATTGAGAGGTTTATTGGCGTCTTCAGAGGAAAGATTGGAAGGATGATGTTCCTGTACATCTGAAGCATAGAGCCCCTCACTGCCGCCATGGAAGAAGAAGGAATTGAAGCGAGGAATGAAAGCCTCGTTCTTATACTCATGGATCGACCCTTCCACACCAGATATAATGATCGCGCCGAGCAGTGTGAGGATTCCCCGGATTTCGCGCATCGGAACGCATCCATTTCCCCTGTTAATCGTCATCTTCCCCTCTTTGTCTCCTTTCCTTTTTTTTATTTATCTACATGTGTAATCGATGACGAAAAGGATGATGGCATTTGCAGAGAGCTTCAAGAAAGAGTTTTGATTTTGGAGTGAAATTTTGAAAAAGTTGAATAATTTGTGTTGTAATTACGAACTTTATGGGTTGAGGTTCATAAACATGGACTTAATTGAGATCTTTGGACATGAACTCATGAAGACGATGAGATGCCTAATTTCCACACTACAAAGTACAAACCAATACACTTCAAACCAAATGTACTTGATTTTTCTTTAACTATCTTTAACTATTTGTTTGGAAGGTTAATAGCATGGGTTGCCCCTTGTGGTTTACAAAAAGGGCGTCAAAACTCCCTTTGTTTTTAAAAATTATTTGTAAAGTCTTTGTGGTTTCTAAATAGAGCATACATGCCCCCTTACCTATTTTTAAAGTAAAAATGACATTTATGCCCTTTGTTTTCCCCGATATTGAATTTTTCCAATTTCAATTATTATACAAATATATAAAATAAAATATACATATTTCCCATCTCAAATTAGAATTTTTCATAATGTACTTTTGAAAACAAAACATTTTTTTGGAGAATGCTACAAAAAAATGAAAAATAAAATATTATGTACAAACTAAAAAGTAATAATAGTTAAAAAAGGTAATGAAAAGAAATAAAAATATACTCCGTAAAAAATAGTCTTTTTCTTTAGCTCCATATTTTATTTCATCTTTCTGTTCTTCATTTTTAATGTCCTTAAAAAATTATTTTACTTTTAAAAAACAAATAAGTTAGAATTTTTAATTATAGATAGAGTGAGTATATGTTATCCAATTTTTTATTTTATTTATTTTACTTTTACTTATAATGAAAAAGTGTATTTAATTTCATTTTTGTAACATTTTCTAAAAAAAAATTTTGAAAATTAAATAAATAAAAAAATTTAATTTGAGAAAAGAGGGCGTATATTTTATTTTATTTATTTGTATAGCAAAAAATGTAAAGAAAAGAGTGAAATTTGAAGATAGAGAAAAACCAAGGACAGAAATGTCATTTCATGTGTAAAATAGGCAAGAGGGGGGGTGTTTGTGCACTATTTAAAAACCACATGGGTTTTATAAATAACTTTTGAAAGTAGAGGGGGTTTTGACGCTCCTTTTCTAAACCACGGGGGGTAGCCATGCTATTATCCCTTTGTTTGGACGAGTGCAGAAAATGAAATAAAAGAAGATTAAAAATAAAAATAAAAAAATGAGAGAAAAATTTTTAGTTTTTATACAAATTTTAATTTTAGTTTACATTGATTTTAATATAAATTAATTTGAACGTGGTTTAATTTCAATCAAACATCGTCTTAATTTTATTTACTATGCAATACTCTCTTCCTTTAAATTTGCTTAGCATCTTTTTAAATTACTTTTATCTCCATATAAACTGATGGCAAAATTCATCCTCAATTTTACAAAGAAGACAAATAATCCACATTTTAGTTTGAAGTTTATCCTTTCATATAAGCCATAAAATAAATTTGTGCTTAATTAGGAGTTGAGAGCTTATTCCACACAGTATATGTGACACAGCAATGCTTGTAATCCGAATAATAAATACGTTAGTGAACTGGATTAGTATTAAATTGATATCTACATACAATATATTTTCAAGAATAACGTAATAAGGAGACATGCGTATTTTATTTGATTTACAAATTAGTATTGAAATAAAAATTATAATATACATTTTTAAACGATACATCAAAGTCCAACATCAAAACTATAAAACTACTTGTAATATGTGTATTTTATTTTATCAAATAATCATTATATTAAAAATGTACAAACAATCAACAGCAATCGAGAGATTGAAATAGTCAATAAGACAAGATATATTTTTAGAACGAAAAGAGCATGCATTAATATATTAAAATTCGAGAGATGTAAAAAAAAGAACTCTGTATGTTCGAGGGGTATCAAACGAGATATCATACATTACGGAGTAATCCATATATCTTAATCTCACTAAACGGGTCCTACTTAATTATAATAGTAGGGTTATCAGCCTCATGTAATTTTCAAAGTGTAATATAATCCGTTTAATTACTTAGAGCCTGTTTGGGAATAGCGTTAGCGATTAGCGTTAGCGTTTTGAAAAGGCTATCTACGGGCAGCGTTTAGCGTTAGCGTTTTCAAAGTAATCTGCACTGTTAAAATTTTATCCAAAACGTTAACGCTAATTCTAACGATATTCTCAAACAGACCCTTAGTCTATAAAATCCGGAGGGAGGCAAATCAAGGAAGGCTCATTAAGACACAATGATTATCCATTAATCCCTGTCCCTAATCCTCATTTTTATTACTGCTCTCCACCTACGTACTCTACAACATTATCATCACCTAGTTACTAGGGAGTATATTATTTACCGTGTGTTTTTTTATCTCGAACTTCCCCTGACTCTACTGAATGAATTGATAATTACCTTATTTAATTAGTTGACCCAGCCCAAGTTCCTTATTTAGTTGACCCAGCTAGAGAGCATATATGCCACAATTACACTTATGATTTTACCTCTACCTGTTTTTTGTACCGGAACGGACTCAATTAAAAATTTAAGCTTGTACTTGTGGTCTAGTAAAGACTTAATATTCTAACACTCTCACGTGCAAACGTAGTTTTTTCGAGTTTTGCATGTGAAATCTTAATTTTTTTTATCTGGGAAGTTCTAATTTCCAAACTCTTGATTTTTTGGTCATCAAATCTCTGATACTATGAGAGTATTTGTGAGTGATTAACTTGTGAATAAAGAAATTTCCACAAAAGCTAAAAACATAAGCATCTCATAACTACTTCTCTGAAACAGTGTTCTGTGTACAAAATAGTCGTGGAGAAAAGCAGAAGCTGACATGCCAAAAAGAGTAAAATATCCTCTATGTCAAGGAATCAACTCGAACAAAAGCTTAAGATTGTAGTTGTGGCTCAAGAAAGATTTTTTTTAATATTCTAACATTTTTCAAAGAGTAAGAAATGAAGTAATTAAACCGGGTTTATGAGTTAAGTTTGTTCTTGATCTATATAAGGACGACGATTATCATCGTACATATGGATCGGATTTAGTATGAATGATTCTTCTCGTAGACCGGAGAAAGTTTTTTTTCTAAAGGGAGATACATATAGACGACCATGACTTTGTCACAATATTATATTTGAATTGAATCTTCTGTCCCCATCACCCAAACGCCTTTCAAACTTTGACTAACAACATTTGTACTCCATTTACTCTATGTCAAAAAATCAATTCAACCAAAAACTCAAGCTTGTGGTTGTGGCCCAGGAACAGTTATTTATATTCTAACACATCCGTCCATAAATAAAGTTCTCGTTACGCGTTACGATTTTTGTCCGAAACTATTTTCAAATCATTTTATATGAATGAATCTAAAAAATAAAAATTACATATTTAAAAAATACATGAAACAATCTACAAAACTAAATGTGACATGACTATATTACTTTTCTAAAAAGGACACCAGAATAGGCCAACAAAGTAAATAAAGCTTCACTCTGTGAATAGTGAACGAAAACTATATTAATGGACGGTGGGAGTATATACTTCTTCATCGAAGTTAATTGTCTCACTTTCTTTTTTTAAAAGTCACATACAGAAGTCTCACTTTTATACTTTTATAATAAATTAAAATAAAGATATGTGGTTTATAATTTTTCTCTTTCTTCGATATAAAATTGAGACAAAGAGAGTACTATCTTGCCCAAAAATATTTCTTTTCATATTTGATTCGTCTCGATTAATTTATTGTTCATCTTTCTCCTTAAAAAAACTATCACGGTTCACATTATTTATCTTTCTTATTCTCGTTGCATATATTTGAATTGTACCGTTTTTTATTACTCGTAATATTCTTGTGTAGACCTAACTTTTAACAAGTGGAATTTGCACTGAATAAGACTAAAACATAAGTCATTTCCCATTGTAGGACATAAACTTTTTTATTTCCTAAATAGAACTTAATAATGACTAGTGAGAAGAATAATGTTCAAATGATGATGGATATTTAGTTTAATAATAACTAATAGATAATGACCAATGATCTACATTGGGAAATAAAAACATATGATCCTATTACATTGAAAAAGTCATTATGTTTTAGTCCTATTTAGGTAAATTACCCTTTTAACAATGACATTAAAAGGCAGTCATACTTAGCATGAAGTCAATGAATTACTCGATATAAATCTCAACCCCTATAAGCTAGTCTAAAACTAAAATTTTATTGATCTCTTTCTAAACCACTATCCCAATATCCCATATACTTGATGAGAAAAGATGGGTTCATCTTTTTTTAAAATATATGCCCACGAATTGAACATTCTCTTCTCTTTCTATTCAACTTAACTTACTTTTTTATGTCTCCCTATGTGTGTCTACATAAATATATATGGGTATACATATAAACACAACCACTAGTTAATGGAGTTATATTTCATTAATCAATATGTTCCGCCAAAATTAATTGACTAAATAAATTTGAACAAAAAAATATATCATCATGGAGGATGAGAATATGACAATTATAAGAAGACTAATCCAACATGGGATTGAGCTAGCAAAAGATTTGGAAGTCAACCTTGGAAACCGCTCCATTTCACAAGCTTGTGAAGAGATCATTAGGGTTTTCAGCAGGGCAAGAGAGAGGTCCCTATTGCAGAGGCCGCCGGCCGCCGGGAGCGGCGGCGGGAGTAACGTTCAGAGTTGGGTGATGAGCACTGACACTGCTGGTCAAGCGGTGCTGGACTTGTTGTTCCTTCCGCGCGTCGGGGAGCAGACGCCCGCGGTGGGGCCGCGGCGGTCAACGCCGCCGTTACCGGTGGGAGGGTCGCCGTCGGCGGTGCGGGACGTGGACGTGTCTGAGTCTTCAAGAGGGCTTTCTTCTTCTTTGCAGAGCCAACGTAGAAGGTGAGTCAAAGAAACTTCTTTTACTCCGTAAATAAATGGTAAATTACTTTAACCAAATAATTTCTTATTTGATTTTTCACGGTCTCCAATACGACATTTTGATCATTAATATCTTTATTTTATATGAATATATACTCCGTATTATAAAGATACTATATTTCAAAACCATGTATCAAAATGAATCTATTGTTAACAAAATTTGTATGAAAATTCAATATTTTTTCCCGTAATATACAATCAAAGTTTGTAAAATTTGACTGTAAAATTCAAACTGGGGAGTTAATTTTAGGACAGAGGGAGTTAATTAAACTAAACTGATCAATATAGTTTCTAATTTCATTTTCTTTATTTTCATAAAATATAAATATAATATAGTTTTCAATATATCTCACTGCTAAACAAATTTTACATATACCAGGGGCAGATCTACATGTATGAATACGGGGGCAGTCTCCCCCAGTCAATTTTTTTACTCTGTAATATACAGTTTTAAAATAATTTTTTTGTAGAAAATTAAAAGAACGACCCTGAAAAAAAATTAGTTTGCCCCCGCTGACAAAAGAAAAGCTTAGTTTAAAAGTAAAAAATAATCATTAAACAACATATACAGAACAAGACATTTGAAATATCATAATTATATTACGTTATGATATATTTTATATTTTATTTTCTACTTTAAAAATTATTATTTTTATTTAAATACTTGTTTAAAATTAAATTTATTTATTTTTTATCATTATCAAACACTTTAAAAAATCAGAAGTTCCAACCCTGAACCCCACCATACTCTTTAGGGTGTATTTGCCCCGGGAGTCATATTTTTTTCTAAATCCGCCACTACATATATGCAAGATGAAAGACTAGCAGTATATTCTCATCTGAAACCGCCTTAGCCAAAGGCTCACAATCAACAAAAATACTCGAAGGCTCCACGTTCTAAAACTCAAATCCTCGAAGTTTACTTACTTTAAAATACTCTCTCCGTCCCACAAAATCATTCTCTTTTCATTTTTCATCCGTCTCAAAAAAACTTTTCTTTTTTTAATTAAAAAGTCACTTTTACTCATATTAATTCTTAACCTACCTATCACATCATGCTTTTTCTCTATTAATCTATGCATCACATCTTACTTTATCCATCACATCAAATGGCATTTTTGAAAAGTCACCATCAAAATACACTTCACTTAAATCTTTTAAAAATCAAAATGAGAAATTTTTGCTGAGGGAGGGAGTATAAGTGTATGAGAAATTTACGTAAATAGGACTAAAACATAATGACTTTCCCAATATAAGACCATATGCTTTTATTTCCCAATGTAGGACCTTTATTTGGTCATTATCAAGTAGTCATTATTCAACTAAATATCCATCATTACTGGACATTATTCCTCCCACTAGGTCATTAATAAGTCCTATTTAGGGAATAAAAAAGTTTAAGTCCTACATTAGGAAATTCATTATGTTTTAGTCCTATTTAGTGCAAATTTCAGAAAGTCTATCCCATCATCATATTCAGTTACTCATCACCTACTCCGTCCATCTCCCAAAAAATTAAAATTCTTCCAAAACTAACTCTGCATGTAATTAAATTGGCCTGGTGCATGCATGCAGAAGAGAAGAAAAGGAGAGATTTACGGTGAACGTAGCCGCTCCTCAAATGGGAAATCTTGATTTGCCGCCTGACGACGGCTATACTTGGAGAAAATATGGCCAGAAAGACATTCTCGGTTCCTCTTTCCCAAGGTATAGTTTATATATCTCCCAAATTATGTTCATGTTTAAGTAGTTTTTAATTTATAAGTTAACTAATAATGACATGTTTTTGTGTCTATATAAATTGACTTATAAGCTGCTTATAAATCACAAAAAATAAGTAGGTTTTAACTATTTATTTTTAAGCTTGTTTTTCGTTTTTCTGTTTTGCCCATATTATTAACAAAGGTACCCCTCACTATTTATGAATATTTATAAATGATTTATCTATAATTTAAGTTACTTTATTTCCACGAAAGAATATTTGACTTATAAGCAGTTTATAAGTTACTACGGTAAAAAATATTTATCAATAATAAGTCAATAAGCACCCGCACAGAAAAATAACCACTACACCTCTCCCTTCATATATCACAAAAATATACTCCCTCCCTGTTTAAAACACTTCTTTCATTCTTTTTTTTCTTCCTAAAACACTCTAATTTACTACTCCCTCCGTCCCTCTAAGATGTTCTCATTTTGACTTTTGGTGGTTTTTAAGGAGAGTTGAAAAAAGGTGAAAGTTTACCATAATACCCTTAATGAAAATGGGTGGAGTGTATTAAATGAGGTGGGTGATGTGTAATAAATAAAGTAAGTGGGGGTAGTTGTAGTATTTTAATTGTTAAAAAATGAAATGAGAAGATCTATTGTGGACAAAAAAAAGCTATTGGGAAGATCTATGGGGGACAGAGAGAGTATTAAAAAACAACTTTTATTCATACTTTTCTTACTTTACATATCACATCATACTTTTTTATTAATAATCTATAGATCACATCTTATTTTTATTCATAACATTAAATTCAAAATTGGAATATCAACTAGAATTATACACACTTTATATTTTCTAAAAATCAAAATCGTAACTATTTTATAAAACACATGAGGTTCTAACTTTTTAAAGTTAAGGTATAATTTTTTTGTTAAAATAATATTTGAAACCCTCAGGGCATACTATAGATGCACGCATCAGAGATTGTACGACTGCCCAGCAAAGAAACAAGTGCAACGTGTGGACGACAATCCCTACATTTTCAAAGTTACGTACCGGTACCGTCACACGTGTCACATGTCCGCCACCGCCCCGTCGGCCCCGCCGGCAGTTGGCGGCGCGTTGCTTCAGCACCAGAGCACAACAACCGCCCGTCAGCCACCGCACGACGGCAGATCATCCGGCGGCAGCTGGCTCACCATGAATATCAAGACAAGGCCATCTCCGGAGGGCGGCAGCACGAGCAATAATACAATGCTTCCCCATCAAATGCATAGAGATTATGCAGCCCCTGCCGCCTCCTCAGATGCCGCTGGGCCGTCCACCACCGCCGGGACGATGGACGTTGACTTTGGCGGTCAACCGGTGGTGGATATGGCTGATGTCATGTTTAATTCTGGGAGTAGCAGTGAGCATAGCATCGATTTCATATTCCATACGATACATACGAGTAAATATGAACAACGAGAAAATAATTAGTTTTATGTTTTAGTCTTATTTAATGTTAATTATTACATACGGAGTAATAATTAATGTTAGGAAAGCAGGATTAAGATATGCCCATCAGTGGCGGACCCAAGATTTTCGGGGAGTGGGTTCACATTTTGTGCACAAAAAAAATGTTGATATTTGTATAACAATAAATTTAAAACCTTAAAGGTAAAAAAAGTATCAATAAATAGCATTCTGAGATTAATATTGTAAATTATATGCAATATTTTTGAAATACTGTATAAAAAGTATCAATAATACGCTCATTGTTTTAACCAAAAAAATTAAAGAACTAAAGTAGTAATTCTAGACATTTCTTCAAATACTAAGTATATCTTAAGAATCTTTTTAAAACAATTAAACTTTTTCATACATTTCAAAAAAAATTGAACATTTTTTAATTAAGTTTCAGTTTTCCAAATCTAAAAAAATTAAAACATAAAATTCTACACAACTATAGGATGTGTCCTCTCTTCCATTTTCAAAAAATAACACCTAATCACATATAAATATACTCTTCTTGGATGCCCTTAGTCTATATATAATATCTAATTATATACTACTACTAATAAATAATTTTTTTTGGAGTGGGTGCAAGTGACCCCACTGCAGTCACCCTAGGTCCGCCACTGATTCCCATATAGATTATAGAGTATGAGAATCACATGCATGTATTTTTTTAATATTTATTTATGTGTTTTCATTTATCCATTTCATAAAGTCACTTCTTGTTTTGTAAAATATTTTATGCAATTTTTAAATGTACTATTTTACTTTGTAGTGCTCCGTACGATTTAATAATTTTTCTATCAGTAAAATGGATTTTAATAAAAAAAAACTAGTTTACATTGGTAAATCATTCCATAATTTTCATTTGGAGATCCAAATTAAAGAGAGGATAACAAATTAGATAAATCAAATGTATTGCTTTCAGGAGTTGTTCTGTTCGTCTGATTTCATTGATTCTGATCCAAATTTATTAACTTTTGATATAATCTGATATGAAAATAACAAATAATGAGAATAAGTCGAAGAAAACCGAGTCTTACACTGAATCCATTATATAGCTCAAGTTTATTTGAGTTCAATTCTAAGAGTATTGCTTCCATGATCCTAAAATCCACATGTAAAATCTGGATCTTCTCACACTTTTTCATGAACCGACAAGAGAATCTTTTATTTTTTCAAAATACTAAATTCATTCATAGTCCTTGGTTTCGTTCAAATTTTATGGACCTTACTATACTTGATGTGGACCTCCTTAGTATTATTAGTATTAGTAATATGATTAGAATTAAAATTAAGAATATGGGATTAAAATTAGAGGAGATTAGGATTAAGATGAGGGGATTTTTATTAGAGGATTAGGATTAGAATTAGGATTAAGGGATTGAGATTAGAGGATTAGGATTAAGATTAGAATTATGGAATTAGGATTTGGATTAGAGAATTAAGATTAGTATTAGGCACGTTAGATTGGATGAAACAGACATTTTTCACATTAGCTGCTAAATTCAACATTTTCTGTGAGAAAGTCGTTCAGGAATTAAACGTGATTTTGAGTACGAGTGTTGACCTTAATTAGAATCACCGAAGAATAGAGTATAAAAAATATTACTCTATTCACAACCATTTAATTTTGAGTAATGCTAGAGCCACAAACAAACAGCTCACAAAATTCACAAACTTGCCTTTTTAATATTTTTTCTAGAAATAAGATGCAGCCAAATAATAAAAGATATTTTAATTTAAAATCTACAAAAAGAAAATTTATAAAGTTTATGAACTATTCATTTGTGACTCTAGCATTTTCCATTAATTATACGTGTAATTGTAGATGAGAAGTTCACGTTTACTTCCTTCCCGCGAAATTGGGGAAGAAAAAAAAGAGATGCTCCGTACGAATTACTATCTATCGCCGTGTAATTGAGCAAATGAAGCCCAATCTTTCTAACCAGAAGAAACGAAGAACATAGTACGGACCACGAGTGTGCATATCTGTGGACTCAACTCGGTTTACAATTCCGCTACCGGGATCGAATGACGGGGGTTTCAGTGCTCAGGGGCGTCGTTCACGGCGGTTCATCTCTTCTTCATCACTCCCGGGTACTATCTCCGCTTCTACATACCCTAATTCCTGTAACCTAATGGAGTCCCCAGCTTTTAGCAGAAAATTTGCATGAATTTTGTCTCAGCTCCCAACTTTAAGCGGATCGGAGAAGTCGATGAAGCTCCAGTACCGGATTCACCGGACAGGGATTACTCTTATTGCTCGGTACTCGCAGGCCCGTGAGATTTTCACCTCTCGTCTTCAAGGTTCTTATCCTGTAAAAAGAACTTATCTAATTGGTTTATGCGTTTTAGTGCTATTTGGCTATTGATTGGAGAAATTGCGGGACTATCCGGATGTTTTGTAATACATATTATTTTATGCTGTGTATTTTTGTGACTGGATATACATGATGTTGAAGTGGTTTCAGCCACCTGCCTGTTCTTTTCCCCCTCTAGTTGATTATCAGACATATGCATCATTCATTTCTAAGGTTTACAGTGCTTTTTGTATCCCAAAGTGATAAGCATATAATCAGATTTTGACTTAAATTTTGTCTAAAACGGATTTCACAAATATATGGAGTATTTTTCATTTCAAAATAATTTAAAGGCGGTCATATGAATTCAACCATATCAGCCAAATACTCCTACAAAAAATGGGTTTTTAATATTTCCGAACATTTTAATTGTAGTGGATAAAATGGGATATCTTTTAACTAAGTGTTTCATTAATTTGGCCATCAAGTTTTTTTTCCGTATATGCACAATTGCATATATCTCGCATCGTGATTGAAAAATAGCCCTATGACGAAGAAAACAAGAAAGTTTCTCATTATGCTATCGTCATTCTGTTGGACAAACATGTTATTAAGCATTTGGAAGAAATGTTGTTTAACATTTTGAAAACTGTTTCATGCAGATCGTCTTGAGAACTTTCCTGAACTTGTCGAGGATGTTGTTAAAACATCCATAAATACAGGTCAGCGTGGAGCTTTAAGGCTTGCTCAAGGTATCCAAGCTGTAATTGGAGTTGGTAGTGAGTGGTTGGCCGATGTCCCAAAGGTGCCCTTTCACCCTGCTTTGATGCCCAAAAAACTTTCTTTGTTGACACAATTCAATTTTATACGTATGATTTGGACCTTATAAGTGGTTGATGAAGTATGCGTTCTAGCTTCTACCTTATAAGTGATTAGCGAGTATCTCATATTCTCATTCCGTCCATTGCCAATGTAGGTTGACAATGTTTTAGTTTCGGGCACATAACGGACTAAATCAAAATGGAACATTAAACTTTACTTGCTTCTTACTTCTTTTGATATTTTGGGCACTAAATGCTTCTATGGTCTAACTAGGGTCTAACGGAAACAACTTCTTTGTTTTTCTAGGGTTACTTTTTATAGGGGTAAGACCATCTTGACCCCCCAGAAGCCCAGATCCCAACAGAGATGGGATTATAGTAGGCCGTTGTTGTTTATATTTAATGATGGACACTACATGAGTTTCAAAATAAAGGCTTTTTGCTTTATCTAATATCACACAAAAGTATATTTCCAACTCACATAAAAGCATTAGTTACAAGTAGAAGTAAATGCTCTCATTGTCCCCCAAAGCTTCATGGTTACTATTGGTCCGGTCAAACTTTATTATCTTTCTTTGTCTATTTTTATTCTTCATTTGATAAAATCATGTAATCATGTCACATCTTTTTTTCTAGAACTTTTGGTGTAGTTAATATATAAATTTATTTTTAATTCTATACCAATTATTGAACAAGTTCAATGGAAAATAATTTCATTCATATCTCGTAAACTGTTATGAGAAGTTTTTTCGGGACGTATGGATTATTGTATAACATACTGGAATGGATCATGATTCTTACTGGCAATACTCACAGCTGGTGTGAGCGTGTGACAATGTATCTTTCTGATATGTTGTATCTGCCTTATATCTAAAGATGGGTATTCATTGGATGAATAAAAGGAATTTGGAATTTAATCAAACTCCGTGTGCTGAATTTTCTGGAGTCATCTATGCTAGAATAGCTCAATTACACCCAAAGTCTTCTTTCTTTCATTTTTCTTTCATCCACTGTATTTTCTGCAACTCGAGTTTCTAATGCTGATATTGCCTTTTTTTTTAATATAGCAATAAGGTGATGCTAATTCTCTGTATCTTTGTTTAGACAGCAAACTCACCCACTAGATTACCAACCGAGATGCAGCTTGGGTTATTATCCCCCATGTATTTGAGGAAGCTGTTTGAACGCATGGGTGCAACATATATTAAGTTGGGGCAGGTAAAGCTGTGCTTTTAAATTTCCTCAAAAGATTATCTTTGGCTTCAGTGTTTCTTGCTTATTTTGCATACTCTCTAGTCTCTTCATGCAATACTGGTGGATGATTTGCATGCCTCAATGACTATATGGTGATACCGAAGTGATTATACTCTTACTTAACTGTAAATTTATATTTTTTATTCTTTTATTTTTACATTCATGGAATATGTTTATCTTTCTACAACTTGTGACAATATATCATATGTCTTGCAATTTAATGATCTTCAAATTGCAGTTTATAGCATCTGCTCCCACAATATTTCCACCGGAATATGTTCAAGAATTCCAATACTTTTTTGACAAAGCTCCTCCAGTTCCGTTTGAAGAAATTCAAACAATCTTGTGTGAGGAGTTAGGCAGACCAATTGATAATGTGTTTGATTATGTTGACCCTACACCAATCGCATCTGCATCCATAGCACAGGTTCTTTCTTTTTTCATTCTCTCCCTACAGGCCCTTAATGAATTTTATCAACAATCAAGTCCTCACTGGTGAAAAATATTAATATGATGAATGATTTGACCTAAAAGCAATTCTATTTTCAGGTGCACGTAGCAAGAATAAAAGGCTCTGAAGATGATGTTGTAATAAAGGTCTTGAAACCTGGGATAGAAGATATTTTAGTAGCTGATTTGAACTTTGTGTACATAGTGGCACGTATTTTGCAGTTCTTGAGTCCTGAGTTAGACCGCACATCTCTGGTACAATGCAGATCTATACTTTTAAGTTCTCTAAGAAAAATCTGTGCTGATGGGATTTAGAGTTTAGTTTTTATGTACTCCGTAATTTCTGATTTTCCTAGTGGGAATCAAAGTCATCTGTAAACTTCGTAACTGGTGTTGAACATTTTCTAATTTTTTCTCTTTTGGCTAATGTTACATCACATTTATATTTATATATACTTTACATACTGCGTTTTACCTGTATTATTTTACAGGTTGCTATTGTCAAAGACATAAGGGAGTCGATGCTTGAAGAAGTTGACTTCACTAAAGAAGCTGCAAATATTGAGGCGTTTAGGAGATACCTAGAAACAATGGGTTTAACTAGGCAAGCTAAAGCACCAAGAGTGTACCAGCAGTGCAGCACACGACGAATCCTGACAATGGAGAGGCTTTATGGGGTTCCACTCACTGATTTAGACTCAATAAACTCACTTGTCCCTAATCCTGAGGCCAGTCTTATAACCGCTTTGAATGTGTGGTAGGAATCAGTCATAACTCCAATTCCATTACACCGAGTTGTGCGTCATAGTTATTAAACTACGGAGTAAAATGCTATGATCGGAATGTGCGAATTAGTAGGGAAAGGTGAAAATGCTAAGAAAAATAGTTTTTGTTAAGTTTTACCTTGGAAAATACTAAGGAAAACCAACTTTGATTAAAATGTTTATGAAATGAGTTCAAATGAAATCTAACAATGATTTTGAGTCTGAAGCAAGTTCTTTCCCCAAAATTCTTTCCTTCCATATTTCTCCGGTTCTCCCGCATTTTCATTCCCCAGCATTTTCCTTGCTCCAAACAGACCTTAAACATAATGTTCTAATTGTGGTTTGAAGGTTTGGAAGCTTGCTTGCATGTGAGTCGTTCCACGCTGATGTACATGCCGGCAACTTGTGGCTTCTTCGTGATGGTCGCATTGGTTTTCTTGACTTTGGTATCTGCATTGTTCTTGGCTATCTTTTGCATAACCTCACAAGAATGAGGTCTTTAAAGTCATATATGAAAAGAATGTTGTGTGTAACATCTTGACCCCTACACTCCAACAAAGTTGGGATTATAATGGGTTCGTTGTTGTATGGCATATGTTACAAGGTATTAACAAGAATGAGGTCTTTTACACAGGAATTGTTGGTCGCGTATCTCCTGAAACATGGGCTGCTACTGAATTGTTTTTGGGATCAATAGGAACCAAAGAATATGGCACAATGGCTTCTGCCTTAATTGACATGGGTGCTACTGGCAAGGCTGTTGATTCCAAGGCATTCGCAAGAGATCTCGAAAACCTTTTTTCATCAATTCAGGTACACCCGTGTCTGAGCTCTTCAATAGGGGTCCGTTTGGAATCTGGGAAACACTAGAGAAAGAAAACAAGGAAATATATGGGACAAACAAAAATGGTTCAAATCCAATAAATCACTTTTTTAATATATGTTCAAATCAATTTCATTCATACATTTCTATCATATATGCACTAATAAAATCCATACAGAGTATATGTTACTCGTAAATCATATAAAGCAATCTTATCAAAAATTGATTTTCCCTGGGTATTTTGTAAGTAAAATAAACATTAAAAAAATACATTTTCCTTAGTGTCGTTTCCCCCTTTCCCTTCCATATTCCAGGCATATCATAAAAGGTATCAGGGGTTTTCATTGTGGGAGGAGGAGGGGGAGAGGGACGATTTTTCATTTGAAAAAAGATGCGTCCTCGTGTAATATCATATCATTGTTTGTTATCAGAGATGATAAATATCCAAGAAATAAGTTAGTAGAAATAGTTATTTGTATCTGTTCAGTAAGCCCAAACTGGACAAGATTAAAACTGGTTTAGAACTCAAGAAACAAGAACTACCCGGAAATGAAGTGCATCAGTATTTAACACTACTCTGCAAACAGTTAAAAAATGTAATTCTAGTACAGTAATCTCCATACACTGACTTGACTTCCATGTGTTATCTTACTACTCTTATGATAATTTAGGAATTGGATACAAAAATAATTGTTGCAGCAGCACAAGACAGGAAGACAAAAGCAACTGCTGTCTCTGCCAATGTCGTTTTCGAAGAGACGCAAATGAATGCTCTTTTTCTTGATTTGGTACATTTTGTTTATATATATATATATATATATATATATATATATATATATATATATATATATATATATATATATATATATATATATATATATATATATATATATCTTTAATACGTGCCTCGGAGTTATGTGTGTTTTGCTCTTAGGGCATTATTGCAGTTTTACTAAAGCATGCAATGTGATGATTAACTACCATAATAATGCTGCTGCTGCTGGTGACCTATTGAACAGGTTCGAGTTGGAGAGTCTTACGGGCTAAGATTTCCACGGGAGTTTGCGCTTCTGATGAAACAGATACTATATTTTGACAGATACACAAGGCTGTTAGCTCCAAATCTGAACATGCTTCGCGACCAACGGATCAACATTGCCCAAAATGATCGAGGTAGAAGATTCACATAATGCCCCCACCTTCATTCTTTATTTGCTCCTTGTATTAATCATATGTGTATACTCCAATTGATAAAGGGAAAAAAATCACGGTATTAATCATTTCAATAATACTATAGCATCTTACAAATGTATAGTACTTCGTAATACTTCATGATTATAGATAAAAGAGTAAACGATTTATGTGTGTTTGGATGAAATTTATAGCAAACCATAACTTGGAAATTTAGTTTCGGTTAGTGTTAGCCTAAACAAAAATGATATTGCAGCAAGTGGTGTGTAGAGGTTATATCTCCATTAGGAACACTAAATCTATTTTGTATTACTAAGTTGGTGTACTAACCCAAAAGTTAAATTTGCAAAATTCCAAAAGCTACAAAACCTAAAAGTTAATTAGCAAGAAAATGCATTTCATCGTCTATCTATATCAGCTTGGTGTAGCGATTGGCTCAACCATGGAAAGAATCTTCTTCTCCAACTCTTGCTTGCTGCCACCAACCAGTTTGTCCATATGCCGACCTTCTTTTAAGATAAAGAAGGTCGGAGTTGCTTTTATATCCCAGGAAGAGCTAAATTCCTGTCGTAATCACCACCACAAAAGAAAGAAGTAAACTTGTAGCATTAAGAGGAAATCATGATTTCTCTCAATAGGGTTACCAATCTTCAAATGACTAACCGCCAACTTGTCAACGTCAACTGTGATAAACATCACAGATGTATACTTATCGGCGAGGTCTCGATATGCAGGCGCTGCTAGTCTACAAGGATTGCACCATGATGCACTAAAATTCACCAACACCTGCACTTGCATTGACATATACATTATAAACCCACTTGCATGTTTTGGCCTAGTTTTTGAATGTTTAGGTACATTGGAAGTCAGTCCAATGTAATTTGTCCATTTATTCATTTGATTGTGAGTTTGTGACCAAACTTAAGGTGTCTGACTAGTATCAACTCGTGTAGTACCCAGTGCCTGGAACAACCCGTGTAGTACCCAGTGCCAAATAGGGCAAATTGAACGAACATGGTATATAATTTGAGGTAATAATACTCACAATTTGTGCAGACTTGTTTGCTTGAGAAATCATCTCTTCCCACTTCTCCATGGTGGTCACCAGGTGAACATTCCCTCCACCAAGCTCTGATGATTCTCTATTATTCTTACCTTCTTCATCCTCCCCTATTTGTCCGCATAACTGCACACACACATACATATAAATTTTCTTGTATATTAATACAATTTAGAAGTAATATATACAAATGTATTACTCCGTATTATATTGTATGAAAATAAATAATGCTCATAAATCTTTTGGCTGTTTTCATAATAAACCTGAGTCCAACATTGCCCCATGGAGGATGGATAACATATCTTAATCTGGACTAAATCAATACACCTGCATGTGACCTATATTTATTTCATATAAAAATAACTCATCAAATTTTCAACAATATGAATTCTAGATCTTTTAAAGATATATATTTTTTTGGATTAGACATAAGTTTGAATAAATTTAAGATGTCTCCCAATAATGGAAAAGGAGATGATACAAAAAACTTCAATTAATTATATATATACCTGAGAGTCACATTCATGTGAAATGAGATTAAAATGTTTTTTCATGCAACATTTTTTCAGCAAAAAAATGATGATTTGGAACACTTGTTGGTATATATATGAACTTTTTTAGGAAAATGTAAGGAGCATATGTAGAGTTTCTTTTCTTACCTTCCAACACAAACATAAAAACTAATTCAATTAATTAATTTTGGGAGATCTATATTCTCTCCGTTTTACAAGTGGTCATATTTTGAAAATTTTGAGTCATTCTTGATAAAAATTTGACGCCGACTCATATTAAAAGTATATTAAATTATAATACGAACTTGTTCAATTGATATCTAACTCTAGAAATATGACAAATTCTTGCACTATTTATGGTAATTAGAATCATTTAATTTATGAGTAACGCTAGAGTCATAGACAAAATATTTACAAAATTCACAAACTTACCGAATATGAAAAGTATTAGATTCTAATAATTTATAAATAATAACTAATACACATAAATGATAAGTTTGTACGTTTTGTGAGTATTTTATTTGTGACTCTAACATTACTCTTAAATTATACTATAAACTGTAAAATACTTCCAATCAATCTAATTACATGTTGATTTTGTAATCACACAACCAAGGAAACAGGACTAAATTTACATGAAACTGAACCTTATGTAAAGTTTAGTTTAATTATAACGAAAACAAAGTAGATATAATTTTGAACTAAACCTTTTCTTTATTTAAATTTCCCAGTTCACAATATCACATTAAATTGCAATAATAATCTCATAAGTTTTGGCACCTATATGTTGGGACATACATCTTTTGTTTTTTATTCTTCTCTCAAACCATATTACTTACTTCTTCAACCTCTGAACAAGAATATGCACTCCCTCCCCAGGTTCCACAATCATCCTAAACGCAGGGGAGTGCTTATACTTGGGCGAAAGCGAAAACGAGAACTTAGAAATGATGGCGCAAAGCACAACCTTAATCTCAAACATTGCGAAGTTGCGTCCGATGCAAAGCCGGGGCCCGACCCCGAAAGGCACGAAAACCTGGGGCGTCTTGCACGCGCCTGACACCCCGTTCGCGAACCTTTCGGGCTTGAACTCGTTTGCATCGGGGCCCCACACCTCCGGGTCCCGATGCAACGTGGGGATCAGTGTCCAGAGACACACCCCTTTGGGCACAGTGATGTGCCCTATCTTTGTCTCCTCTAGGGCCTCCCGGGACACAAATGCCCCCGGAGGGTAGAGGCGTAGGACTTCATGTATCACCATTGTGAGCATCTTCATCTTCAAGATCCCCTCCGCGTCTGGCGGGTTGTCCCCAATTTCCTGGCGGACGCGGGATTGCCATTCCGGGTGGAGGGCCAAGAGCATCACGCACCAGGCGGCGGCCACGGCCGTCGCCTCGTGCCCTGCAAAGTATATGTTCTTGCAGTTGTCGACTATGAACTTCTTGGACGAATCCTCGGACATGTTTTCGTCGTTAATGGCGGCTTCTAGGATGCATTGTAGAAGGTCCCTCTCCTCTGAGGAAGAAGACGAATCCCTTTCTTTCACCGCTTTCCAGATCAACGTCTCTATTTCCACCTCCAAACTGGCGATCCCGTTGTTCTTTCTGTAATTTTCACAAACACTTTGTGAGCATACCTTATATCAGATCAGATCATGTCAGAAACAATTTTACATATAAATACAATCAGATTAGATGAGATCCAATCAGATCAAATCACACTAGATCTTCAAAAAATCACAGCAGCAAGCATGAGCATGTACCCAAATGTGGGGAAACCAAAGAGGTAACTCTGGGAAGAGATGACGTTTTGAAGAGTTCTAAGCTTTGAGAAAATTTGTTTGCCTTTATTGTATGAGCTTCCAAAGCAAGCCCTGGAAATGACATCTGCAGAGAGGTTCCTCAGGTCTTCGTCCACCGCGATCTCCGCCGTTTCTCCCCCTTGGGCATCAATGCTCTCCTCCCATTTCCTAACCAACTGCTCCGCGGACCCCAGCATCAGGTCTAACATGTCCTGCAGTTCAATTCAACCAAAATCTCAAACTGATAATTGAAAGTCACATAGAAACGAAAAAAGAGGGGTTTTTTTCCTTCTTCAAAGATACCTTGACTTTGTCCATGAAGAATTGTGGAGCAATGATTTTTCTTTGGAGAGACCATAAATGGCCATTTGACCTCAAGAGGCCATTCCCAAGCATAGGGGAGAGTCTCTTTGTGACATAAGTGGGCTTCCCTAACACCAAACTCGTGCTTTGGTTCATCTCCTTCACCATCTCTGCATTGTTCACATACAAATGCTGCTTGTTTCCTGTTGAATATGTGTATATGCAGCCTGTGACAAGACCATTCAAATATAAAAATCAAAGTTATAACATAAAGTATATATTGAATTAGAAGCACTCGATTTATAGTGTTCTTTTTCTCTAATCTGCATCTAAAATTTCACCATGAAAATTCTCAAAAAGCAGTTTCTGCTGTGGTTGTTTACTAATTTACAACATGACATTTGATAACTTACCATAATTTGATGACCAACTATATCATAGGACATGGGAAATGTCATTTACAACATACTCCCCTGTTCCAAAATTATCATCAAATGGCTATTTCAGTTTTTCGATAATGTCTGTTTGATTACACATTTTCCTTAACCATTTAATAAAATAAAATATTTTTATCACATTTTATTTTTGTAAAACTTTTTCACGTATCTTTAAACATGTAATTCGTACTTTTTTTCCCCATAATATACGCTCTGGTGTCCGGCCCTAATCAAATTTGTCCATTACTATGGGGGCATTGTTTTAAAAAATGGTAGAGACATGAAGAGTGACTTGTCAACTCATGGGATAAATTGTTTCAAAGTTAGTCCCATTATTGGTGGAACGCCCATGCTGGACACTTCAAACCCCAGCTCGACAAGATTGTGAGAGAAATAAATTATTATATAATCTCAATTTGATCCTTAGAAAAGTCGTCATTCCAGCTCGACAAGATTGTGAGGGAAATAAATCATGATATAATCTCAATTTGATCCTTAGAGAGGTTGTCTTGTGCCCAATGCACACAAGGAGCTATTAAAAAATATAAAACGCTCACATTGCCGCTGTCGGGATTCGACTCTGGGATCAACGAGTTTGATATTCTCTCCTTGGACCAGTTGAGTTAATAATGTCCAGAAGAAGTAATAATGATCAGTAATGACGAACATTTACTTGAATAATGACTAATAGATAATGACTAAAAGTGTTACATCAGGAAAAAAACATATATAATGCTATTTAGGGAAAGTCATTATATTTTAGTACTCCCTCCGTCCTAAAACTTTCTTCCCAGAGCACTATTCCAACTTCACGGGAATTTATATTTATTTGTGTTTTTTATGGCCTATATGATAAAATAAAATATTCTTGTCACCACTTGTTTTGTTGAACTTTTGATGTAGTTTTTAAATATGTATGTTTTATTTTTTATTTCTATACCAATATTTAAATAAAATAGATTGAAAAAACTTGGGATTTTTTTTTAGTGCAACAGGAAGAAAGATATAGGACGGAGGGAGTATTATTTAGGTAAATTTCTGTATTACGTTAGGTAAGTTGTACATGTACTACCACTGCATATCCCTGTGCCTGATAAGCCTAGCCCTAGCCCTAGCCTAGTTGTGCAAATTATTTGGGCGGTTCTGAAGTTCCTCAGATCCCACATGCGATGCAAGCATGACTCAAGTCATTGAATCTTTCTCGAATATACTCCTACTCTAAACTTAACTTCACATACTTGGTCCGTCCCTGAGTGTTTGTCCACTTTTGATTTTTGAAATTGTTCATCTAAGCACTTTGACTCATCGAATTCTCTCAATGTGTAAGCCTAAAAATAGTCATATGTGATCTTGTTTGATTCGTCTTAACATATAGATTATTAATATATAATTTTTATAATTTTTTAATATACAAATTACAAGATAAAATGGATTAAAGAAGTGCATTGGATGGTGTGCAAAAATGAAAGTGGACAAACACTCAGGGACAGAGGGAGTAATAATTTAAATTTTAGAAAAAAAACTAGGGGTACACATTTAATATTGTCGGACATACAATTACTATTTATATACTCCGTATATCCCTAATCACCAAGGTTCAAATGACATTGAACCTTAATGTCATAGGATGACCCGGGCTGCTCCGGTGCCCTGTTCGTAAAATTAACGGTTCCTACCCCCCTAACCCCCCGGTAAACCCCCCACCCCGGCCCCGACCCGAACACATCCCCCCACCCCCTTCAATTGCACCCCACAAGTTGATTTTGACTTTGGAGTCAAATTTTGACTCCAAAGTCAAAATCAACTTGTGGGGTGCAATTGAAGGGGGTGGGGGATGTGTTCGGGTCGGGGCCGGGGTGGGGGGTTTACCGGGGGGGGTAGGGAGGGTAGGAACCGTCAATTTTACGAACGGGGCACCGGAGCAGCCCCGGGTCATCCTATGACATTAAGGTTCAATGTCATTTGAACCTTCCCCATCTATAATACATTTAGTGTGCAGCTTAGAACACAAAGTTGTTGTATCTTTAGCATACTTTTAAATTTTAATTTTAGACAATCTACAATATAAGAACTTCATATTTTGCATGAATGTTTAGTATCGCAATTGTCAAGAGTATATTCTTCTTTTAACATCTATATTGACCAATTAAGCTAACTTCTCAAATTAGATTATACTCCCTCCATCTTAAATCTTTTATT